AGAGGGCCATGATGGCCCTAGATCGCTCACCTGACTTATCAAACTCATCCAAACAATTACCTAGACAAGCATTCTGACCAAGTCTCATGACAGGCGAGTCAAAAATGTGACCACTACAGTGTTAACAAGGATTATCCATATTTGAGCAGTGCGACCTAGTTTTTTTACCCAGGTGACACATATTCAAACTTGACCTAGAAATCATCAAAACAAACTTTCAGACCAATTTTCAGGATACTTGGATCAAAACAGTAGCAACTAGAGTGTTAACAAGATTTTTCTATTTTTTGCTCCGGTGACCTAGTTTCACATGCGATTTCAAACTCATCCAAGCAATTACCTAGACAAGCATCCTGACCAAGTTTGATGATTGTTGAGTCGAAAATGTGACCACTAGAATGTTAACAAGGTTTTTCCATATTTGGGCGGTGTGACCTAGTTTTTCATCCAAGATGACCCATGTTCGATCTTGACTTAGAAATCATCAAAACAAACTTTCAGATTAATTAACAGAATATTTGGATCACAACAGTAGCCACTAGAGTGTTAACATGATTTTTCTATTTTTAGCTCCTGTGACCTAGTTTTTCACCTGAGATGACCCATGTTCGATTTATTCCCAGCAATGACATAGACAAGTTTCCTGACCAAGTTTGATGACAATTGAGTCAAAATTGTGACCACTAGAGTGTTAACAAGGTTTTTCTATTTTTAGCTCCCGTGACCTAGTTTTTCATCCGAGATGACCCATGTTCGAACTCATCTGAGCTATCACCTAGACAAGCATCTTGATCAAGTTTGATGATGATTGACGCAAAAATGTGACCGCTAGAGTGTTAACAAGGTTTTTCTATTTTTAGCTCCGGTGACCTACTTTTTCATCCGAGATGACCCATGTTCAAACTCATCCGAGCTATCACCTAGACAAACATCCTGATTAAGTTTGATGATGATTGAGGCAAAAATGTGACCTCTAGAGTGTTAACATGGTTTTTCTTTTTTTAGCTCCGGTGACCTAGTTATTCATCCGAGATGACCCATGTTCGAACTCATCCGAGCTTTCACCTAGACAAGCATCTTGACCAAGTTTGATGATGACTGATGCAAAAATGTGACCGCTAGAGTGTTAACAACGTTTTTCTATTTTTAGCTCCAGTGACCTACTTTTTCATCCGAGATGACCCATGTTCAAACTCATCCGAGCTATCAACTAGATAAGCATCCTGACCAAGTTTGATGATGATTGATGCAAAAATGTGACCGCTAGAGTGTTAACAAGGTTTTTCTATTTTTAGCTCCGGTGACCTACTTTTTCATCCGAGATGACCCATGTTCAAACTCATCCGAGCTATCACCTAGACAAACATCCTGACCAAGTTTGATGATGATTGAAGCAAAAATGTGACCTCTAGAGTGTTAACAAGGTTTTTCTATTTTTAGCTCTTGTGACCTAGTTTCTCATCCGAGATGACCCATGTTCGAACTCATCCGAGCTATCAACTAGATAAGCATCCTGACCAAGTTTGATGATGATTGAGGCAAAAATGCGACCGCTACAGTGTTAACAACTAAATGTGAACGGACGACAGATGACGGACGGACGACGGACAATCATCCATCCTAAAAGCTCACCCTGAGCATGCTCAGGTGAGCTAATAATTGTTCAGCCAACCAGTAATCTAACCTTTTGTTCATAAAAGAAAGCCACCCCTATTAAGCACAATTTTTAAATAATTTGGTTAATGACTTATTTCATGACCAAAGAGCATTTTCATTATATAGCTGCCTGTCATAATAATTGTAATGTTCCTTAATCCCTTCAGTACAAACCAATATTCCATGTTTTCCATTGACCAGTTCATAAACTCATTACTATTTAGGTCCACTAAATTACCACATAAAGGCTTGAGCCAGACCCATCAATAATATTAGTGAGTTATGTTATATAATTATTAGATCCCTACTTTAACCTTTCAGATGAATAACAATAGATAAAACCACAAACCCCTGAAATGTGTTCTTTTGTTCACAAATATTCTCATCATAATCATGATCATTGGAATTAGACAGATTAAGGTCATGATTCTGAGAAAATAAATCTTAGCAGAATGCTTTATTATGTTGGGTTTAAGTTTTACCTATCAGACATTGCAAACAAATGGTGACTTTATCATATGATGCAGAAAAATCTAGGTTGCCACTTTGTGCATTATTTCAGGTACAGTCAGGCATTCGAGTTGAACCACTGGTATTATGATAGCTGGTTGAATAGATGCCTCACATGAAAACCCCAAAATCCCTGGCGGGATTGGAACAAACAAATGTGATGGGATGATGATTCAAATTGAACATGGCCATGAATGCCCCTCTACTATTTAAACATGAAAATAACTTATGAAAATAATACTTATATATTTTTTTACATTACAAATGGCCAAACGTTCAGTAAATCAACGAGAATCAATATCATTTCAACTTAATAGAGTAATCACAGGGCCTTTACATAAAATTCAGCTAGGATGCACTGATAAAGTGTTGACTATTCAATACATTTTTGTAGTTTTAATATGAAATAAGAGCAAGTCAGATACACAAATTCTGCTAGAAAATTGTATGACCATTTCAAAATATTAGCTACGAGCAAAAATATCTACATGCAACCAAAATAAAACAAAGTACTAAAACACCACCAAAAAACACTGTTAGGCGATGGGTCACACTACTATAAAAACACAGCTGGGTTAGATATGCAAAAATATATAAACATGGTGTACCATCTATAAGCTACATACTTCATTACATCATTACAGAAACATGTTGGAAATTAAATATTATTATATATTAAAAGAGCAAAATTATTTTCAAAAAAAGAAAAAAAAAGAAACCAAGATATCTTATGGAGCCTGGGTATTTTAAAGGAGAGTTACCTCCCAAATATTATTATTTCATACAGTATACACTGGCCAATGAGCTATGGCTATATTATAAGCTTTTTCAAGACTTATTTCAATTGCTAGTTATGCCATACTGGCAGACAGACTAAATTTGTTTCTTTGTTTTGTTGGACTGTTCCATCACAATGACACTGTAATACCAAGTTACTTTCAAGTTTTATAAGAGTAGTAAGAACTTTTAGAGCAATATTTCAGACAAGAGCTGGCACCAAAGTAGAATAACCAACATTTTGTAAGCTAGCTAGATAGCATCCTTACATTACAAAATTCAAAGTCTCTGAAGGTATGAAAACCAATAGCAATGGGGGGGCAAGTGGTCTGAAGTCAATAGCCATAACCACTTAGCCTGGGACACGGAGCCCTTGAAATAGCAGTAAAATCACGTGACATTAGAATCCCAGCAGAAATGTATTCCTTTTACTCAAAGTAAAAAAATTGTCAGATCAAAATAACTAAGAAAACCAATAAATTACCCATACATATACATTAGAACTTAGGAAAGATTCAAAAGGATGACAGAAGTTACATATAAATGAATTCAAACATAGAATCAATCTATGGTTACAACAAGAAGCGCCGCAATGCGACGAAAACCAGGTTTTCAACGACCAAGTTTTGATGTGACAGAAATCAATAGGTCAAAGTGCACTGAAGTTATTGAGTAGAAGCTGAAAATTCTATTGTAAGCAAATGACCTTGGAACTTGCTCCCAGATATCTAAGTGGCAATCCAAAGCTGCCACTCAGCAATTTTGGTGTCAAAAGGTCAAAGCAAACTCAAGTTATAACATGAAAACTAAATACATTAACCTTGATCACAGACACCTGGGTAGCAATCCAAAGCTGCCTCTTAATATAAGCTACCAAAACACCAAGTTTGGTGTCAATAGGCCAAAGCAAACTAAAGTTATTGAGCGGAAACTGAATTTCTATTTTTAGTAACAGTGACCTTGACCTTGATCACAGACATCTGGGTAGCAATCCCAAGCTGCCTCTTGATATAAGGTATCCATACACCAAGTTTGGTGTCAATAGGTCAAAGCAAACTCAAGTTATTGAGCGGAAACTGAATTTCTATTTTTAGTAACAGTGACCTTGACCTTGGTCACAGACACCTGGGTAGCAATCCCAAGCTGCCTCTTGATATAAGCTATCCATACACCAAGTTTTGGTGTCAATAGGCCAAAGCAAACTCAAGTTATGGAGCGGAAACTGAATTTCTATTTTTAGTAACAGTGACCTTGACCTTGATCACAGACATCTGGGTAGCAATCCCAAGCTTCGTCTTGATATAAGCTATCCATACATCAAGTTTGGTGTCAATAGGTCAAAGCAAACTCAAGTTATTGAGCAGAAACTGAATTTCTATTTTTAGTAACAGTGACCTTGACCTTGATCACAGACACCTGGGTAGCAATCCCAAGCTGCGTCTTGATATAAGCTATCCATACACCAAGTTTGGTGTCAATAGGCCAAAGCAAACTCAAGTTATTGAGCGGAAACTGAATTTCTATTTTTAGTAACAGTGACCTTGACCTTGATCACAGACACCTTGGTAGCAATCCCAAGCTGCCTCTTGATATAAGCTATCCATACACTAAGTTTGGTGTCAATAGGCCAAAGCAAACTCAAGTTATTGAGCGGAAACTGAATTTCTATTTTTAGTAACAGTGACCTTGACCTTGATCACAGACACCTGGATAGCAATCCCAAGCTGCCTCTTGATATAAGCTACCTACACACCAAGTTTGGTGTCAATAGATCAAAGCAAACTCAAGTTATTGAGCGGAAACCAAAAGTTGACGCCTGCCCGCCCGCCGACTTCGGCATTTCAATAACCCGGTTTTCGTTGAAAACCTGGTTAAAAAGGAAAAATATTCTTGATATCCAGACTTCTAGAGATTGAGCTACCATTTCATGCTAAGCTCTTGTAAATACCAAAAAAATAAAAACAATAATATTTGTTTTATATGAAACGGTCATGCCTCTATAATGATACAACTTGTATATGTAGCTTACATAATACAATGATACACAATGTCTCGGATATATATAATATATTTACAAGTACATTTTTTTTTCTATCTACGCCTGTTCCCCGTCGTCTTCTTCTGACGTGTTAGCTTCTAATTGAACAAGTTTCTCCTCTAATGATTTGATTCGACGTTCATGAGCTTTTACAATAAGCTTCAATTTACGTATATCATCCTGCAGGGCTTGTGGGTCAAAATCCTAAACAAAAAGTAGTGCAACAAAAAACTTAACGCAAAATTAAAAGACGCAACAATTTTTTTTTTGCTCTCTTCAAAATCATAACAAATAAAGAAGTGAACCTTGTAGTAAAAGGCTGGTTTAAACTGTATGCTGTATATGCTGTATTGTTTTCTTCAAAAAAAAAATGTTGGTTGGGAAAGGAGGAAAATGGAATAATATGAATTCTTTTACACATTTTAAACTTAACCATTACCCCCAGTATATAAATATTGCAATAATTCTGGCAATGTTATTGTGTATAAACATTACTCAGAAATACATACAGTCATAATATAACTAATTTTATTTATTGCAGGTCTGTCACATGTCACAGTTGGAGTGTGAGAAGTTGGGTTTTATAATACACAAACACTATTTAAGTCACCAGGCTACTGTCCAGCTTTCCTGTTGGAGGAAGACTTCATCTGCCCCTTAGAGCATTATTTCAGACACAAGCTAACAAAAACTCGACGGGTGGCTTATTTACATGAAAGAATCCACAGGTCCACAGGTGGGTTTCAATCCGTCAGCTGTGAGGGGCCAATGGTTCCGTCAGTGACTTTAGCCAGCCACATCACAGTAACAAAAGCCACTGCAATATTGAATTAAATAATGCTCCTAGATATTTGACCTTGACAGTCAAGGTCATTCAAAGGTCACATTTAAATTCATTATCATGTCAGTGTTGTTTCATCCAAGTATAAATCAAATCTGTTCATTTTAATTGCTTTGACAAAGTCTAAGAGAAAAGCAAATACTTAACCCAGGACTTCAGGACTCCAACTAGCAAATCATAGGTTCTTACATAAAACACTCTCTCTCCATTGACCTTATTTAGTTAGCAAACCTTGCCCTTATCTCTGTCACTAGCTATTTTTTAATTGTTTTGTTTCCCGTAAGGCTATAGACTGATAAAGTTAGGACCACAGACAGGAGTCAGGATTTAACCTTGTCAAACAAATGTTGCTCTCCCAATTTACCAACCAGTTCCTTTTGTGACAGATCACGGTTTTATAACATTTAATTTTTTTTATGTACCAAATCTATGTTGAAACTAAAAATAGTCCCCCAAATACCAACAATTTCATTTCTATTTGATTTTGCATCCACATTTAAGAGCAATTTTTATGTAACTAAAAATTCATGAAGCCAGACGGTTTTAACTTCAAGGAGATGCTTTTCTCATTACAATATAGGATTGTTATATTGCACTAAGAAGTACTGCTTTGGCAATTAAGGTAAGTCTTTTTCTTACGTATATATGGGCTGCAAGCACAGAAAACAAAAGAGTAAGAGGTCACATGTAAGGCTATAAGAAGTCCTTTACCACTACCGCATGTTAAATATTACGCCAGCAAGTTAGACCAAAAACAGCAACAATATTGTTAAACCAATCTTTTACTATTAGGTTACAAAAAAATGTAAAAAACATGTAAATTATAAAGTACACTACATAAAAACACTAACCTAAAACCTCAATGTTAACACATCAAAACAGTTTGTTTATTCTTTTGTTACAGAAGAAGTACAAAACTGTTATGAACAATCACAGAAGCTTTAAAATCAAAATCTTCTATTCTATTCAATATATAACAAATAACAAAGTTTATATAAACAATTTTTTTTTTTGAACACTTGAACTATTTTCTTGAAGAAAAAAAATCTTAAAATCTTGAAATAATAAAAATTGAAAGTGGTCAGCATCTTTTATTTTCAAACAGTTTTTGATGTATTTATTCTTTTATTCTTCATGCAGTATTTTAGATCATATTTTGTCATATATCTTTTCATACAGTTTTACCGAGTTTTGTTTATATATAACAAGTGAATAATTAAAGGTAGGTAACTTTTGTTTGGCTATAATATATATAAGATTATAGTGTCACATGCAATAACATATATTATTGTACAGTAATGTGAAAATATATACTACACAAGTATACTATATACAAATAGTATACATTTTGATGTTTTGAAAGTCACACACATGTACCTGCATGTGTAAACTACAGTCAAACCTGCCATAAAAGACCATCTCTAGGAATGGAAAAAAATAGAGATGATCTCCATGATAAAGTTAAAGGCTTACATTAAGCATGGTCTTAAAAATACATGTACATCTTTAGGGCAGGTTTCACTGTACTCATAAAACTTATCTCACATATAACTTAAGGTAGTATACCTGCAGGGTGTTGTAAACATTTTATGGTCTCACTGCATATTGAGTTTACTATGGAAGAGGTAACTCATAACAGGCAAATAAATGTTTTTTTTTTAAAAGGGCTTACAATTCGTAACATCTACATTGAAAATTTTCCATTGCCCATTACAGAATGAAATACATTCAGCAGTCTATTTCTGCAATGAAATTGGTCCACATAATTTGGTTCATTTTAATTGAATCTGCAGGCACACTTAAACTAATAAAAATTTCAAAATTTTGCATCCAAAATTTAAATAGATAACTGAACACTTGACTTACAGCGGGTAGAGCTGGTCCTGCAGGAGCTTGAGGCGGTGCTGGAGCTTGAACTTGAGCGGGGGCCTCGGCTGCACCATTACTAGTAGCACTTGCTGGTGGGTCATGGTGGACAGGCCGACTAGCAGCCTTGCTTGGGGTGTCTAATACATTGGATTTGCGAGTTGCTAACTTGTTTGGTGTGTCTAAGACATTGGATTTCCGCACAGCAGAAAGTTGGTCTTTTTTCGAACCTGTATAACCGTCCTTGAGACTGATCTAAAATGTGTAAAGTAAAAATAAATGACTAGACAACAAACTAAATGCAAGCCTAGTTCAGCTTTAACTAAAACAAAATACAAATTAACATGGTATCAAAATACAAATTTATACAAGACCTGTCCTTGGACAAAATGCTCCACTTGTCTCAATGATGGATAGCTAAATAATAGCAACATAGAAAAAGGCAAATAACTTTGCAAAAAAATAATCTTATGAGTATGCCCATTTAAAATGGCATTCTTTTATGCAAAACTAACCCATATAACAAGTTTAAAGTGGATAGCTTAAATAGTTCCTGGGAAAATCGACCTTAACGAAAAGGTTGACCAACACCAAAGCCAACACCAATGAGAGAGTCATGACAATAACTCCACTTTTTTATTGAAAAAGTGGAACCAAAGTAGTCTTCATGCTATTGTTTTAGGCTAATGTCAACTATTGTACTATGGTAGAACCACCAATCAAAATGTCAATAGCATAAAATTTATAATGTTTCTAGCGTAATTTGGTTGTCCAGCAATAAAGAACAGACTTGTGAAATTTCATCAATGGGACAATGAGGTCCCTGCCCCTTACAATAATAAATCAACTTACTAGGATTGGTTCCGACTTTGCTCCTGCCATAAACTCAGCAGCTGTACATGCAGGAGTGTCACCTGGTGTGTCCGGGTATAAATCATCTTGGAACAATTCTGACTGAAATGTGTGATAAACAAGAAAGTACATAATATACATGAAAGTATATTTTGATGAGTAATAAGTAAAAGAACCTTCCTTAAACAACTTTTCTGAGTACATATCAGATCTGCTATATGATCCATAACATAAGGCACAAAATGGGCACCTGGAAAAAATGACCAACAGCTTGTTTACAAAATTGTTTATATTTTTATGTAATGATTTCCATGTGAATCCTTCTTACATTTCTGCACAATAATGAAATCATCTGAAACTTGTAGCAATTTGACTGAACCTCTGTAAGATATATATTTGGAAATACTGATAACTGCAACACAGTCTATGTTTTAATTTAAAACAAACATCTTCTGAGTACTCACAGAGACGATATGTGCAAGGTTTTTTCTTTCTTTTCAAGACAGAACCAAATAAACATGACCAGTTATAGGGAATGCAGCTTCCAAACCATAGTTTATGCATTCTCTTATTTATATTAGACATATTCAGTAAGAATTCCCTAGATTTCAATTAATTTCTGAAATGAAAATATTTTACCAAAAAATGAGAATTGTGTATCTTTAATAAAGCATGTCAAATGATTCATAACCTTAACCCTGAAAACACACTAAATATCTCAAATGGACTTGTCCATCTTTCAATCTAGACAAAACCATTCTATTTTTTTAGGGGAAATTTCAAGAAAAGTTCACAGTAATGATCATGAATATATGCCATGGATGTGCCTGCTATTCTTGGTCTGCACTGGTCACATGGGTAAAATTAGCTTTTACGAGCAGGCTAAACAAAATGGACTCAGGACTATCCAAAATTTGAAATTAGGTAAGGCCCGTTACAAACATTCAGTAGGGAAATTGTGTTAAACTTACTTTTCTTGGTACAAACATTGGAAGGACCTCACAGAGACCATTATTCAACAATTTGTAGAACCTGAAAATAATGTGATAATGTACAAACAAGAATAGAGACAGTTAAAATCATTATCACAAAATTCACAGTATAGGAAGGCTTAGGAAGCTATGTTGTAAAGGCAACTCTTAAATATTTCTTTTTTTTCAACTTCAAATCTGGTTCAGTAAGAAATAAAACTCTTTCCCTATCTGTCTTCATAGCAGCTTGGTTAATGTTTCATTTTTCCCCCTTTTCTATACAAGTCTTTATAAATCAAGTACCCCACATGGTATTTGGGGTATGATTAATATCAGTTTTGTGGAAGTCCACTGGACAATGCAAATGCCAAATATCTTAACTCTTGGCATTTTAGTTTCACACAATACATCAGTTTTATAGAGGTCTACAAAGCAATGCTACTTGTAAAATATCTAAGCTCTGGACATTATGGTCCCACATAGTAAGACTTAATGTGTTTATGTCTAATATAAATCAAGTCATCCAGCAGCAGGGCCAGTTTTGGTCTGAGGAAGTTCAAACCTGTATTCTGCACATTGTCTCTTAAGTTACCTTTCTGTGAATTAATTTTAATTTCTTTCTATTGTTTCAAAAGATACAGAGTGGACACAGAATTTAAAAATTTATAAATAATAAACTAAGTGTGACCTTGAGCTGATGAAGGTAAAACCTCAATCAGCAGATTATCTCATCATGGTTAACATTTCTGCCAGGTAGTTTCAATTTCCTTCCATCAGTTCAAAATATAAAGAGTGGACACAAAATGGTTAACAGATTGATTGATGGACAATAAGGTGCAAACAATATAAGATAACTAGAAATGTGTCATCATGCCACGGATGCCCCCGCATGCAGCCAAAATTTCAGATGGTCCATTAATTTTTTTTTTCATTTTAAGTTCAAAGCCCTTAAAACTTTTCAATGTTAACACAAACCATTTTCATACACTGTTCAAGGCACTGAAATTATTTAGTCTTAACCTTTTAAAAATAGCATATTGCATATTTGTAGCCAAAATAATGGCAAAAAGTATGAGTGCTGAAACTGAAAGTTCAAAATTTTTCCTACATTCAGGAAAGATAAGTTTGTCTAAAATCATTGAACCACAACCAAATTCAAACTTAAACTGCTTATTCCTAAGATGTATCTATATTATTTTCAAAGTGAAAGGGACATAACTCTGCCAAAAAATCATCAAACCATGACCAAATTCCAACTTGACCTGCCCATTCCTTTGACATATCTATATGTCAAATTTAAGTTGAATATGTAACACTGTTGGGTAGAAATGAACAGAAACTGTAAATTTCATATTATTTTCAAAGTGAAAGGGGCATTAGTCTGCCAAAAATCATTGAACCATGACCAAATTCGAACTTGGCTTGGGCATTCCAAAAACATATCCATATGTCAAATTTGAGTTGAATGTGTTGTACCATTGGGGAGATAATAAACGGAAACTGAAAATTTCATATTATTTTCAAAGTAAAAGGGGCATAACTCTGCCAAAAATTATCAAACCATGACCAAATTTGAACTTGACCTGTATTTTCTCATGACATATCCATATGTCAAGTTTGAGTTGAATGTGTTGTACCGTTGGGGAGAATTTGAAAGGAAGCTGAAAATTTCATATTATTTTCAAAGTAAAAGGGGCATAACTCTGCCAAAAATCATCGAACCATGACCAAATTCGAACTTGACCTGTATTTTCTCATGACATATCCATATGTCAAGTTTGAGTTGAATGTGTTGTACCGTTCGGGAGATAATGAACGGAAACTGAAAATTTCATATTATTTTCAAAGTAAAAGGGGCATAACTCTGCCAAAAATCATCGAACCATGACCAAATTCGAACTTGACCTGTATTCTCTCATGACATATCCATATGTCAAGTTTGAGTTGAATGTGTTGTACCGTTGGGGAGATAATGAACGGAAACTGATATTTCATATTATTTTCAAAGTAAAAGGGACATAACTCTGCCAAAAATCATCGAACCATGACCAAATTCGAACTTGACCTGTATTTTTTCATGATATATCCATATGTCAAATTTGAGTTGAATGTGTGCAACCATTCTTAAGATAATGAACGGAAACTGATGATGACGGAATGACAGAATGACGGAAGGACGGAATGACGGAACAGGGTAACACTATATGCCCCGGCCATTACATGGCGGGGGCATAAAAATTTTCAAGCATATAAAAATATTGAGTATTTACCTAGTAATTTCACATGTATTTACATTAAGGCCTCGTTTTGGCATCATACCAATACCCCTTTGGCTTTCTTTTGTCTGGTACAGGTTAAGGTAGTGAACAAAGGGGGCCTCGTCTGTTACTTCGTAGAACCGAATTATACTGTCACCCTATAAAATGTAACACTGAATGTTAGAAACAAAAATATACAACATAAAAATCTCAGCATAAAACAATGTACAGCATATAGAAATCTTAGAACCTTAAGTCCTTAAACAAGTTATACTGCTGTATAGACTGGTTATTATCTTGGCTGGTAGCTAAGGTAAGAGATACCTTCCAATGGTTAAATCATTTAATAAATAAATACCTAACTTTGCAACAAAAAACAAACTAGAACTATCACTAAATGTGATTAATACCCCCACAAGACTGCTTCGGAAATGAGGATGTTACTAGTAACAGAATACGTTGTAAAAGAATTGAAATATAGAGTTATGGTTGTGGGCAATTAAAGATAGTTGTGGTTCTTATATGTTGCATTTCCTTTCAATGTGGTTGGCCATTGATGAAGTTTAATTGAATTACTCTGTAATAAGTCCAGAAAGACAAAGAAAAGGAACAAAGGGCAATAACTCTATAAATACTGAAGATAGAGTTATAGTTCTTGTGCACTGCACTTCCTCTTATTGTGCTTGACCATTGTATGAAGTTGTTTTGAATTCCAACCAGTACGTCTTAAGTTATGCTCCTGACAAGGACATATCAAAGGCAGTAACTCTGTATTTTGTCAAAATGGAGTTATGGCTCTTGTGCACTGCATTTCCTTTTGATGTCCTTGACAACTGTATGAAGTTGTATTGAATTCCAAACAGTAGTTTTCAAGTTATGCTCTGGAGAAGGAAAAGTAACAAAGGGCAAAAACTCTGTAATTAGTCAAGATGGAGTTATAGTTCTTGTGCACTGCACTTTTTCTCAATGTGCTTGACCATTGTATGAAGTTATATTGAATTCCAACCATTAGTCTTCAAGTTATGGTCTGGACAAAGAAGGCAATGGAAAAGCAACAAAGGGCAATAACTCTGTAATTACTTTAGATAGAGTTATGGTTCTTGTGCACTGCACTTCCCCTTATTGTGTTTGACAATTGTATGAAGTTGTTTTGAATTCCAACCAGTAGTTTTCAAGTTATGCCCCGGACAAGGAAAAGTAACAAAGGGCAATAACTCTGTAATAAGTCAAGATAGAGTTATGGTTTATGTGCACTGCACTTCCTCTCAATGTGCTTGACCATTGTATGTACTTATATTGAATTCAAACTATTAGTCTTCAAGTTATGGTCCGGACAAAAAAAAAGCAATGGAAAAGCAACAAAGGGCAATAACTCTGTAATTACTTTAGATAGAGTTATGGTTCTTGTGCACTGCACTTCCCCTTATTGTGTTTGACAATTGTATGAAGTTGTTTTGAATTCCAACCAGTAGTTTTCAAGTTATGCCCCGGACAAGGAAAAGTAACAAAGGGCAATAACTCTGTAATTAGTCAAGATAGAGATATGGTTATTGTGCACTGCACTTCCTCTCAATGTGCTTGACCATTGTATGTAGTTATATTGAATTCCAACCATTAGTCTTCAAGTTATGCTCCGGACAAGGAAAATGCAACGGACGTCTGGACCGACCGACCGCCCGACCACCGGGTGACTCCTATATACCCCCCCAAACTTCGTTTTTGGGGGTATAACAACTTTGACACAATTTCTTTGTTGCTAAACAAAGCAGCAAATTAAGTAAATAAGGAATGGGTAGATATTGTATCTTTTCTCTTACAAGAAAAACACCTTTCTACACCAAGTGAGGAAATCTGATCTTTGTCAAAAAATCAGAAAATTATTATTATTATTATCAATTCATTATTTACTGCTACATTCATACAACAGAAAGATAACCAACACTGCATTCTACAAGATAACTCACCTTTCCACAAAGCCAGACCATATTTGTGTCTTCATCATAAAAAGGGAATATAACTCCATTGCTAGTGTCTATAACTTCAATATTCATTGGTTCACTCAAATCTTTCTGTAAAACATACAAAAACATCTTGTTACACATCATTCAATTGTTTACAAAAGAAAGTAAACAAAAACTGTTTTCATCTTTTTGGACCATCGGTATTCAGCAAACCGGTTGGAAATTAGACAATTTACTGTGTATTCAAACATTTATTCCCTCTCTTTTTTTGAATATTCAAATTCGTTTTTTAATGCTTTTCAATGTTTAAATGTTCAAATACAATTTCTGGCCATATTTATTTTGATAAGCTGATTGAACCTATATACAAACAAACTATAACGAAATTAATAAAAAAGCAAATGTCCACCCTTCAAATTTTTCTTACACAAGTAGGCAAATGTTGCCCCTTCAAGATGTCACATTTCCAAAACAGACATGGGAGCAAATGTCCACCATGACAAAAAAAGCGAGCATACTTTTGTTTTGAAAAATAATATGCCATTTTCAACCCTTGTCTCAAAAATATAGCAGTGCCCACTACAAAATTTAAGCAGTCCAATAAAAAGTTAAAAGTAGCAATTAAAATTCTGTGGCACACAGCCAATGAGTTGTCTGCTAGAGCTTACAGAAAGCACTGTAATGTACTTACTGTGTCCCACAATGCATATTGTCTTTCACTCATCTTTGAGAACCCTGTTGTAAATACTTTTTCATCTCTAAGATAGACTGCTTGGGCAGGTTTGGATCCTTCATGAGGCTTGCCTTCCTAAATAAACAAAAAAATAGAAATTTATTACATGCATTTTATAAGTCATTCTATATACAAGGTTTAATGCCAGTTGTATCAGAAATTAAGGCAGCCTTTCTACCTGGAAAAAAAAACAACAACAACATTTCTGGCATTGTTACCAGTGCTTTCCATTTTTTATCCTTAGGTAACTGCTGCCTCCAACATACAAATCACTTGAAAAAAATGTTAATCAACAAACAATATCTGTACTGGATTGGCTGAAATTAGCTTAAATGATTTGCACATAAGATCTTATTTGATATGTCAATTTAGATAATTTTTTCTAGAATCTTATATACACAAACAGTTGCTTCTTTTTTATTTTTCTATCTTCTTTTTAAGATGGACTAAAGCTCTTGAATTAAGCTTTCACCTGCTGCAGTACAATCCAATAACTAGATGTTAATATGATATACAATGTATTTATAATGACCATATTAGAATCAATATGACCAGCAGAAATAAACAAGAGCGATCAGTAATCACATGTGTCGCCTCATGATGGCCAATTTCATGTTGGGACAAAGTTTGTGACAGACGGACAGACAGACGGACAGTGCACAACTAGACTTGGTACTGATCATTCCTGTAAAGTTTGGATAAAATTGCACCAGTAGTTTATGAGGAGTAGTCTGGACAAGCTTTTGCGTATCTGGCAACACACAGAAAAAACACCTTTTTATCAAAGGGCCATAACTCGGCCAAAAATCATTCAACCGGAAAACCTGTGCAATATGCGCAAGGACTTGAGCTACAGATCAATCCTGTAAAGTTTCATTGAAATTGCTTTAGTGGTATAAGAGTAGTAGTCCGGACAAACTTTAAAAATAAAAATTATTAAAGGGCCATAACTCTGACAAAAATCATTGAACCGGAAAATGCTGATAATATGCACAACTACCCTTGGTACTGATCATTCCTGTAAAGTTTCATTGAAATTGCTTTAGTGGTATAAGAGTAGTAGTCCGGACGAACTTTAAAAATAAAAATTATTAAAGGGCCATAACTCTGACAAAAATCATTGAACCGGAAAATGCTGATAATATGCACAACTACCCTTGGTACTGATCATTCCTGTAAAGTTTAGATGAAATTGCACCAGTAGTTTATGAGGAGTATCTGGCAACACACAGAAAAATACCTTTTTTTATCAAAGGGCCATAACTCGGCCAAAAATCATTCAACCGGAAAACCCTTGCAATATGCGCAAGGACTTGAGCTACAGATCAATCCAGTAAAGTTTCATTGAAATTGCTTTAGTGGTATAAGAGAAGTAGTCCGGACAAACTTTTAAATTAAAAATTATTAAAGGGCCATAACTCTGCCAAAAATCATTGAACCGGAAAATGCTGACAATATGCACAACTAGACTTGGTACTGATCATTCCTGTAAAGTTTGGATAAAAGTGCAGTTTGGTTGAAATAATTAAAATACCTCAATGAATTTTGGAGAAGTTCAACACGGTAGAAATATTGTTAGTACACAGCTGCCAACATTCAGTTATCTAGTATTTTTCATTGGTTAATAAATAAATTTCTACAAAGTCATACAAGATACTGATGACTGATATGTTTTATTCATTTATCTACATACCCCCAACATGGTACCCGTCCTAGTCTCAAATATCCTCATTTTTTTATCTTTACATGTGGTAACATACTTGGTACCATCGTAGTTAAATGACATACTGAGGCAGAGATCAGGTAAATCAACTTCGACGAGGGCTTCACATGTCCCAACGTTCCAAAGCAGCAGCTTGTGATCGGCACCTAAAATACCAACAACATGCGTTCATTATGTTTACCCTCGTCTCATATCTGTTAATATATAACTCATGGTGATATGTCATAAATGTTGAAAATTTAAAGTTAACCTATAACTAGGAACCTAGCTAGATACGGATAGAGGGTGGTTCCATCAAGGTACTCATACCTGAAATAGGGCACTTCCTCCACCGGTCAACCACATGACCTTTACAGTGTCTATATGACTTATGAATCAGCCATGAAAAACAAATGATGACACTAAGTGCAAACATCAATTGTCATAGGAAAACTTTGCCTTGACTGAATAACAAACAAAGACCACTTGATTGTATAGCTGATGCTTTCTTTATTAAGCTAAGCAAATGAATACCTCAATATTGAAGATTTTATACCATTTTATGTTGAGATTTATACTATTACAGTTGAAGCTTTACAGTATTCAAAGTTGAAACTTTGTACCATTTGAAGTTAAAGCTTTACACTATTTAAAGTTAAAGCTTTATACTATTTCAAGTTAAAACGATACACTATTAAAAGTTTAAGCTTTACACAATTTAAAACTGAAGCTTTGTACCATTTAAAGTTAAAGCTTTACACTATTTAAAGTTGAAGCTTGATACCATTTCATGTTGAAGCTTTACATTATTCACAGTTGAAGCTTAATACCATTTGAAGTTGAAGATTAACAGTTTATTCAAAGTTGAAGCTTTATACCATTTTAAGTTGAAGCATGATACCCATATAAAGTTAAAGCTTAATACAATTCAATTTTGAAGCTTGATACCATTTCATGTTGAAGCTTCAAAACAGCAAATGCTGAAATCTAACAGAAAAGCAATACTGATTGATGTTTGGTTATTTTGAGATTCAATATGTTAATCATACTTTTGGGAAAATTGTTATCAGCAAATATCAATTTTTCACATGACCTTACTAAGTAACTGATGAAATATGTTAAAAAATCAGTTTTCTATAAAGGGCCTATCAGTAGGACAGCATGCTAATCTATTCTTAATGCTTAATAGTAAAACAAAAGCCTGGATAATGTAGAATTTTCAAAAGTTCAAAAAGGGGCATAGTACTGTCAAAATCCATATAAGAATTATGTGCCTTGAATAGTGCCTTCTGGTTATGTGAAGTTTCAACCCATGCCCTTCAGTAAATTTTGAGATACCAACTTGCAAGCAAAACCTTTAACCTGATTGTGATGCTGGCGTCAGGGTGTGTACATTACTTCTCATTATTCTTCAAATAGTCTGGCTACATATCATTTCTGGGGCATAATGTGCTTTTAATTTCACTTACAAAGCAAAGGGAGACAATTCAAAACATGATATAATTTACCTGCACTTAAGACTAAATTTAAAGCAGATGGATGCCATTCTATATAATGAACTCTCCGTTGATGTCCCATCAAATCTGCCACAGGCTCTGTCAGGTTTGATGTTAAAACTTCATCTGGAATCTGCCAAACTTTCACTGTTGTGTCCTCCCCACAACTAGCTATGACATTATCATTGTGTGGGCACCATTTTATATCAAGGACAGCTCCTGTGTGGCCAGTCACCATAGGATGGTCTCTTTCTACACGCCCTGTCTGCAATGGTAAAAGAAATTACATAAAATACATAAACAGCAATGTTTATTTACAGGTCTGTTTCAACAGTCCCCTACTTAATGGACAATCAAGGCAAGAATAAGAAAAATTTAAAGGAAAGAATATACATTTTCTTTTATAAGCCATGATTTATATCTGTTAAAATTCTAAAGTATTAGTATTATAAAGAATTAGCAGAGTATTCTCCCTTGTTACAATATCAACATATATTCATGTGCAATATATCTTCTACCAGTACAAAGCCAGGCCAGTATGAATGTGCATGCACTTTGACCAGTCTTCCTACCGGCTAGAAACCAACAATGGACAGTTGTAAATTATAAACACAGGTCATGTCCCATTGTAAACACAGGTTTCAAGTATGAATTTAGCCAAGGACAGATTCAACCAACACTTGCCATAAATAACTCTCATCTCAAGTATGGTCTAAAGGTCACTTAACTATTGTTACAATTAAATTGTTTAAACAGGATCCATAAAAGTTACTCATTCAACTCAAATCATAAATGATCAACAAAATTATTCACATTTCCTTTAGTTGAAGAGGTTTTCAAGTACTAGATAAGTATACATATTGTCAGTAAATTCATCTTCATTACCTCATTTATTTTACTTCTTTGTTGACTTAAAGCAGCACGCCTCCAGATTCATGCTAATTTTCATAAAAAAATGAAAAAGTATCTAACAGTACAATATTGTGAAGTTACCAAAATAATGCAATTTAGACATTATCAATGGCACTTACAACCCATGTTAACTACCATAAGGAGGTCAAAATATGCAAAAATAGTCCTTACTGCATTACTAACGCAGTAGAAATATAGTTATAAATACTGAAAAAATGGTAATTAATTGCAAATACTGCGAATTCACTTATATTTGTGGGCATGAAAGTTCGTGGTTTTATCAAAACGGGCATTTTCGTGGATTCTTAAATTCGTGGATTTTCGTTTTCTTGTTAAAAAAAAAAATCAGTAACCTAATGCAAAGTAATCTTAATCGCCGAACATTTTTACTTACAACATGTACATATCTTTACTTGTCACACAGCGGTTGTCAATAAATTTAATCCTTGCCTCTGGGCATAACTCTAATATAGCACAGTTACTGCCGATAATTGACTGCAATTAACAAATTTATGTGACATGATATGCACCTCCATTGGACACACTGTCCCTGTAATTCGACGATGTAAACATCGCATAATTTATACGACACCTGGCACGTATTAACCAGCGAGTTTAAAAGTTTACACTTAACATATTTGACAGTAACTACACGCAACGTCACAGCGACTGTGTAAATTTACATGCATATAAATTATTCTCGGTAAATAACACGAGTATATGTGGATCTTGTAAAAATCGGTGGCGTCTTTGATGTTTACGGAATGTCATTCGCACAAATACTGATTAAAATTCATATAAACTGGATCATTTTAAAACTACCAAAGAAAGTACAATAAATCTGTTTTAGCGATCGTATTTTTTTTTATAGTTTTGTGTACTTACGACATTAATATCAAAGACTTTTTTAAAATTAATAAGAGCAAACTGACAATTTTTATAAGTGCTAATTATTGCACTGCCTGGGTTCCCATATTTACTCGATTATGTCAAGTATTCTTGTTAACACAATCAAGTCCCAGTAGACTACAACGATCAAGTATGTATATGCGACATTTGTGACAGTAAATTGAGGACATATAATCGTGTTTACTTTCAAGTTTCTTAAATATTGCAAACAGATTTAATATGTCACTAACCTGGTTATCTGTCTGTGCTTACATCTATTTCACAAAATATCGGCCGGAAAAGAGCCGACGCATGTTTGTAATATATAGAACAGAGACAGGGTAAGAAGTATTTGTTGGGATAAAAGTTCGTCGGATCTTAAATTCGTGGATTGACCTACCCACGAAAACCACGAAAATTCGTCCCCCACGAATAATAATGATTTTATAGTAACATGTAAATTAATACTAGAATTTTGAATCCTTATACTCTTCCGAAAATCTAATTACCTTATTCTCAGGTTTGATTATATTGAAATATTTTTGCTCATCTGGAGGCGTGCAGCTTTAAAAGCACACACTTATAAGTTTACCATTTTTAGTAACACTGGCATTAGTTTATATCAATTTATTTTACTTTGATTATATTGGAAGCTATAAGCTTATTGAAACACTCTTGAATCCGTTCCTGGAACCAACTACTACTAAGCAATTAGTGTAAAGTTTCTTGCTTGCCCCTGACGGGGTTTGAACCCAAGCAACCAGCAATCCATAGCCATGCTGCCATTGGTCTTGTAAACAGACATGTGTTACAAGTAAAGAGAGAAGTCAGTTGGACTGCACATACACATATTATTTTTCTGCTGAATTTATATAATGTTCTCTTTCCAATGAATCCTTACCATGCATAATATCTTAAATGAACATGTCCATCCTCAACTGGACAAAACCATTCACCGTTTTAAAACTGTTAATTGCTTAACCCTTATCCCATTAAATTTCTAAAATGGACTTGTAAACCTTCAAATTTGGACAAAACCATTCATAATTTAGGGAAAATTACAAATGAATACTGAATGAATAGCATCTGCCAGTTGATCTTGGGCTGCACTCATGACATGTGCAAATTGAGATGCTGCCAGCTGGCTAATTAAGAGTTAACTTTAGAGTACACTGATATCACACTCCATCATATCAATAATGGAAAATTTATTCTAATTTCAAAGCTGGACAAATCTTTTATATAGTTTAGTATGCTAAATGGTTAACTTTCAAAAATGGTTTATCAACTCAATATATATAAAATATAGTTAACATTATTTGGTATATTCAAATGATGCAACATAAATGATAATGAACAGGCCAAAGGGGAAAAATTTTAAAACATTAAACATCAAGGTCAAATATAAATTTGAGTAAACTGATAAAATCTGATTGTATACTGAAACACTGAGCTGTATCTTAGATAACAAAGGCCAAAGATTGATGTCATTCTATTTTAATGGGCACTTATGTTTCTAGTTAGAAATTCACTCCTTATACATTCTTTAAAGATCAAAGGACATTTTGCCCCCCAGATTTAAATCTAACCAACTTCTTTTTATCTTTTATATACAACAAAATAAACCTGAAAATAACTTGGAATTTAACCCTTAACATACTAAATATCTTAAATGGACTTGTCCATCTTGAAAGATGGACTATACAATTATCATTTTGAAATTACAGAAAATTTCAAAATATGTACTGACTGAATAGCCAACAGTGCACTGAGTACAGACCATGATCATAGACAGGGATACAAATCACTAGATTTAGTAATCTGAGGTACAAATGAACACGATCTCTACTTACAACAATGTCAAGCAAAAAAGCTTTTCCAGCAAATGATATGCAATAGTGATATAATAATAATGACAATGTTACTATGAAATTGTGTAATATCATTTACTGGCCGTTTATTTTATGTGTGTAACTAAGAAAATACAATTAAAGGATTCAAGTGTAGTGAAGCTTGCAAATTTATGCTCAAATTCACTGTATCCTAGTAGTGAACATAATTTTAATATTATTTACATAGAAAATTGCAATGGTAACTGTGAGATATAAATATATTAATAAATTAAAGACTTTTCAAGGACATTTCAAACATCATAAATATCATTATAAGTTATATATATATATTTTGAAAGAATATTTAGTACAAATTGTCAGTTTAGTGCAGTAACATTTTAACTCCTATTAAATTTCAAAAGAAGTTAACATGTTACTGCATACTAACTAATGTCAGAACTGTTTGCTCTTAAAATAACAAAATGCTATATGTTTTAATCTACACACACTATGCAATGATCAAAATACTTTTTAAACACTATCAAAGCACTGAAATATTTATTTTGGGTAGATTTTTCTAAAAAAATTTGTTGCACATTTTTAATATTATGACTGGTTTATGCTTGCTTAAAATTCCCTGATTTTTTGGTCCAAATCCCCTGCTTTTAACAGCCAAACCCTCCTATCTAAGTTGCTGGAAATATGGCATATACATATACATGTATGTCAGGTGATGTCAATAATTTTACATAAAATAATTGCTTTTGGTTTAATAATTTATTGTGACAAAACAAGCAGGAACTAAAAGTTTGTCAAAACATGTGGGACACTTATGCTTCCTTAACAATTTCCTTTCACAGTGACATTATTACATACTCAGATTCATTGAGGAAGCTCCAGTTATTAGGTACAGATTTCCCATCAAACCTCATTGTGACCTTGACCTTGAATCACTAGGGGTCATCAACTGGTTATGGAAAATGTCTCTACCAAGTTTGACAGACTTTGCCTTCTTCCATAGGTATAGGGTTATCAATCATACAAGGATTTAAACACAGTGTCACAGTGCCCTTAATCTTTGACTTGATGACCTCAAAATCAATAGCAGTCATCTTCTGGCCACAGGCAATGCACCTACAAAGTTACAAAAGTTACAGCTTATTCTTTCTCAAATTATTGATCAATAAACATAACAGGGCTAACTAACCACAGACATACTGATTGACTGATCCCAGCCCATTTTCCATGTGGGGGCATAAAATTGATTTAGTTTCAATAATTCTATCCTCCTTTGCCATGAGTTTCAAAATTTGAGAATGAGTGACTTAGAGATAAAATAAACTGTGGATGTAACCAGCAGTGATGTGTGGACTGACAGACCTTATATCAGATTATGACCAGCCTACAGTATTGTTTTATACACTTGTAAATTGAAAAAATGCAAGAATTCAATATTTGTTTTTGACCCGAGTCAAGCTTCTATATACAACACAGAAACCAATGCATTATCTGGTTTTGACCTAAGTCAATGTTCACTGTATATGATGAGGATGTGAAGATTGGTATCTATCAGCCAGTACAATACTTGATATATCATCAGTCGTTTTATCTGATAAATACATGTATTTCTACATCCTTTCTTTACAATTGTATAAGCAGGAAACTAAATCAATGTACTTGTTTTAAAAATATCAAAAGCATTCTTATGTTTATTAGGTCATAATCTAAATTCATTTTTTATTAGGATTTAAAATAATAATAATATTTAAAAACAAGAAACATGGCAATGCCATGAAACCAGGTTTTCAATTATCACCATTGTAGATAAATATGTTGTATTTGAAATACAAATACAAGCAACAAACAATGTAACTATGTGCAATGTAAAACATGAATAATGTAGGAGGAATTGCCACTGAGTAGTGTTCACTATATATTCTGTATAAGGAAAAAAAACAAAGGGCCATAATTAGGTCAAAAATTATCCAATCACAAAACTCCGACAAAATGTGCCAGGGCACTTGATGACAAAGCTTCTGTGAAAGTTTGAACAAAATCCGTTGAAAAATGTAGGACGAGTTCAGCACAGAAGAATTTGTTCACTATATATTGATAATTCTGTATAAGGAAAAAAATCAAAGGGCCATAATTAGGTCAAATATTATCCAATCACAAAACCCCGACAATATGTGCCAGGGCATTTGATAACAAAGCTTCTGTGAAAGTTTGGTCAAAATCTGTTGAGAAATGTAGGAGAAGTTGCGCACGATAGAAATTATTCACTATATATTCAGTATAAGGAAAAAAAACAAAGGGCCATAATTAGGTCAAATATTATCCAATCACAAAACCCCGACAATATGCCCCAGGGCAATTGGTGACAAAGGTTCTGTGAAAGTTTGGTCAAAATCCGTGGAGAAATGTAGGAGGAGTTGCGCACAGAAGAAATTGTTCACTATATATTCTTTATAAGGAAAAAAAACAAAGGGCCATAATTAGGTCAAATATTATCCAATCGCAAAACCCCTTAAATATGTGCCAGGGCACTTGATGACAAAGCTTCTGTGAAAGTTTGGTCAAAATCCGTTGAGAAATGTAGGAGGAGTTGCGCAAAGAAGAAATTGTTCACTATATATTCTATATAAGGAAAAAAAACAAAGGGCCATAATTAGGTCAAATATTATCCAATCGCAAAACCCCAACAATATGCGCCAGGGCACTTGATGACAAAGCTTCTGTGAAAGTTTGGTCAAAATCCGTTGAGAAATGTAGAAGGAGTTGCGCACAGAAGAAATTGTTAACGCCCGCCCGTCCGTCCGCCCGCCCATCCGCCCGCCGACATACCTCAATCTAATAACCAGTTTTTTCCTTCGGAAAACCTGGTTAAAAACCTGAAGCAAATGAAATTTTAATTGCTATGTGCTAAAATCAAGCCCTTGAAAAGGCCTTGATTTTTTAATTATTTACATTTTTTATTTTCTATGTGGTTAAGTTACTTTAGATACAAAAATGAAAGTTTTTTATCAATACAATTAGCATAAAAGTCTTTGAAGAAGTACAAAAATTTAAATAAGTTTGAAATATAAATTAAGTAAAAGTATGTTAGAATAATAGGCATCGGAATGCAACATTAAATAGGGACTCATTTAAAAGACAACAAACCTTCAAGAAAAACAGTGGGATACTTTTTCCACAGGGCAATAATCCTAATAAATTGTGTACAACTAAGCAAGCATTCACAACTGACAAATTTCATTATCACTACCTGCTCAATTTTATTATTATACATGTATAAGACACATTTTACAGATCTTAATGCAAAGTCAATTAGATTCATAACAAAAATTCAGCAGGAAAAATGTTAGTCTCGTTCAAGCAAACAATCAATCCATAACATTCACTTATATTTTCAAATGATTAATTCATTGATTGTTATTTTAATACTTAATTCTATTGAAAACCATTTTACATGTAAATTGTGCATTTTTTTCAAGATGTCCAGAACCAGGACCAAGCATCCACATGGTGAAAAGGTACAATATTACAAGACAGGCCTGTACCTGGCCATTTTGGGAAAAATTACATTGCCCAGCTTGGGAAATTTTGCATATTGGGAAAAATATATGTAGCTCCTTTTAGCAAAGCATTTTGAATTGTGCAACATAGTTCATTCTAACCAACACAAATATCAACCAAAGTGTAAAAGATAATTAGATATAATCAAATTTGACAATAAAATGTGAGGAAATATCTGTTTATTACAACACCTGAATTAATTTCAGCAAATTTGTCAGTTTAGATATTGGGGATTTAAGTTGGAATGGGATTTTTTTTCCACATATTCAGAAAAAATAAGCATATTTCACATTGGAAATGGATCTGATAATCTGACCTAGGATGAAACTGGGAAAAGACATGTAAGATTTTTACTGGCATACTGTTGAAACACACCAAACTTTGATATTTAACCCTCAACTAGCTGAATTTACCTTCTTATGAATTTGGAAAAGTCTTTTTAAAGTTTAAGTGATTTCAAAATACAAATATTGAGCTAGCAACAGTATAAATTTTGGCCAGACTGCACATATGTGCAGAGTGCAGACTGGCATGGTTTCTTACTGTTGGAAGGCTAGATTAAGGGTTAAAGCTTTTTGCATGTAAAATGGTTAATCATAATGATTTGTAAGATTTACAAACATCTCTTCCAATCTTCACAGCCTCCCTCAACTTGATTGCAGCATATTTATTTATTTATACTTAACCTGCTGGAACCAAAAGTGTCACTTAAAAAGATTTCAATATTTCTAATCAAGTCACTCACCTTTGATAATGGAAGAACTAGAAAGGCACCACCACCGGCAGCCTCTGTAATAATGGCTACAAATTTAGGGTTCACTGAACAAAATTTACTGTCCAATGAGCTCTTTGATATGCGTATATTATCGTAACATTGATCCTTTTTCAATGGCTGAGCATATACATGCCGAAACTTGCTCTGTCGCATTTTAAACGCCATCTGAAATAAAAACAAGATGATAATACATATTAAAGTAAACAGAAAATACATGTATTTAGACCAGATCCTTTTTAGATCAATTTGTTTATATTAATATGTTGAAAATTGGTATCATAGTTATTCACAACTGACAACATTTTTAATCCTCAGTACACAAATATCTTTAATAAACAGACTTGTCTATCTTCCAATCTGGTGAAAACCATTCATTTTTGTGTGTGAAAAATTTCAAAATAACTATTGACTAGGGTTGCAAGAATTCACTTTCTCTTGATTTTATTCTCCATCATTGCTTGGCGATTTTGATTTATTTCGATTTGATTACTTAGGCTATGTTAACATTACTTTTGAAAACTTTTGTTTAATATCAGAAAGGAGGTATAATTGCGAAAAAGGTTGACAATAAATCAAATCGAAATACAACCATGATCAATCAAGAATCAAATCAGTTATGAATTGAGGTTCATCATAATCACGAGTATTTGTTTCACTCCTAGTATTGACTTGATAGTGAACAGTGCAGACAATAATCACATGGGTATACATGTATTTAGTTGCTACCAGCAAACAACTGTTCCTGTGTGATAGCTCCTTCACAAGGAATGATTTATGTCAACAAAGTATAACCTAAAGGTATAACAAATTGTTTAGATGTTGCTAAACTACCCCTAAATAGGGCTGCACAGCAAGCTGTACCTACTTCGCATAATTTTTGAAAAATAAATAATTAAATATATAAACTATTCCATACAGTGAAATTTCGCAAAAAAAGGGGAAAAACTTTGTTTAAAACTCCACATGCGGGGGTTCCCAACTAAATTTAAATGCATGGGAATTCATAAGCAAGGGGCTAATGCAAAATTTTGACTTTAGATGAAAAAATATTTTTGTCTTTAAATCAATGACTTACCTTTGAAGCCTAAAGTCCTTTAAAGAAAAGGTGCAAAATTTTGCAATTGTATAATAAATTAAATAAAAGAAAAAATTTTTTTTTTCCCAAATCCCCAGAAAACTGGGGTTGGTACCCAAATTGGGGCCCATCTGATAAGGGAAAATCCAGAATCTTGCCACTGATAGCTGTGACTATCTTAACAATAGGGTTACAGGCCTGATCAGGACTTAAATCTGAGCCCTACAGAATATGCCACTACTGACAAACTTCTGACTGAACTATCTAAATTCTTACATAGTTTTCCCCCCATGCATATAATTTTGGGTCCTTCTAAACACTGGAAGCCTACTTTTTAGGACCACTTTTTAGTGACACAGTAGCATAGCTGCATTACATTAATCCTATTAATTCCTATTCTTTTAACATGACTGAGGCACAGTCGTTAATGCCAAGTACATGTAGATAAATCAAATTATTTACTTACTTACCAATTAGACAAATTTAATGGGGAAAAAAAGATTATAAGATAGATTATGAAAGTTGACAGTAGATCTATAATTTAATAACATGCAAGTGGCAAAGTGCACATATTCCAGACAATCAAAGTAACCTAAATGTTTCCATTCAAATAAACTTTCAAAGTCGAAAATAAAAGTCAAACAGACAAAATCTGTTCCATAGATCATTTGAAGACCATAAAAGAGGAAAAGTCCGGAAGAGAAAGTTCAGAAACGTGCTAGTTTCAAAATCAGTCAAATGTCAAGTCCAATTTTTGTCCTCCTTTCGCATATTCTGATATACACACAGTGAAAATAAATCAGAGATAACATTACCTTGAAAAATATTCTTTACTTTTTACAAAGGAAAGGGACAGGACGGGATAAAACTGTCAAAAACGCCCTCCTTCTCTTCCGTGATTTCGAGCAGGAAACAAAAGATTGCTCATGCGCATGGAGAATGAGACTGGTTCCACGCTTATCTTATTTATTTTGATTCGTTTCGACTATGAGCCAGGAAACAATCATACCGGGAAGTGAGTACCATAAAAGGAGTCTAAAATAATATTGCTGAAAAATCCATATTTGTTGTTTTCTAAGGAAGTGTCATTGGGTAATGTCAAAAGAATTGAATAATGCCTATATTTATGCATGATTTTAATCCAGTTTTAAGCTCGTAGTATTTTCTGAAGTATATATTTTATACTAATAATTGAAGAATGTAATCTGAAGGGAGGTAACTGTTTTGTTTACATACCTGCCAAAGTACTCTGTGAATTTTAGTGAGTTCGCCTGGGATGGTGCTGTGTTCTCATCAATGAGTAATCAATAAGTTATGTTGAAATAAAAAATGCTGAATAAATAAATATCAGGTCTTGAAGTGCAGTTCCACTGATTAAAAATTAAATGTACAGACCTGTCTTTTAATTACTTTTTTTTTAACAAGTTAATATATTTATAAAAGATATACACATCTTTATCAGTTCAGCATGAGCAGTTGCAATTCCAAGAAATAAAAAATAAGAATATTTGTTGTTCATTTTTTTAAGTTTGACATTTTTTTCAAGAAAAAAATACATGTATTTTTAACACATAGTTTCTTAAAATCTCAAGAAAAAAGTTAACCATTAAATGATTGACTTCATCTTCACAGTCTTCATAAATTCATTAATATTCCTTTACCTTATATATACCTGTAGGATGATACCTGTGGGACGATTCTTGGCTCTGATGGAAGGACTAAGCCTTTTCTTTTTTCAAACTTTCGCCACTACTTAATGTTGGTCTCATCATATTATATTTATTTATATGCATATATACAACTTTCAGTTCACACTGCTGTGTAATTTTTACAGCATAATGCTTCAGAAACATAATATCAGATACATTAAAATAGACAAACTTACAGAATTAATATTTTTTTCTAGCTAACCCTCAGCTACAGACTGTTACAACTTGGAAAATAAGCATAACAAATTCACTAATCTAACAACTATATACATCACTGTATTTAAATCAAATTAAACCAGGCGTGGTATGTCGTCTAACATTACTTTTTCACTTTTGATATTCTTTTCAGAACAAAGATGACAAGCAAAATCAAAATTGAGAAGTGGGATAACACAGTTGATGGACCTCTCTCTGTTGAAACTATGGAAAAGAAACTACGTCAACAAGGTTACCATTGTACACAGTATGAATTTTCACCTGGGACAAATTTTCCAGACCATACACATAGTATTTCAAAGAAAGACTCAATAGTAACTGGACAGTTTCAGTTCAGTATGTACGGAGAAACTGTAGTTCTAAATCCGGGAGATATGGTTGAAGTACCTAAAAACACTGTACATAATGCAAAGGTTGTTGGGAGTAAAAGTGTGATATTCTATGATGCCACAAAGTAAAACAGATATAAAAGTTAGGAAGAAAAGTCAACAAATGCTTGCAAAGGTCCCATGGTTGTCTTGTGAAGATAAAACAGTAGAATCATCAATTTTGTTTGGATTGTTATTTGTAACACACATTGTATGATTTTGCTTCAGTAGTCTATATTTAGAGGTATCAAAGGAAAGGCTGTATCTTAACTGGACAATTAATGTGAGTCAAGCAGGAACCCATTGATTTTAAGATTTTATGTAATCAGTTAAGATCATTTCTGAACCATTAACATACTGGCCGCTACAGAATTTACTTGTGAAACCATCTGTGCCATCTAATCATGGTTTGCACCTTTTGCTTTTCAGTCAGTATCAGATTATGGAATGGTTGTAATGTCAAGGGTCAGGGTCACTTTTTAAACTTCACACACAGACTAGGTGTGGCCGCTTTAGTGAATAATTGTATGAAATGCTGAAAAATGTTTGCTATTAGTTTATTGAGTGTTTGTACTGTTAATAGTGACTAAGATATTCTCACTGGTGTGACCAGTAAGCAATTAACAATAACCACACATATAGTTTATTGTAGCACTTTAAATTATGGCATGGTTACATTCATTTATAACCCTGATTTTGCTAAATTTGCATGATGATGTTGTCTTGCTTTACCATTGTTAGTTTCAGAGCTTTCAATACAATATAAATTCAACACTATCCACTATTGTGATAAAGCTTTAAGTGAAATGAGTAGATTAAAATTGAAAATACATATGACATGTTGTTGTTGGGAATTTTTGTTTTATTAATAGAAATGATAATTTTGGCAATTACTCAATACTGGTTAGTTGTCCAGGAAAGTCCGTAAGGTGGAATAATCACCAAGATATTACCTAAACCATGCTTTAAAATTGGCATAAAATTACAACAAGGTAATACAAGAGCGATCAGTAATAACATGTGTCGCCTCATGATGGCCAATTTCATGTTGGGACAAATTTTGTGACAGACGGACAGACAGACAGACAGTGCACAACTAGACTTGGTACTGATCATTCCTGTAAAGTTTGGATAAAATTGCACCAGTAGTTTATGAGGAGTAGTCCGGACAAGCTTTTGTGTATCTGGCAACACACAGAAAAAAACACCTTTTTATCAAAGGGCCATAACTCGGCCAAAAATCATTCAACCGGAAAACCCGTGCAATATGCGCAAGGACTTGAGCTACAGATCAATCCTGTAAAGTTTCATTGAAATTGCATTAGTGGTATAAGAGAAGTAGTCCGGACAAACTTTAAAATTAAAAATTATTAAAGGGCCATAACTCTGACAAAAATCATTGAACCGGAAAATGCTGACAATATGCACAACTAGACTTGGTACTGATCATTCCTGTAAAGTTTAGATGAAATTGCACCAGTAGTTTATGAGGAGTAGTCCGGACAAGTTTTGTGACGGACGGACGGACAGACAGACGACGGAGAAGTGATCCCTGTATGTCGCCACTACTCCGTAGAGGCGACACAAAAATAGAGCAGGCTGCTCGAGTGAATGCTGGCCTAGGTCTGTACAGTTTGGCTTAATTAGACAAACTTTTAATAACATGTTGAAGAAAAGGTTTGTTTCTTTTAATTTCTGTCATATATAACACAAAGTCGTTTCAACATTTACACATTTGTTTATTTTGTTTTGATAAAATGTACAAGAAAATAAATGCAATTTTGGACGGCCTTTTTGTATACTTGGCTATTTGTTACGAGTTTTAATTACAAATATACATCAAAAATAAAAGGTAGCACATTTAATTGTGGGACAGAATTATGTAATGCATGAAAGTGTAAACTACAATATTTCATAAAATTAACACAATACAAATCATGGTTTGTTAAAATTGAGACAAATATTTTAATGTGTGTATACTTTTTTCCCCATGTAGCTAAAGCAATTCATCTTTTTGCATTTATTGAATTTTGTTGCTTGTTAGATTCAATAATACCATTCAGACGAAGAAAATCTTATCTCATTAAATACAAGCCAGTATCTAGTGATTTTGGACCTTGTGTAAACAAACAATTTTTATTGCTGAGTCATTTTGTGAATTGTGTAAACAAACAATTTTTTTGCAGTCATTTTGTGTAAGTTAGCCTTTCTGCAGTGCAACCTCTGTAGAATGACCATCTATAGAGCAATGACCTCTTATACAATATCATATATACATATCAGTTTTTTCTAAAAGAATAATTCACAATAAATTATACGTCTTTATAGCAACATATCCCTGCAATTACCAAAACTTTAATTTTCCAAATCGAGTTGCTCTGCAAAGGTTGAAGTGTATTAGTAAAAGTATTAAAGCATTGATATTACTTGTGCAATTTTTACCAGTTTAACTATACAATCTAGTTTATAAAACATTTAAAATTATATATACCTGGCAACAGGCCTTCAAATTTTTAATCATATTATAATTTCAATGACATTCTAACTTTTACAAGGACCAAAGTCACTAGACAGTACTCATTTCTTTTGTGTATATGTCATCTTTAAAAGTAAACTTCTGTATATTTCATTGAAAGCTTGGTATATAGTTTATCCATTAAGCTATCTACATGTAATAATCTGAACAACATACCCTTAATTTTGTTGGGAACAAAAACTGAACCCATATAGAAACCAACAACCTTCATTGTAAAAACATTGTAAAACTAACTTCGTCCTAGCCACAACACAAACTTTAAATAAATAATATATATTATAAACTGAAACATTTGGTAGGTGATAAAATTTTAAGTTTTGCTTATTTCATAAACAGAAATGTAATAAAATTTTAACATGGGTTTATTTCATATACAAAAATTCAATTACCCTCGAGACATATTTGAATGTGACATTTTAAGTTAAGTTTCTGTAGAATAAAATATGTAGGAAAGACACAACAATGATATCCACATAGATAACTGCCTTATATAACAATAGCAAACTTTATTATTTTGTAAAAAAAAGGCACCAAATAAAATCATTGATATGCAACATTATGATTTGTTAAGTATGAGGAATGTATTCAGTTTTACTGACATGTTAATCTAAAATGGATATTTCACGATACTATAGTCTAACTTTGAGTTTCTACAATGAATGCAAATTACAGACCAACCCTGGTAAATAACCACCAATGAATTTGTCCGGTCATTGTTTTGAAAATGTAAATTATGTGGGATTTGTAGTCAGTCATTTGCAGAGAAATTGGTAATTACTAGCTACTTGTCCAGGAAAGCTGATTAGGTGGATTTATCACCAAAATATGACCACATCATGCTTTATAATTGACATAAAATCCAGAAAAATCACTTTTTTTTTAAAAAACATGCAACAAAATGCGAAGTTTTATGTTCCCACTTATAGACAATAAGAAAATAGAAAACTCTTAACCCATTGCTTCATGAGCATTTTGTGAAAAATGGCTGTTTTCATTGAAAAGTCTCCCGTTACAAGTTCAAATTGCTATAATACTATAAAAACTGCTTCAACACTAATCAAACTTGGCACAAATGTTGACTGGACCATTGTCCTTGCAACAACATGCTCAGGCTTAAATTTTCTGTTACCATGGCAACGAGGGGACATCTCAAAATTGCCAAAAATCACTATTTTGCGTTGATTTTTTCCATCAAAATTGATTTCAAAGTGCTGCAACTTCTCAATGGATTGAGATAGAGTCAAATGCTTTTCAGCGTTGGTTACACGTTACCTTATGATCAATCTGGGGTCATTTACAGCCTCTCACAAGTCCAAAATTTTCTTGGCGATGAGGGGGACTCCGCCCCCCTTCAAACCCCCCAAAACAGAAGGGGGCACATCCCCCTTCTGGCAACCCCCTACCTATTGGTTGGGGGGCCGCGCCGAAAAAAAGGTCACTTTTTTAACAACATTTCTCAAACTAAAACAAGTGTTTGGGGCCTAAATAAGGCATTTTTTCATCATTTGAGACAACAAAAAAGGGGGGGGGGGTGAAAAAGGCGTTAAAAGGCGTGTATATGAAGTAATGGGTTAAATGACAAAGAAAACTTCATATTAATCTGAAAGTGGCTATAAAGTCATGTTTAACTGTATCTAAGATGTTGCATAAAAATGAGTATTTTGAACATGATTCCATTAGTAGATACAAAGTTAATTAATTAATAATTAAAATGATTAACTTTGTAACACTCTTTAAGAAATGTTGAAAACAATTTAATAACAAGAGCTGTCACAGGAGACAGCGAAGCTCGACTAATAAAATACTGGACGCAGTAAGGAGGACAAAACTATGAAAGAAAAATCAATTATGTATAATTATGTATTAAGTTATAGTAAAAAAATAACATTTGTTAACATTAATTCCAAGGTCAAGGGGAATAATTCTAGAAATAGTCATGCTAGAGTTATGGACCTTGTCACACAACATTTGTGTAATGATAAGAAATATATATTTGAAGTTTGAAGTAGATACCTTAAAAAGTAAAGAAGTTATTATATTTCTTAAAGAAAATCCTAAGTTCAAAGAGAGATAAATCTGTAAATATTGCTTCAAGAGTTATGAACATTGTCACATAAAATGTAATTGATGATAAGGAATAAGTATTTGAAGTGTGAAGTAGATACCTTTAAAAATAAAAATGTTATAATAAAAAATAACATTTTTCTAGTAAAAAAATCTAAGTTAATGGGGAGATAATTATTGCAATATTGGTGCTAGAGTTATGAACCTTGTCACATAAGATGTGGATGATGATAACGTAAATATATTTGAAGTATGAAGTTGATCCCTTTAGAAATAAATAAGTAACAGTAAAAAATAATATTTTTTATGGAAAATTCTAAGTTCAAAGGGAGATAAATCTGAAAATATTGGTGCTAGAGTTATGAACCTTGTCACATAAGATGGGGATGATGATAACGTAAATATATTTGAAGTATGAGGTTGATCCCTTAAGAAATAAAGTAACAGTAAAAAATTGTATTTTTTAAGGAAAATTCTAAGTTCAAGGGGAGATAAATCTGAAAATATTGGTGCTAGAGTTATGAACCTTGTCACATAAGATGTGGTTGATGATAAGGAACATATATTTGAAGTTTGAAGTGTTGATAACTTAAGAAATGACAAAGTTATAGTGAAAAATATTTTACTGCACCAAAACTTTAATCTAAAATCTGGACGCGGACGCCGGGGCGAGTAGGACAGCTCTCCATATACTCCGTATAGTCGAGCTAAAAAATATTCTTCTAATATGATATAACTATTCATAACAATTTAGAGAAGGAATATGTCAATGTTAAAGTGAATTGGTCTATTATGGAAGATTTGTAATACAATAAAACACTATGTTGACACTATTTAGTATCATACAAAACAGGAAACCATGAAAAAGTATGCATACAAATGTATATGATGTTAGTAAGTTTGTGATACATGATCTGATATTACATATCTTTATATACAGCAGATAAATTGTTCTAGAACAAAATATTATTTTTCATCATATAAATGTTAATACTATATCACTTAAAACTCTTATCAACATTTCTTTTTCAAGATTTTTAAGAATATCCAAATGATATATTTCTATTATTTTTTATCAATATTTGAATTACTTATGGAAAATGTGCCCATTGTAGACCAATCCACTTTAACAAATAAGAAGAATAATCTAGTTGTAAAATTATAACTGCATTAATGCAAAAATTTCAACATTTAAGTTTGAATCATCTACTAATTATGATACCACAAAATCTAGGGTCCCTTCTTACAAAATACAAGTCACCAAACAAACTGAAAGTCTTAAACTTAATACAATGGACATAATATTGAATATCAATTAATCAACCACAATGATAAAATGAAATACATGGTAATAACATTTATACATGTAAAAACAATAAAGAGAAAAACATTATGTCTACTGCATTGTGACAACATTCAATCAATAAAAATCACACGATAATATCACATGTTCTAAATAAAATATACACAGATCGTAACTGAAAATAGAGAAAAACTTTTTTTCTGAACACAGTATCTAAAAATGTTTCATAAACATTTTTCTATTGTTTCTATCCTACAAAACAAATCTAGCATTTTTTTTTATTTTCTTTTCAAAATATAACATTAGCATAAAACATAAAGCAATTTACAAGGCACAAAATAACATTAAATCGGAGAGTTACATGAATTTGAACCACACTCTGAATGTTAATTTACCTGACATTGTTTTACTACTCAAAACAATTAAAGTACCACAATACACACATAAAATTCTCCGTGAAAGAACATCAAGGGCTGTAACTGTGTGGGTAAAAAACACCTTCAGAATTTAAAATGTATTTTGTATTGACAAATGTGACTAAGAAAGCAGGATACCTTACTTCATCAGCTTTTTTGATACGCATGTCACTTAACATTATCTCCCATGAATATTCAAGTTCATAGGTACTTTATTATCTCCCTTGAATTCTTATTTTGTGCTATGTTGCTTCCCTTGAATACTTGGAAAGGCAAGTAATGAAAAAGGTCAATGAAAAAATAACATAAAACAGCTTATTTTTATACACAGTCCAATTGTTCACCATATGTTATAGCATTCGGCTAGTTATTTTCTGACAGACATTAAACTGAATGTGTTGTTAAATACTATTTATTGAAATAACAAGACATGATCTAAAATCATATACTGTGAAATTATTTATATTCGTGGTCATGAAATTTCGTGGTTTTATCAAAACGGGCATTTTTGTGGGTTCTTAAATTCGTGGATTTTCATTTTCTTGTTAAAAAAAGTAATGCAATTTAATCACCGCGCTGTTTTACTTACAGCATGTATATAACACAGCTCTTATCAATAAATTTAATCCTTGCCTCTGGGCGTAACACAGTTACTGCCCATAATTGACTGCAATTGACACGTTTGTGTGACATGATATGCAGCTGCATTGGTCACATTGCCCCTATAATTTGCCGATGTAAACATCTCATAAATAATACGCCACTTGCCACTTTTTAACCAGCGTGTAAAAAGTCTACACCCTGAATCGGCCAAAAACTACACCCAATGTCACATCGACCATGTAAATTTATATGCATATATATATACAGTAAATATATATATACAGTAAATTAAATATGAGTAAGTGGCTCAATAGTTATGTGTGCATCTAGTAAAAAGACGGCGGATTTTTGATATTTTCGGAATAGCAGTCGTACAAATACATATTGAAATTCAATTTAAATGGATCATTTATTTACACTTGTCTTGTTAAAATTCGACAAAAGAATTTTCAATTCATCTTTTTAGCGATCAGTAATTTTTCTATTGTTTTGTTTACTTTAATTACGACATTAATATTAAAGTCAATTATATAACAATTAATAGGTGTAAACTGAGAACTTTTATCGGCGCTAATTAATGCACTGGGTTCCCATAGTTACTCCATTATGGCACGTATTTTGGCTAGCACAATCAAGTAGCCTACAACAATCAAGTAGTCCCCCTGTTGTTTATATGCGACGGACTTTTTTGATAGCAAACTGAAGATATACAATCGACTTTTCTTTCAAGTTTCTTAAATATTGCAAAACTAAACTATTAATTGATTAAATATGTCACTAACCTGATTATTTGTATACATTCATACCACAATAATCGGCCGGAAAAGCGCCAACACATGTTGTAATATACAGAACAGAGACATTGTAAGAAGTATTTGTTGGGATAAAATTTCGTCGGGTCTTAAATTCGTGGATTGACTTATCCACGAAAACCACAAAAATTCGGCCCAAAGAATAATAATGATTTCACAGTATATCATTATAACGCAGTTTCAATGATGAAAATCTGAACAAAAATCTACTTAAAAAATGAACAAAAGGAATGTCTGAAAAAAATGACATTATCATTAAAATAAAACATGGAAATTGCATTTTGATTTTAGAAAAAATGGTTTAATTCTTTCAAAGTTTATAAAAAAACTTCCAATAAAACACTCAAAAAAGCCTGCTGTAGGAATGTTATGAACAGTTTCTAATAAAAGGCTCATGTACACAAGAACAGAATTACAGTTTCCAGGGTACACTACTATAATACCCAGCTACGTATACATGTACCCAATCAACAAAAAAGTCATGTACCCAATCAACAAAAAAGTCATTGGCATGAAACTTTCATAAAGCACTTTAGGCTTACACATTAAAAACCTAGCAGACAATTTTAGATGATTAACATTCTCTCTACAAAATAATATGAATCTTATGATGGTTTCCAGAAAAGACTGGTATATCCAGCTCAGAACAGATCTTTGCTAAAGTTACAAAGTCACCGCACAACCATATAATACCTACATTGTACATGTATATTTCATATAAACTGGCAGTAAATGTTTGATTTTCCCCTTGAATATGCTAATAAATTACAGTTCAATGAGAGTTAACATCATGTTTCACACTAATTAAATATCTTCAGAATTATTTAAGAAATTGTACACACTATTTAGGGTCTCCTTGCATTATAAGACTGACCACTTAGCCATTAAACATACCATAGGCTAAGGTCACATTGACTGGGGAGGTCTCTTTTGAAATCTTATCAGTGTTTCAATGATTTTCAAAATATCAGTCATAGCATAGTTACTCCCCTTTATCACCATAGATCATAAAATTCAGAAAAAAAATCAGAATACATTAAATAATTAATACAAATTCAAGAAACAAAATCAAAACAACTGCACTGAACGAAACAATTAATCTTACACAACTGTCGGCAACAATTAATCTTACACAACAGTCGGCAACAACTTCAATTTTGACTTTTATGTGACAAAAAACATCTCTGCCAGAATAAAAAGAAAATTCTGGTAATGTAAAGTATAATTTTCAGTAAAAAATTTTTTGTAAAATAGTTAAGCATGCCACATCATACATGTATAATCATAAGGAAATGTCATAAATCAAATTTGCTTCTTTTCCAGGCAGACAAAACATGTTAGTAATGCATCTTATACATGTATATATTTATTAAAGGTGCACTTTGGGAATAGTTTAAGAATAGCAAAAACATAACATTTGAAGTAAAACAAAATGTTTCACATATATAATTTTTATGACACAACATCACAGAGAGTAGTCAAACAATCAAATCCTGACACCCCACCCACTAGGTTTTACAGCAATTGTTTAATTTGACCTTCTTCTTCCGGGATTCATATATATCAGCTCTGTCTCGTTCCACTTCTGAAAACAGAAATAATTTCATCTCAAAACTTGTTTACAGATGGAAACCTCTCATCTCTCATAATGTTCTTCACAGATATAAAACATGTACTTAATCAGGATTACTAATGGATGAGTACTGAAATCTGTACTCCTACCATTCCTTTTATTATTAATCAAAAGGAGAAACTAAGATACTGGCCTTTAAATACAGGCTTTCTATAAATGATCTTTATCAGGAGGTGATCTTTAACAGAGGTTTGAGTATGTATTTAGCTATGTTATAATAAAAGCAGTATATTTACTTATTGTTCCGATTTTCTGTTGCGGTGTCCCTGAGGTCTCCACTTCTCTGAGCACGGCTGCATCAAATGTGAGCGACACACAACGGAATGAAAAAGACTGTATATTTTCACCTACAAATAAAATAATATTTGTATTACATAATTATATTATATCATTGTATAATAACATTGTTAGAGTCTGAAAAATACACATTATTCTATATTAGGCCTACTTATTATAGTGTTTGACACAGTATGACCGGTAATCTGAAAATGTGGCCGTTAAACCCAAACAACAACACATAATTGTTGTGTAAATTTTCACAACTTTAACTCATAGTGATGTCTGTTGTTTGGTTTAATAATTATCCTGATGAAGGCATAACCACAAATCATAAATGAGCAGAAAGATATTTAAAATTTAATACATGTATATTAATAGTGAAACATAAACGCAAACATTCGTAGCAATGAAATAAATGCAAATCAAGTTGGTCACTATTCATCAGTAATAATATTAAGCACAGTCATGTTTATAATAAGCACTCATGACAATTCATTACTATAGAAGCACAATAACTCATTTATTTCAACAACAATGTGTCTAAGACCTTGTGAATTATCGAATCACAAACGAAAATGAAAGTAGCAGATATTGTGAAACGGAAGTACATATGAATTTAGTTATCTAACTGCTAAAACCAATTAAGTCCTCATTCCGATTAAAGTCACTTTTACTATATATTAATAATACATGATGACCGGCAATTAAAATTACTATGAAACGTGTGAATCAGAGTGACAACATCTCACCTAGATGTTGCCGACCTTTGATCAGTCGGCTGTTTTCACACTTCGACTTATTGAGATGAAAATATGTTGGACTTCAATTGGCAGCTCAAAAACTCCTTTCAACTAAACAGAAGTCTCAGTAAGTCAAAATTTGACATAAGAGGAGTTTAAATACAAGGATAAAGAAGGAAATTCGACGGGACTAGATATTCTTCCACTAACGCTGAATTTTGAGTAAGGCGATTTTGACTTATTGAGAGTCAACTGTACCATCAATTATAATTTGAACATCATATTAGTAAAGGAAGTTGGATTTGGGGATAGATGTCCATATATGTTGGAGAATATTTAACAATATTGTTCAATTTTGAAACAGATTATAGGTATAGAGGCTAACATTTAGAGAGTTTATGAGAAGTACATGTATACCTGTTTTGGCAGACACAGACCAGTATTCAGCACCAAGACTTAAAGCAATCTCCTTTGCCCTCTCTTCTACAGCTCTACATGATGCACTCGACTAAACGTAAAAATTTAGTATTTATTGTCATAATTTGTTTAATAAGCAACACAAAGTAGAATGAAACAACAACAAATAAATTGTCTTTGATATATACATGCCAAATATAAACACAATCAATGAAATCCATCAAGCATGTGGAAACCAGTAATTCTAAAGAATAGAGGGACAATAACAATACAATAATTTGATATTAATATGATAATACAACTTGTGTAAGCAAATCCCATTCCACAAACCTAAATTTCTACCAATGATGTTTCCAATTTCTAAACCCACTGAATAGTGACTAGATTTTGTTTAACTCTACATTGTTGAACATATTAAAATAACCAACTTTAAAACAAAGACAACTGACCCCAGAGAATACAAAAAAAAATGTTTAAATAAATTTCTGACATACTGATTTAAGTAAAATAATTGATGAAAAACATAAGCTGCATTAAAATATACACACTACACAAATTATATGTCTGCAGATTATAATGTTGAGGCAGACATGCCTTTTTCAAATAATGTTTTTTTGTTTGTTTTGGGTTTTACGTCACATCGACACAGTATAGGTCATATCGCGACGTTCCAGCTTTACTGGTGGAGGAAGACCTCAGGTGCCCTTCCGTGCATTATTTCAGGCACGAACGGGCACCTGAGTAGAACCACCGACGTTCCGTAAGCTAGCTAGATAGCTTCCTCACATGAAAGAATCCAAAGTCCCTGTCGGGATTCGAACCCACAGCGGTGAGGGGCAAGTGGTTTGAAGTCAACGACCTTAACCACTCGGCCACGGACGCCCCCCTTCAAATAATGTACAGAACACAATTATTATATATAAGAATGTGTCATACCACTAAATCTTTCTTTGTTCCCACCACAAATTTGACTGGGTCATCTGCCGCTGCAGTAGCATCTGCCATCCATCGTGATATACTCATTATTGACCTCTCATCTGATAGGTCAAACACCACTATAACAACTGTAATATATAGTGTTTAGGTCAAACACCACTATAACAACTGTAATATATAGTGTTTAGGTCAAACACCACTATAACAACTGTAATACATAGTGTTTAGGTAAAACAGTACTAAATAAACTGTAACATACAATACTCTCAAGTGAAATATCATAAATCAAATCAATCAAAAACGACTGTAATTCAGACATTGTTCCAATAAACACAGTCATAACATAATATTTTTCACTGCTTTATAAAAGTTTGATCAACAATATAATTATATCAGTGGTGTATAACTAGAATGAAAAGTTAGTAAAAAAAACTTATTTAACAAGAGCCCACAAAAACTCTTGCCCATCTATCAGTGAAAGGCAGCAATTTATTTTCTCATTTGAACAATTACATAGTACATCTGCACAACACTAATACTTTCTGTGCTAAATATATTAAATGGACTTATTCATTTTTCAAAATGGACAAAAACATTCATAATTGTTACAAAGATTTCAAAGCAAGAACAAACTGATTAGCAAACATGATCAAACCACACAGATATGCCAACTGATATTGGTCTGCACTGTTAGTTTCCACCAGCAGGCTAAATTTAAAAATCAGACATGATAAATTGATAATACTGTTTAAAATCTGTAAGAATAACACTCCATGAAACTCACCATGTGCACCTCTATAATATGAAGATGCTATACTTTTGAACCTTTCCTGACCAGCAGTGTCCCATCTGAAAATGTATATATCATATCACTAACTTGTCAAAAAATATTTAACTAACCCACACGTTCTAAATTGGAAAATTTTAACAAGGCACTCATAAAAAATGTGGGAAAGTTAAACAAACCAGTTTTGTTGATAGAAAAAATGCTTATACTCTGTATTTTTTCTATACTTAATGACATGTCCTGTAAATTTGGTTTGTTGTTTTTTTTCTGTTTTTTTATGATGGGCATATATTGGTGGCCCATCCACCTTACAAGCTTTCCTTGATAACTGACCAGTAATTATCATTATCTTCACAGGTGGCTGACCACTAATTCAACATGATTTCACATTCAGTGGTGATACACAATGAACATTTATTAACCTCAAATCAATGTCCAAAATTGTCACAGAGGAATTTCACTTGATCCAGCAACCCCGGATTTATTAACTTGATGTTCTCCCTGTGGAGCTATGCCAACAGACTTCTAGTAAATTCAAACTCTATAAAGATTTCTCAAGAATTATTTCTTTGGTCCTGAAAATGTATACAAGGAATAGTGCTTGAGAAACCTTCATATTTTAATCACTTAAACTGTTATGTCAATGAGGAGGTGAAACAAACTAATGAGCATATCACGAGGAATGCTTGAAGATAACAGGTGTTTAATGGTAGTGGTAGCATAGTGGTAAAGGCATCAAGTCTCTCAACACAGAGATTGTAAGTTTGAGCCCTTAAGGGGGTGGCAACCATATTTCCTCACAGGATATCAGATCTATTTTGTTTCAAGAAGTTGTTTCAAGAGTGGTTTTTATATGCTCCATACTTTCATTACAATAAATATATTTTAACTAACAGTTTTTTTCTTTATACAGATTTCCAATTACTGAAAACCCCTATTTACAAATACAATGTCAAAAATGATTTGACTGTTTTTCCTTAATGAAAAAAATTTCACTGCTAAAGAATCCCCAATTGTACTGACCCAGACTCAAATGCAGAAATATGATACTGACTTGGAATAAATAAGTTAAAAAAAACAAGCATACATTTGTAATGTGAAAGGAGTTGATAAGATGCTGAATTTCTCCACCTCAAAATCTACACCAATTGTTGCTTTATAGTCTTTATCAAATACATCATGGCAGAATCTGAAATATAGAAATAAAAGGCATGTTCTAATATTCTACCTATATGACTCAATATTAATGAGCTGCGTCATGTCAAAACCTACATAGTGTGTTTGCAACCAGCATGGATCCAGACCAGCCTGCACATCCGCACAGTCTGATCAGGATCCATGCTGTACGCTTACAAACCCTGTAACAAGTAGAGAAACTGGTAGCAAACAGCATGGATCCTGATCAGACTGCGCGGATGTGCAGGCTGGTCTGGATCCATGGTTTTGTCATGGCACAGCTCAATTTTCATTTCAAAACAGTCAGCAAAGCTGAATTTATATAATGGGCTTTCCATCTTTGAAGTTATACTTATATTGTAATGACTGAGATAAAAGGTTATAACATGTACTATCAATGTTTCAATTTAATGAAAACTCTGAACATTGACAAGATTAAGAAATCTATGTCTGTATTAATGAAATAACTGACACAACTTTTATTGCATCTGTTTGTTTCTTTACAGATATATACTTTGGGCTGAATGCCTTAATTTACAAATACACATTATATTACCTGTTGACTAGGCATGTTTTTCCTACAGCTACGTCTCCTACCAAAACTGCTTTACAAATCTTTAAACTAAAATGTAACAAAATATACATACCATATACAGTAACAGATATTACAACATAATAATCATTTATAAAGAGTTCAATAAATCTAATACATTACAAATTAAGCAATTTTACATAACAAATTTATAGAAAGAGTTTAAAACAAGCATTTTTTAGAAATCTTGCCAAAAAAAACAAAACAATTTAATCTGACCAGAAACAAAATATCAATTTACTTTTATTCAATTTATTTTTGCCAGACTGTTCAACTCACTACAGTCATGTTTAAATTAATGTTTGAAGAATTCTGATTAAAGAACTGGATTCTCTTTTTGGTCACAAACCCTAACCCTCCAACATAACTTTCCTTTTAGGAAAATTTAACAACAAAAAAATATTTATGAAAATAACAAAAATTTAACAAATAGCGGAATATGAACATCTGACTTGAGCTGGTGTAAATTCACTTGCATGTCCATTCTAAAGAATAATCAGGTTACAGACTGGCAAACAGCACATGAATATATTAATTATTTCAAAGCAAACAGAAGAGTATTATCTAGACAAAAAACAATCTCACTGTCATGATAAAAGAAACTTATTATAATCTTTACAAACCCAACAGTTCCTGTCCTATTTTCAGAACAGGCTGACTTCACTTTAGGATGAAAATTACATTTCTGGTACGGACTAGCTTGAGCATCATATGCCTGAAATATAGTTATTAACATAGTTTAGATAATGCTCTTTACTGCATTATTAAAACATGAGAAAATCTAAAAACTAACCTAGTATTAATAGATTAATTTGTTCAAAAAGTATGCAACAAGTAATTAAATCATGTAAATTTCTTTCATCTCCTTCAGATGTAATCATTAAATTATAATTATTTACTTAAAAAAACAACAACAAAAACATAAATTAAACAAGAGCACCGCTAGGCGGAGCATTATATGCCCGAAAGTGTTTTTTTTTTAGTAAGGATGAAGCATTTGTAAGACATGGGAATTACCTGTTCATCCTATAAAATTTTACAGCTGTAGGTTGATTAATACTTAAGTTATTAATAATGACCTTACCCTTTGACCTTGTGACCCCAAAATCAATAGGGGTTTTCTACCTTATATGGACAATCATCCTAAGAACTGTTTTTGGTTTTAAGGTAATTGTGACCTTGACCTTTGACCTAGTGACCCCAAAATCAATAGGGGTCTTTTGCCCAATATGGACAATCATCCTATGAAGTTTGAATATTGTGGGCCAAATGGAACTTAAGTTATGCTCCGGAAACTGTTTTCAGTTTTAAGGATATAGTGACCTTGACCTTTTGACCCCAAAATCAATAGGGGTCTTCTACCCAACAAGGACAATCATCCTATGAAGTTTGAACATTGTGGGTTTATTGGAACTTAAGTTATGCTCGGGAACTGTTTTCAGTATCAAAATAATAGTGACCTTGACCTTTGACCTTGTGACCCCAAAATCAATAGGGGTGTTCTACCCAATATGGACAATCATCCTATGAAGTTTGAACATTGTGGGTGGAATGGAACTGAAGTTATGCTCCGAAAACTGTTTTCAGTTTTTAGGTAATAGTGACCTTGACCTTTGACCTTTTGACCCCAAAATCAATAGGGGTCTTCTACCCAATATGGACAATCATCCTATGAAGTTTGAACATTGTGGGCCAATTGGAACTTCAATTATGCTCCGGAAACTGTTTTCAGTTTTAAGGTCATAGTGACCTTGACCTTTGACCTTTTGACCCCAAAATCAATAGGGGTCTTCTACCCAATATGGACAATCATCCTATGGAGTTTGAACATTGTGGGCCAATTGGAACTTCAATTATGCTCCTGAAACTGTTTTCAGTTTTAAGGTCATAGTGACCTTGACCTTTGACCTTTTGACCCCAAAATCAATAGGGGTCTTTTACCCAATATTGGCAATCATCCTATAAAGTTAAAAAAACATTTGCAGTTGCAAAAAAAAAAATTGCATTTTATAAATAGATTTGTAGAATACATTTAATCATATAAAACAAAACTTTCTTGTCAATAAAATAACCTTTTAAATTACTAATATGTAAATTATTAAATTACTTAACCAGAGATCTGCCAAGAATTTGAAAGTACTGGGCCCTGGGCCCACTTGGTCTGAAAATGATGGGCCATTTTTACCAAAGTATGGGCCTTGGGAAAATAAGTAAACATTGACCTAAATAACTGTTAAAAAAGTTTGTAGATCTGGTAATAAAACTTAAATCATATTTTATGACAAGTGGTTCACTTATGATTCAGTACTTAACCAATAATTAAAATTTATGCCTACATGGTATAATTTTCTAACTTGCAGGCAAAATATTTTTTAAATGGCTGCTCAAAAATTTGATATGCAAATTTATTCACCTTACTTCTAATGTCTAATACTGTGCATTATCCATTAAATGTTTAATTGTTCCTACTTTGCACCAAATGTCCCTTACCACTGTATTGACGAATATTGTTACCCCTTGTATGCCTCTGTGTAGACAGCATACATCAAAGACACTTGCCGACAGACCTTTTGATCATGAAAAAAGTCATGTACAATGTTTCCCTGATTGGTTAATCACCCTGTCAAATATTCTGATGACGAAATAGACATCTTTTTTTTATACTTCATCAGGAACTTGAGTGACTGACCTTAGGGGTGATCAAGTTGTACACCTGTCAGAGTATACTGCAACTTACAGCATTTCTTAAAATAGCAAGTTTTGCAACATTTTTTTTCAGTTACCGATAATTATTTTAAATATTAAGTAGTTGTATAATTTGTTTGTTTATTTTATTGGATTAAATTTACGGTAGTAGAAATGAGTATCTGTGTGGGAAACGGAATTATGAGAAGAAATGCGGTAAGTAGATAACATGAACAAAAGCTATAGGGGAATGGATAAACTCAAGAATATGCATAATTACAGGGGAATGAGTAACATGTTGGCTTGCTGTTGGTACCAGTTTTGACTGGATGACTAAATAACCCAGCAGACAGTTTTGTTTTCTTATAAATCTGGCACAGGTTTTAGATGCGCCCATGGCCCTTTGCTGGTGATTTTCCTGCGCCATTCTCATTTTTTTAGCGCCAATGGCGCAAAATCGCGTCCTCGGCAGATCTCTGACTTAACTACTCGTTCACATTTACCAGATATTTAATCAAAAAGACTGCGCTGATAAAAAATCTGGAAAAGGGTTGATCCCTTGGAAGCAATGAAAACAACAAAATTAAATGAAAATTGCAGACTTGGCTTGAGTGTAACATCTTCAACGTGAAATATCTAGGTAGTGAAACATCTTTCAAGAGACAGCCTTTAATAGTTAGAGAACAAATACATTGCACTCAAACTCATAACCATGTGCTACAAACTGCCACTTGGTTCGTAAGAATAGCTTAACAATTCTTCAACAGCATATTCACAAAGAAGAAAACAAATATACAAATTTACTTGTCAAACTAGAACTGCCACTATCATGGCGTGAATACCCCCGCATACCACTTTGTCAGAATCAACAGTGGCCATTTAGAGCTCAAGGACAACCTCCCTGCCAAATCTGAGGTTACTAAGCCAGTGCATTGCTAAGTTATGTATTCTACATGCTTCAAATGTGAAAATGTCAAAATCAATACATTGCGGACAGGACATTCTTTAGCAATTGAGAAGAAAAGCTTTTTTTTTGTCAAGGTCCCTGTGACCTTGACCTCTGACCCAGTGACCTCAAAATCAATAGGGGTCACCTTATAGTCATGATCAACATCCATGCCAAATATGAAGACTGTGGGTCAAAGGAATTTTAAGTTAATGGGTGGACAAACTTTTTGAAGTCAAAGTCCCTATGACCTTGACCTTTGATCCAGTGACCTCAAAATCAAAAGGGGTCATCTACTAATCATGATCAACATCCATGCCAAATATGAAGACTGTGGGTCAAAGGAATCTAAAGTTATTGGGCAGACAAGCTTTTTGAAGTCAAGGCCCCTGTGACCTTGACCTTTGACCTCAAAGTCAATAGGGGTCTTCTACTTATCATGACTAGCCTCCATGCCAAATATGAAGACTGTGGGTCAAAGGAATCTTAAGTTATTGGGTGGACAAGCTTTTTGAAGTTAAGGCCCCTGTGACCTTGACCTTTGACCTGGTGACCTTAAAGTCAATAGGGGTCATCTACTAATCATGACTAACCTCAATGCCAAATATGAAGACTGTGGGTCAAAGGAATCTTAAGTTATTGGGCGGACAAGCTTTTTGAAGTCAAGGCCCCTGTGACCTTGACCTTTGACCTGGTGACCTCAAAATCAATAGGGGTCATCTACTAATCATGACTAACCTCAATGCCAAATATGAAGACTATGGGTCAAAGGAATCTTAAGTTATTGGGCGGACAAGCTTTTTGAAGTCAAGGCCCCTGTGACCTTGACCTTTGACCTGGTGACCTCAAAATCAATAGGGGTCATCTACTAATCATGACTAACCTCAATGCCAAATATGAAGACTATGGGTCAAAGGAATCTTAAGTTATTGGGCGGACAAGCTTTTTGAAGTCAAGGCCCCTGTGACCTTGACCTTTGACCTGGTGACCTCAAAATCAATAGGGGTCATCTACTAATCATGACTTACCTCCATGCCAAATATGAAGACTGTGGGTCAAAGGAATCTTAAGTTATTGGGCGGACAAGCTTTTTGAAGTCAAGGCCCCTGTGACCTTGACCTTTATCCTGGTGACCTCAAAATCAATAGGGGTCATCTACTAATCATGACTAACCTCCATGCCAAATATGACGACTGTAGTTCATAGGAATCTTAAGTTATTGGGCGGACAAGCTTTTTGAAGTCAAGGCCCCTGTGACCTTGACCTTTGACCTAGTGACCTCAAAATCAATAGGGGTCATCAACTAATGATGACTAACCTCCATGCCAAATATGAAGACTAAGGGTCAAAGGAATCTTAAGTTATTGGGCGGACAAGAAAAAACCGACGGACGGCCAGACAAGCTGATTCCAGTATACCCCCCTTACAACTTTGTTGTGCGGGGGTATAATAAAACAAATTTACTTTAAACTTTACCTGTGGAAAAGAGTTGATAACTCTATTACTTGGAACATTCTGAGCCATCATTTTTCTAGTAGCTGACATCACAACTGTGGCTTTTTAAATCCTAGTGTTATTTCGCTGAAAAACAAAATATTGTTTACGCCCGAGTAATGATTCAGACAATGGAGGCAATAAACAGAAGGTGATGTCTGGTTACATGGTCATCTTACTGGTTAATGCTTTTATAATAAAATTAAATACACTGATCCAATGCTGGATTAGAGAAATGTCTGTATATAGCGAGTGAAAAAATACAAGTTATTTCCCTTATCTTTGAGTAAAACCGATATCTCTAATGCTAAAACAATGCAAATTTAGGTGTTTTTAATCTGCTAGTTTGGGGCGATTTTATGCCCTTTTTTTAAAAATTTATTGCACCAATGAAAAGGTTGTGACCTAAGCTTCGTTCAACACATTGTTTGACATTAATGGTATTTAAATTTACTGTTCAACCTACCACAAGTCAGACCATTTGACATGTTTTATACAGCGAGATACCCAACTGGGTATCTTTTTGCAACTGGGTATCTTTATTTGGAATCTTGAATCCATTTTGAAAAGTTCAAGTAACATTATTCTTAAGGAAAATGAGTCGCTGATTGCCGATCGAACTAAAGTGTGTGATATGTTAAATGACTTTTATGTAAATATAGCCAAAAATATTGGGATAAATAATCAGACTATTACTCAAAATGAACACCCTAGTATTAAATTAATTAAACAAAACAATAACAATGTACAAAAGTTCAATTTTTCTACTGTAACATCAGAGTCAATTGAAAAACATCTAAAATCAGTAAACCCAAAGAAAGCAACAGGATATGACAATGTACCACCCAAAATACTGAAATGCTCAGCAAATATAATTTGTAAACCTATATCCAAGATAGTCAATAATATGATCAACACAAATTTATTTCCAAACAGTTTAAAAATGGCTCAAGTCACTCCAGTTTTTAAGAAAGATGATCCTTTTATTATGAAAAATTATAGGCCAGTTAGTATATTACCATCAATGTCAAAAATATTTGAGAAAATTATAAATGAACAATTAAGCAACCATTTTGAAAATATATTTCATAATTATTTAGCCGCTTTCAGACCAGGCTACGGATGTCAGACAACTCTTTTGCGTCTAGTTGAGGACTGGAAGATGGCGTTAGACAGAAATGAGCATGTGGCAGCAATCCTAATGGACCTGTCCAAGGCTTTTGACTGTCTACCACGCATGATCTTACAGTCCAAAAGCTAGAGGCATATGGGTTGTCTGAAAATGCATGTTCTCTAGTCTCAAACTATCTTTCAAACAGGAAACAAACAGTTAAAATAGGAGAGTATCATAGCACTTGGCTTGAAACAATTAAGGGGGTGCCACAAGGCTCTATTCTTGGACCTTTAATCTTCAACATCTTCATGAATGATATTTTTTATTTTATAGATAAATCCATCCTCTACAATTATGCAGATGACAATACTCTAGCCTTCTCCAACTCTAAAATAGACATATTGAAAACACATTAGAAAATGAAAGTAAAATACTTATTAACTGGTTTAACATTAATAAAATGCAAGCTAACCCTGACAAGTTTCAAGCCATAGCTGTTGGGAAAATAACAAATGAACACTTAAAAGAATTTCAAATTGATAATGTTACAATAAAATGTGAAGATTGTGTTAAACTGCTAGGGGTAGACATAGATTTTTTACTTAACTTTGATATACAGGTCACCAGAATGTGTAAAAAAGCTGCCAATCAATTAAATGTGCTCTTAAGAATTAGGAAATTTTTAAATTCAGAATGTCTTCTTCTTATTTACAAATCTTTTATCAGATCTAATTTTAACTACTGTCCCCTTGTCTGGCATTTTTGCTCCAAAACAAACACAGAAAAACTTGAAAAACTCCAGCATAGAGCTCTAAAAATAGTATTTAGTGATTTTAATTCTTCATATGACACATTTATATTAAAAAAAGTTAATATGCCTACTTTAAATTTGTCAAGAATTAAAATAATAGCCAAAGAAGTGTTTAAATGCCTGTACGGAAAATCACCACCATATATAAATGATTTAATCCAATTTAAAAATTCCAATTATTCTTTTAGGTATCAAAAAAGTGTAAATGTCCCAAGGGTCAAAACAGTAACATACGGTAAGAATTCTTTTAAGTTTGAAGGTGCCCAGATATGGAACAGTCTCCCTAATGACATCCACAAGGTTGAAAATTACAAAGAGTTTGGGAGACTGATCCAGGTCTGGAGTGGCCCAAGCTGTAAATGTGCGATGTGCTTGTAAATTTGCTATGTGTTTGTTTTTCTGCTTAGTTTTAATTTATGTAAATGCTTAGACTACATGTTTTGTTTGTTTGCCTTGCTTTTGTGCATCCCTTTTAGTTTGCTATGATGCTTTGATTATATGTTCAGTGATTCAGATTGGATCTTCTTTCCTTAGGACAGGTGTCCTAAATGGTAAAAAAAAGTCAGGTCATTTGTCCTAAATCACAGGAAAAACTTCGGACAATTTCTTTTACCTGTATCTCTAAATAAGTAATGTATATGGTTGGCTGGTATTCTGATAAAATAAGGATAAACAAAATATTTAAATGCATATTCAATATCTATTTAACAAAGACAAAAGTTGCTGTCGGTCACACTGTTTCTGCCAGCTCCAATTTTTGTATCAGATTTAAGTGATCACTTGACAATTTAGAGGGTCATGCCAAACAATTTATTTTAATCAAAAAAAAGAATTGGAACCACTACTGTATACTTGAATATATCAGCCTTTTCTCTATAATTTGTTCAGCCGTTGGAAAACGAAAATGAAAAGAAAATGTTGCAGTAAAATCATTTGAAGATTCTCTATAAACTGAAAAAAGTTCTTTAATGAATTACCTCAGTTAGCTCCATTCACAAGCCAGTATGTACATTACAACAGTGAACTTCACTTTTAATCAGCGAGTCAATTGTTTACATAGTTGCATCATGCTTACCATATTTGGTAGTATATATGCTACGTCACTAGCTGTACTGCATACAGGTAAAATTTGTAATGATTGAAAGAGGGTTGTGTAGACTAGTTTATTGTGAAAATGGGATAATTGATCAATTGAAAAGTGAACAATAATTGGATATAGTTATATTGCCTCTCTGGGTTGCTTGAACAGGGAATTTTGGTGTGATTAACGGACAATTGAAAGAAATGAAGTTATAAAAAAATCAGGACAAAGCAGTGCATGATTTGTAAAACAGTTTGCCGTGGATTTGAAATTGGCATAATTTCAGATGTTCTGTAAATTGATGAAGAATAAATAACTGTCACAGGAAAAACACTAATTAAATCTCATTGAGTCAAAGTTATAAAAAATGCGCCAAAAAAAGCCCTCTGGAAAAAACACAGGTCCTTCGCATATTCCTCGGATGTACTGTATGTTAAATACGAAATGCAAAATAATTAATTGGGTCATTAAGCATGGATCAATTGAAAAAATTCTATTTTTATTTTCAAATTAGCCTCTTTCAAGATTTACACAAGTAAAATGAAATACTAAATCGTTTTTGTTGCTTATTGATCTACAAAAAAAATATGCCAAAGCACTACATACATAGCTGTTGAATGCAAATAAAATTTATTCTACACTAGGCGGTCAATTGATTCACCCGCAAATGTAACAGGAATGCTAATAGGCTTATGACATTCTACGTCACATATGTGGGCGGGTACCGAATCACTTATCAATAATTGCTTGGGATTTAACTTTTTTTCGTCGATGCTAATTTACGTTTTCTGCTGGTATGCAATGCATCAGTAGATTATATTATTCAATGAAATGTTGACTCTTTACTATGGAAATTTGTCGGTCATATGGTCTGAGAGACAGTATTTTTCTCGGTCTGATGGGCATATTGAATTTAATTTTCCCGGTCATCTGTGACTTTTATCGGCCATTGGCCGAAGGGCCGACCCAATCTGAACATTGTTGTGTGTTACTTTTTCTTAAACCCTTGTATTTTATGCTAGTTGAATCTTTGTTGTGTTTGTATGCTTTGTTCATATTAAAACTCCTTATTCCCCATTCCATTAGGCTGTGCATGCAACTTAATTTTAGTTAATTTTGTTTGTTACACTGTATGTGCTTTATCTTGTTTCTTTTTTATGCTGTATAAGTTCTATCATAAATTTTTATGCACTTTTATAAGTAAGTTTAATTTTATCTATTTATTTATTTATATATATTTTTTAGGAAACCTTCAATTACGTATTTATAAATTGTAGATGTTAACTTATAACTATTACTATTTTATTAATTTTTTATTTTTTATTATTATTTTTATTTATTTCACATTGCTAGATATGTATCATACTTAAATTTCTAGACTACAGTCATTTATTACTTTTAGAAACTGTTATTACCTTTAATAAATAGATAAAATTAAACTTACTTATACAATATGTACTGTGCATGTCATCAAGCTATGCCTTAATTTACCATCTTATTGTAAAGTTCTTCTTAACCTTGATACTCTTATTTCATGCTTAAGCTGCTAATAGTTTTAAATGTTTTTATTTTCAGAACTGTTATATGTTAGCAAATATGTTTTATGCTTTTGTTATTGTCGGTAAATAGCTTATTAGCTAATGTTTCTTGTAATATGTAAACCGACTTAAAATAAAGTTTCTTGTATCTTGTATCTTGTTTCTGATAAGAATAACCTGTCGTCTGCTAGTTCAGAAACTGTCAATCGGAGTATTATCACCTTTTTTTACTTTTGTTGTAAAAGCTTGATTGGTATGGTCAACTGATTAGATTATCTTAAGTGATCCGAATTATCACTCAAGGTAATCCAATCACTTGACCAATCAAGCTGTAACAACATAGGTCATGTCAAGACGTCCAGGAGATGCCGTCTAAAATCTTTGCGTATCCGAATATAGTTACACTTAACACCTCTAAACTTCGATAAATGTGGTATAATCTTTCCATTAATATAATTAAATGTTACACGTAAGTTACCTTAATAAAACCTAATTAGCCGATGAGTTAAACATAGCAAATCAATCCATTTCAGTAATTTAAAAACAGGTAGTTGCGACTTTGTCGATTTCTGTCAGGTATTTTTGCTGGTTCTCCGAGCTGGGTACCAATATATTTTTAGACTGGGTTCTCAAACTTAGTTATCAATAGATCATTTTAGCTTCTAATTAAGAAAACCCTCCTGGACTCGTCCGTGAAATACTGAAAGTGGACCCCGTTGTACTTCCTTTTTTCTGTCAACATGGCTCCTAAGAAGAAGGGATCCGATAGTGAGTAAAGAAAAATAGTAAAAGCCGCGCTAAATGGCCTAAGAGTTGACATTGATCCATTTTTTCACGAATTGAAATAAATCAGTCCAATAGTAATGTCTTTATTCCTAACGGAAAAACACTGCAAACATCTGTTCGGAGTTACAATTTCATTGCCTTGTTTTTGTCATTAGTTTTCGCGAGTTATAAACCCGTGCTCTTCACAATTTTTTGAAGAATTCGACAGCAATATATTCGAACTGACGCAGATTTTGTAGTTCTGCAATTGAGTTAATAGTTTGTAGAGTTGAATATGGTTCCAAAGTATTGTCTCCCCGGACCCCACACCAAAATGCAGAGGAATTTGGAGGTTACGTACCATGGAGGTTAAGTACCACTGCATAAATGTACCATTTTTGGAGGTTACGTACCACTATAGAAATATACAAGGTTAGCTTTTAAAAAAGCTAGTAGCGACTCGCTTCGTAATTTTTTTCAAGGGGTGTGTTTAAATGTAAAAATGACAGTTCTGTTAGCTGAAGAGACTTCAGCGAACATCAAAATAAAAGTGAAGTCAACACTGGCCCGGTGCCCGATGGCCAGTGTATATAAGTTCAGGCCAGTGTAAATTTAAGAAAATTTTGTTAATTATTTCACAGGAGCCTGAAATTATATCAAAAACAAAAAAATAACGATTTAAAAAAAATTCCCATATACATACTATAAAAAAACACAAGGAAGGCAACAACATTTCCCCACCCACCGCTACATTTACAAGGAATATTTATAAAAACGCCTGGGATTTACTTCCGAGCACTTTTAATCAATAAAGCACATTAAAATCTTTCAGAAACACTGATTACTCTTATTAACTATCCAACTATTACGCCAATTGAATGAATTTATCACTGCATTTCTCCTATCGTCGGTTCCATTGCCAGTTCTGTGCTAAATTCCGTCATACCGTTATTGACCGGTCTTTGTAGATACCGAAATTCTTTCCAAAACAAAAAAAATAAGAACGATTTAAATAAAAATCCTATATTTATAATAGTATTTATAATATGGGATTTTTATTTAAATCGTTCTTTTTCGTTTTTGATAGAATTTCGGGATCTACAAAAACCAGTCAATGACGGTATGACGGAATTTAGCGCAGAACTGGCAATGGAACCGACGATGGGAGAAATGCAGTGATAAATTCATTCAATTGGCGTAATAGTTGGATAGTTGATAAGAGTAATCAGTGTTTCTGATAGATTTTAATGTGCTTTATTGATTAAAAGTGCTCGGAAGTAAATCCCAGGCGTTTTTATAAATATTCCTGGTAAATGTAGCGGTGGGTGGGGAAATGTTGTTGCCTTCCTTGTGTTTTTTATAGTATATATATGGGAATTTTTTTTTAAATCGTTATTTTTTTGTTTTTGATATAATTTCAGGCTCCTGTGATTATTTAGTAGAATAAATTCAAAACTGGAATTCGGGCCAGTAAATTCAAAATCTTAAACTCATTGACTGAAAGTGACATATAAAGTTTTCTCAGTTTAACCAAGATGAGTATGAGTATATATGAAGGTGCATGTAAACAGATAGAATGAAGAACCTATGTTTTATGCACATTTACTATATGGCCTGTTGACCTTGACCACAAAATGTTACATAGGTAGATTTCATAAAGATGTCTCTTTATACAAAATTAAGTTGTAATACATGTATTTTATTTAATATTGGAATGAGAGGCAAAAGTCCTAAAGTAAACACAAGTGTTGTCAATCAATTCAGCCAGAAAAGCCGGGATCCTCTTAAAAAAATAATAGGGATCCCGGAAATTGACCAGTCTAAGAAGATGTTTTTCAGATTAAGCCGGAATCCTATTAAAACATATAGGGATCCCGGGAATTGACCAGTTCAAGAATTATAGTTTTTTCAAGAAAAGCCCGGGATCGTATTAAAAATGGCTAAATAGATCTCACGGATTTTGGCCAGTTCAAGTATATAGTTTTCAGAAAAAGCTGGGATCGTTTTTTAAAACATATAGGGATCCCGGATTTGACCAATTCAAGAAAATAGTCTTTGATCTTTTCCAATTTAAAATTAGGCATATAATTATAAGTATTGTGATTTCCGCATTTTTAAGTTTGTTAATAAATAGCTCTAAATATATCTATATTATAAGTTAAATTAATTTAACGTTCATTATATACAATAAAAAAAAAATTAGCGTTTAATGGTCTTTCATTACGACCAACAATCAACACAAATATAGTTCATTAGGTTTTTCCTCCATATCTTAATACGATCCCGGATTTACCGGGCTCCCGGGATTTCCCGGCCAGTAAAATACCATACACTAAATACTGGAAAAAGGATAAAATTTGACCGAAAAAAGGGGAAAAATAAAAAATGCACAGAACCAGATGTACACTTATTTTAATTAACCAAACGAAAACTTACTAACAGAGAAAAAACAGGTGAAATCGCCAAATCAGAATTCAGTGTAAATATGAATTATTGAAAAGAATTCATAAAGACAAAACATTTTAATCATCATTATATCTTTGCCCCTCAAAACAATCTTTGCTTATTTTTTAAAAAAATGGCGGTGAAAATTGAAGGGTTTTTTACGCCCTATGTTAAGATTTAATTTTATATTGCCAAGGAAAAATTTTGGGATCCTTAGCCCTGATAGATAAAAATTTCTAGGAAAAGCTGGAAGCCAAGCGTCGATTTAAAATTTTGGATCCGCTTCGTGGACCGTTTTAGGGTTTGTTTTCAGTAAAATCCTTACCGTTCGCCTCGTCTTAAAATACCCCGGCTCGCCGTGGCGAAGCCGGCATAATAAAGTGTTTAATTTAAGGGATAAGGTGTTGAAAAAACCATTGGGTATATTGTTTTCAAATTCGCACCATAAATGGCCGATTTTGTAATGAGATATTAAATATGATTGAAAAAGGCCCGTCGTCGATCTGGTCCCCGGTCCCGGGCCGGGCCTTTTGGCCGGACCAATATTTTGGCCAAAAATGAGTTAAAAAAAAAAATAAAAAAAAAAAAACCGCATCGCTGAATAGCCCAATTTGACACTTGAACTGGCCCTTTATGTAATACGGCGATAATATACAAACATGCGCCGAAGAAAACAAACTGGACCTTTTTATTGACCAGGTTATATGTTAGGGTTTCCTAGAAGTTAAGTATGAAGATAATTGACATCGACGTGGTTTCGAACAGTTCACCGTATATATTGTATAATATATGCCGCAAATTATTGAATATCTTTGAACTAGTATGCCTGAAAATTCTCCAAGAAACCCTTGATTAAATATATTATGTGATTGTTACACGGCAAAACCGTTCAAAAGTCAGTATTTTTATCACATATCCGTCCCTTTTTCTGCGACTCCTTTGAAAATGCGTATTGCCGACACGGGCCGTTGCATGCATAATATTTTGACGTCCCCCTTTGCGTTATACCCGATCAGCTAAATTTGGCGTTTTCTCGTATGGTCTTCAAATGAAAAATTTTCTTTTTCACTTCATTTAACCGGTACATTTTTGGTTTGTAATAAACAGAATATTAACTCGTTAAGGTTCTCATTACGAATGTATTGAACTCGTTGAAAAAAAAATTATCTATACTCCCAGAGGCTCGCATAATATTTTTTTCCATTCCCAACTCCTTTAAGATAAATTCTCAGTAATAAACTCATTCAATTTACCTCTATTATCATAATTAATACATGCCAGGACGTGTTCCGGCCTAAGTATTCTGAAGTGGCCAAGTGTTCTTAAAGTGAAAGGATTTGACGACCAATCGAGATATCGCTACCCTTCAGAACAGGAGGATTTATTTATTAAAGGTGGCCAAGAAACCTTTTGCAAGAACCGTTCACTAGAAAACTTGGTTTTGTTTGTGATTTATATTGTAACGATAATAACCATGACATCTTAGAGGTGCAGCTTCAGTTGTTACGTTTTACATTTTTGACAAATCGAAAATAGGTACTGTTACCTGACGCTTTGAAATTTGTGTCAAAACAATCCAACGGTGCCTAGGGAACGAGAGTCTTTGTTCGTTAAATATTTTGTCTTAGTTATGCCTGCTACTAATGCTACCAGTGACAAGGACATTCACGGAGCCTTCAGACGAATTTTAAATCGTGAAAATACACAGGGGTAATAATAAGAACGGCCGAGTCCATTGTTGCGAGAAATAATGCACCGCTTCGGGCCTTCTTTGATGATATAGAAAAAATTTTCCCGATAGTATTTTAGAATGTTTATTTTTCATTCGCCAAAAATTACCCCAATTTACATTGTATTCCATCTTTTTTATGTTTCACCTGCTCGTCCGTTATGCCCCAAACCTTAAATTTCACCCTTAAAACTTATGACGCACTTAACATCTGTAAAAAAACAGTTGACAAATCTTACTTTAACATGTTCTAGCAACAGGCTGTTAAAATGTTTTTTTTTTTTTTTCCAAATATACGGGAAAAACGCTTTCCTGAGAGCCCATCTAGAATAAAAAAAAATCCGGGGGAGCATGCCCCCGTACCCCCTAGATTCTGCCTAATATCTACCAAATTGGCCGCACCAATCACAAAACCGTGACGACGGGCCTGATATGAATATATAAGAATAAACCACAATTAACGATAGTAAACAAGTTTTATTTACAACACAAAACAGAAACGAACAAACGATGAAAATAATTAATAACACTAATATAATTACACACACTATAATTGAAATGAACAGTACATTGAAACAAAACACAGCAAATATAAAAAAAAAAACACTTTTTTTTCATTTATAGTATTATTGTTTTATTTATACGCATTTAACTGAAATTAAAGGGTTACTCGGGCAAATAAATGACAAAAATATCAAAATGATTTAATGTACTCAAATCATGCTTAAATAACATTTTCTAAAGTCCCAGCATGAAATTCTGTATAAATTCTATATATTATGGGTCTGAAGCGTAAATATATCTAGATGTATTGAACAAAATTTAGACGCCGACAGAATCACCGAATAGCTTTAAAACAAGCCATGTGACTTGAAGAAACCCTGGAATAACAGATTTTGTGGATTTTGAATGATTGAAACAAGTCTAAGTCATTCATTTGATATGTTCTTTAACGTTTCCTTAGATCACTGTGGGAACTTATGTGATATCTTAACGCTCTAACCTGACCGAAGGGGGTCAAGTTAGGAAACCACCATTTTATTCTTTATAAGAAGTAAAGTTTTGTTCCTATGACTGCCTAGTGTATTTATTTTGAGGACATTTATAGAAAAATGAATGAAAAAATCAAAACGAAGAAATGTAAATTTTGCCTGTGTCTCCCTTTAACTGAAATAATCAAAATAATAATAACCGGACAAAATTAATTACCTTGGATAAAAAACTAAACAAGCGTTACATACTTTATCATTTATACATTAAGTTTACACGTTAACTGAACTGTGCATAAAATGAAAATAACAATAATTATGTGACACGCTCTGAAATAAAACAACAATACACAATTAACAAGTATTTTTAAAATATTAAAGTTATAATTCGGTCCAGTGTTGCATCTAGAATTTCAAAATTATGGGGGATTGTCCCCCACTCAACTGAAAATTGTGGGGGACATACATTTACCTTACACCTGCTTACACTACGACTCATCGAAAAGAATTCATTTATTTTACGTTCAGGCATTTTTGACAGCTATCGTCCGCTCAAAAACGAAAGTAGAAAAAATAAAATATTGACAAATACTACAAAACACATGCGAGATGACCCAGTCGGCTGCTATATGCTTTTTAGTACGTATTTTAGTCATTACCACGAGTGAAAACAAACATGGCTGAAGCTTTCAAGACGCGATGAAGATAAACTGAATAAAGTTAAAAAAAAGTGGTATGTAACCTCCAAAAATGGTACGTAACCTCCTGGTACGTATCCTCCATGGTACGTAACCTCCAGTAATCAATTCAGATAGATCCAATGTCCAAAAGATAATGTCCAAAGAAGAGAAGCCAGATCATGGTCAGACCTCCAGCATCGCGTACATGCTTCACTCCCTTAAGCTTCGAAAACTGGAACTCGACATATAGGTTATCCCTTTTCTTAGTTCTTTAAGTATAACGTCGCTTTGAGATATTTTGCCTCTTGGCATAGCAACGTCATGCTCTAAAACCCATAGCACGTTCCACCACAAAATCAGGTGGAACGAACAAACAAGGCGGCATGTGCATCATCAATATCAAGAGGAGATGCGCATATCGTCGGCTTGTTCCGCTCAGACCCTTTAACACAGAGTTATGGCCCTTGATTAGTTATGTGGTATGCATATAGAGTAAAAATCGTTTCCGCACTACTTCTCTGCAACTACTGGCTGGAATTCAATGAAACTTTATGGGAACCTTCAATACCAAGAGGAGATGCGCATATCATTGCCTTGTTGGGGTCAGACACTTTAACTCAGAGTTATTGCCCTTGATTAGTTATGCCAGTATCCATATAGAAAAATATTAGTTCCTCGCTACTTCTCTGCAACTTCTGCTGGAAATTCAATGAAACTTTATGGGATTCTAAAGGAGATGTGCATATAAGTCGCCTTGTTCCGGGTTCAGATACTTATAACTCAGATTTATGGCCCTTGATTAAGTTATGTAGTATGATACATCTCATTGGCATTTCCAATATTACTATTTAACACAAAGTTATGGCTCTGTTATTGCCCTGAATATTTATCAAGTTCAAAGAATATTACTGTTTATGCCTATGATGATTAATATATAAATAAAGCCTTATGTCTTCAGTTGTTGTGTTAATAATAACCAGTACTCGGCGGGGGATATAAATTCAACGAATTTGCTTGTTTATATTTTATCTTCTTTTTAAACAACTCTTTAATGTCCAGGCAATTTTTGGCATGCAGACATGTCTACTTCCCCATGAGGGACATTAACAGAAGATAGAGTGTGCTCATGACATTGTACATATTGTCCTGCAACACTTGACATAATTTCGACTCAAAAGAAAAAAAAAGATGTTTTTGCAAAACCACATAGTCATATTTTTATGTTATACCAATAGACGTAGCTTAAGCGTACCTGTTAACCACATAGTCATATTTTTATGTTATACCAATAGACGTAGCTTAAGCGTACCTGTTTATACAAATAATGGCCAATAATTTGAATTTATATTTGGACAAGTTAAGCTGTAAACAAGTAAAAAAAAAAAGCTGCCAAACTTGATCAAGGGAAAGTGACAAAAACTTCCCACACCCCTGATAATTCATGTTACCAATTAAAATATTTATAGATATCTACCAGAATGTATCTGTTACACTAAATTCTCAACCAAAAAGTAAGCTCGGGAGTTCATTTTCAGCCCAATTATCCAGGAAATTTGTTGGCCAGGTTGTTCAATGATTTCTAGCGGCTAAACTGAAGTCAAAAACTTGGTTAGGCATCCCATATTTGGAAAACCTTGTCTATATTTGCACTATTTCAGATGTAGATATGAGCATTTTGATATCAGATTGAGCCATTACATTTGCTTTTCATTTATAGTTAACAGATTGTCTATCAATAAGAGCCTTAATAATTAGGGGAGCAAAATAAGGGTCATCATGGCCATTGTTCATATATTGATACTTGGCTTATTTAGATATTATATATAATTTTATCGGGATATGCATCATTACCCTTTGCCTGCCAGATAAATGAAAATGTGTCAGATCTATATCTGTTTAAAAAAAAAAAAGGAAATGTGTTATAAAAAAATTATTTTCTTTAAATCTTGCTTTCAGAAGCCTCCAAGAAACCTGCAAAGGCAGATGCCAGCAAGGCAAAAGCAGGTGGTGATCAGCCAAAAGCTGTAGCCAAGGCATCAAAGGCCAAGAAGAATGTACTAAGAGGAGTTCACAGTAAGCGCAGCCGTAAAGTACGCACCTCTGTACAGTTCAGAAGGCCCAAAACATTGAAATTGCCAAGAGCACCAAAATATCCAAGAAAAAGTGTACCAAGAACACCAAGGTAAGTTGTCTCAAGGAAGCTGTAAGAGTGCACATGTACTGAATGCTTTAATCCACCTTGTGCATCAAAAGTTTGAATTTCAATTTTTTTAGTGGAGAGCTTTTTAATCTGTTTGCATTACAATTAAATCTGTTAAAGTCATCATTATACCCCCACAAACGAAGTTTAGGGGGGGTATATAGGAGTCAGCTTGTCGGTCGGTCCGTCGGTCGGTCCACATAATGGTTTCCAGGCGATAACTAGAGGTTGGAGTGAGGTATTGTAATCAAACTTGGTATATAGCAACCTTATGTGGAAACCCCGGTTGGTATTGCATCTGGGGCCAAGGTCAAGGTCACCGTTACTAAAAATAGAAAAATGGTTTCCGGACAATAACTAAAGTTAGGAATGAGATATTGTAATCAAACTTGGTATATTATAGCAAGCTTATATGAAAAACCCCGGTTGGTATTGCATCTGGACCCCTGGGGCCAAGTCAGGTCACCGTTACTAAAAATAGAAAATGGTTTCCGGACAATAACTAAAGTTAGGAATGAGATATTGTAATCAAACTTGGTATACAGCAAGCTTATATTGAAAACCCCGGTTGGTATTGCATCTGGACCCCCTGGGACCAAGGTCAAGGTCACCGTTTACTAAAAATATAAAAATGGGTTTCCGGACAATAAACTAAAGTTAGGAATGAGATATTGTAATCAAACTTGATGTACAGCAAGCTTATATGAAGACCCCGGTTGTATTGCATCTGGACCCCCTGGGCCAGGGTCAAGGTCACCTGTTACTAAAAATAGAAAAATGCTTTCCAGACAATAACTAAAGTTAGGAATGAGATATTGTAATCAAACTTGGTATATAGCAAGCTTATATGAAGACCCGGTTGGTATTGCATCTGGACCCCCTGGGACCAAGGTCAAGGTCACCGTTACTAAAAATATTAAAATGGTTTCCGGACAATAACTAAAGTTAGGAATGAGATATTGTAATCAAACTTGATGTACAGCAAGCTTATATGAAGACCCCGGTTGGTATTGCATCTGACCCCCTGGGGCCAGGGTCAAGGTCACCGTTACTAAAAATAGAAAAATGCTTTCCAGACAATAACTAAAGTTAGGAATGAGATATTGTAATCAAACTTGGTATATAGCAAGCTTATATGAAGACCCCTGTTTGGTATTGCATCTGGACCCCCTGGGGCCAAGGTCAAGGTCACCGTTACTAAAAATAGAAAAATGGTTTCCGGACAATAACTAAGTTAGGAATGAGATATTGTAATCAAACTTGGTATATAGCAAGTCTATATGAAGACCCCGGTTGGTATTGCATCTGGACCCCCTGGGGTCAAGGTCACCGTTACTATAAATAGAAAAATGGTTTCCGGACAATAACTAAAGTTAGGAATGAGATATTGTAATCAAACTTGGTATATAGCAACCTTATGTGGAAACCCCGGTTGGTATTGCATCTGGACCCCCTGGGGCCAAGGTCAAGGTCACCGTTACTAAAAATAGAAAAATGGTTTCCGGACAATAACTAAAGTTAGGAATGAGATATTGTAATCAAACTTGGTATATAGCAAGCTTATATGAAGACATAGGTTGGTATTGCATCTGGACCCCCTTTGGGCCAAGGTCAAGGTCACCGTTACTAAAAATAGAAAAATGGTTTCCTGACAATAACTAAAGTTAGGAATCATATATTGTAATCAAACTTGGTGTTTAGCAAGCTTACATGAAGACCGCGCTTGGTATTGCATTTGGACTCCCTGGGTTTAAGGCCACAGTTACTAAAAGTAGAAAAATGGTTTCCAGACAATTACTAGGGTTAGGAATGAGATATTGTTATCAAACTTGGTGTATAGCAAGCTTATATCAAGATCAAGATAGTTGGGATTGCAATAAATTGAAATAATTCTTTGTACACAGTGCTGATGGTACTTTATTTACTGTAGGTTTATTTCAAATTTTTCTTCAGACAACTTATTGGTCAAGAGTCAAAGTTGCTGGTGGGGGTATTAATCACCTTCAGTGATAGGTCTAGTTATTATGGTTGTTGACTGCAGTTCTGAGAATAAATTTCTATTCATATTTTAAATTTTCAGTCTGTTTCATTATATCACAGTTGCTTTAGTAATTTCAAGTAATTCTTAAGATAGAAAAATGATTAATAAAGACATCTTTTTTTATTCAGATTGGACCAGTTCAGAATTGTGAAGTTCCCCCTCACCACTGAATCTGCCATGAAAAAAATTGAAGACAACAACACATTGGTATTTATTGTTGATAAAAGGGCCAACAAACCACAAATACAGAGTGCTGTGAAAAAATTGTACGATATTGATGTAGCAAAGGTCAACACACTAAACAGGTATGTTGAAGTTCCATTTTATCTCTTTTTGAAAAAAAAAAGAAAAGAAAATTTTATTGAAAAAAAGAGAGTGTTCATCATTATGAAGTGTCGAGTAAATTGTCCAGAAATTTAGCTCTAACTGAAGTCAGCTTCTTGTATCTAAATTTTTGTGGGGGTTTTGTTTAGAACAGTTTTCAATAACATGTGTGATACATGATGATTATACATTGCATGTACTGAAAGTATCTTGTGGAATAATGTATTAGCTCTAACTGATATCACACACAACTTGTTTATAACTTTGTATGTAGGAATACATCATAAGCTCAAATTTCATTGAAGGTTCAACTTTATCTTGACTTATGACCGCTTTTTGTTTGAATCATGATTGAACAGTGACTTTTCACCTTTGATAACAGAGACCTATGAAAATCTGAACTTGCACAGGTGTATTTACACCCAATGTAGCAATTTTAGTTGTAATTCTTCCCAATTTGAGGAGGCTTAAGCCACCCAATTAAATGAGAAAAATCACTGTTGAAACATTGTCATTGTGTGAGAAACTTAATACATGAATTTCTTTTAGAAAACCATTATGTTAAATGGTATGTTGAGGTTTCATTTTATCTCTTTTTGAAAAAAAAAGAAGAAAGAAAACGAGAACATTTTATTGGAAAAAAGAGAGTATTCATCATGAAGACTTGAGTGAATTATCCAGAAATGATAAGAAAATGATAATCTCCTGTTATACATAATTATTTTGTTAAATGTCTCTATGGATTTAGAATAAATTATTTTGTGCCCTTCTATAGATGAAATGTTTTATGTGTATGTCATTGTCTTTTACACTACAGGGTTCTTATTTTAAAGGATTGAGGCAAAACCCAGGTCATTTACATAGCTGACCTATGATGACCACACCTTAATCACATTGAATACACTATGTAGAAAAATGTATTAGCTCTAACTTAAGTCAGTCTTGTATCTTAATTGTTGCTATTTTTGTGGGGATTTTGTTTAGAACTATATTCAATAACATGTGTGATACATGATGATTATACATTGCATGTACTGAAAGTATCTTGTGGATTAATGTATTAGCTCTAACTGATATCACACACAACTTGTTTATAACTTTGTATGTAGGAATACGTCATAAGCTCAAATTTCATTGAAGGTTCAACTTTATCTTGACTTATGACCGCTTTTTGTTTGAATCATTGAACAGTGACTTTTCACCTTTGATAACAGAGGCCTATGAAAATCTGAACTTGCACAGGTGTATTGCAATTTAAGTTGTAATTCTTCGATGAGGCTAAAGCCACCCAATTAAATGAGAAAAATCACTGTTGAAACATTGTCATTGTGTGGGAAACTTAATACATGAATTTCTTTTAGAAAACCATTATGTTAAATGGTATCATTTGATGTTCTTTCCTTCTTCAAACGTTAAAAGGGAGCTGATACTATACCAAAAGGAAAAAAATTGATATTACCAAAATTTGTTAGCTCAAACTCGCTTTGCACTTGCGGGAAAGAGAGAAAAGTTTAGAGGTTATTTCAAACTGACATATGATGACCATACCTTACCTACACTGAAAAGATTGTGTAGAATAATGTATTAGCTCTAACTGAAGTCAGTTTCTGTTTTATGATTGAGTACTTTAGAAATTACTAGAATCTTTGGGTACACATATGACTACAACCTGAAGATAAAAATACAAATAATTTACAAATTTGAGAAATTTATTTTGTGATATAATCAATTACATGTATTGTTAAATATTGGATATATTGGTATGCTTTTAGTGTTATGCTACATCTTAACATGCATAATTAATACAATATTTAAATGATTAACCTAAGCCTTGCAAGTTACCTGATCAATGGGGATGTTCTCTTGACGACTTTCCATTCTTGGTTGGTAATTGTAAGTGAATGAAATACCTAAATTGGACAATACTCTGGCATACAAGTTAAAGTAAAAAACATAAAAACTTTATAACTACTATTAAAAGTACCTATTAACAAATGAAATGTATTTATTTAAATCTGACATATGATGATTATACCTTACCTACAATGAAATCGTTTGTGTAGAATAATGTATTAGCTCTAACTGAAGTCAGTTTGAATTTAAAGAATGTGGGGGGGGGGGGCTTTAAATACAAAGTTCTGATGAAATGATGTGTAATGTTTATACATTACCATTAATTAAATAATGTATTTAGTAGAACTTTGCTGAATTTGACATGTTCTTATTGCCACACCTTCTTTTAGCCCGTTTCAGGAAATTGTTAATGTTCACAATTGCATGTCCTATAAGTGGCATGTTGATGATTTTGACAATTATGTGAAAGACTCAGTTTTTAATGCCATTTCTGTATAAATGTATATAAAGAAGTTTAAATGCTGACATATGATGACCATACCTTACCTACACTGAAGATATTGTGTAGAATGAAGTATTAGCTCTAACTGAAGTCAGTTTTCCCTTCTTAATTTAACTAATATCGACATATTTACCAGGGCTTCGGTCTTTTATAAAAGAAGGCAAGTCCACTTTACTGGATTGCATTACATAATACCAAGTTTTTTTGCAATTTTTTAGTACCATTAATGTTTTACTTATTGTGAAACTCGTCATCTCTTGGTCAGCGTCATATTTTTTATTGCAACTTTGTCATACAAAGAAGTCGCATGCAGTCACATTATAATAACTAAGAAGTTTAAATGCTGACATATGATGACCATACCTTACCTACACTGAAGATATCATGTAGATTAACGTATTAGCTCTAACTGAAGTCAGTTTATCCTTCTTAATTTAACTAATTTCAACATATTTACCAGGGCTTTGGTCTTTTAAAAAAGAAGGCAAGTCCACTTTACTGGATTGTCTTCCCTTATACCAAGTTTTTTAACCAGGTTTTCCTAAGGAAAAAACTGGTTATTAGATTGAGGTATGTCGGCGGGCGGGCGGGCGTAAACAATTTCTTCTGTGCGCAACTCCCAGACTTCCCGAAAGTTGAAAAAAACTGTCAGACATTCGGTCTGACAAACCATGAAAATCTGTCGGACCGAAACAAAATCTGTCGGACCAAATAAAAATGATCAAAATCAAAGAAAAACTTGTGTTTGTATTTCTAAGACATTTTTTGTTTTTTATTTTTTCACCGTAAAAATCGGCACAATCCGTACAGTGCATTTTCATCTCCTCCCTGTCATACACCAATGATTCATGGTTCTGCTTCCATTTTTCATTAAATTTTGTCTCAGGTCTTTTCTTTTCATCCTTTTATTGCTGTTCTGCGCACTCTTCTGACGTAGATTTTTGGTTTTTCCCAGGTTTGGCACCTTTAGCGACGCCATTTTGTATACATGCGGCTTGGATAAAAGCCGGACAATCGGACCGATCCGGAATAAAAAATTGTCGGACCTGATCAAAATTTATCGGACATGTCCGTCGGACCGACGTATTTCGGGAAGTCTGAACTCCTCCTACATTTCTCAACGGATTTTGATCAAACTTTCACAGAAGCTTTTTCATCAAGTGCCCTGGCGCATATTGTCGGGGTTTTGCGATTAGATAATATTTGACCTAATTATGGCCCTTTGTTTTTTTTCCTTATATAAAATATATAGTGAACAATTTCTTCTGTGCGCAACTCCTCCTACATTTCTCAACGGATTTTGACCAAACTTTCTCAGAAGCTTTGTCATCAAGTGCCCTGACACATATTGCCAGGGTTTTGCGATTGGTATATATTTGACCTAATTATGGCCCTTTGTTTTTTTTCCTTATATAGAATATATAGTGAACAATTTCTTCTGTGCGCAACTCCTCCTACATTTCTCAACGGATTTTGACCAAACTTTCACAGAAGCTTTGTCATCAAGTGCCCTGGCGCATATTGTCGGGGTTTTGCGATTAGATAATATTTGACCTAATTATGGCCCTTGTTTTTTTTCCTTATATAAAATATATAGTGAACAATTTCTTCTGTGCGCAACTCCTCCTACATTTCTCAACTGATTTTGACCAAACTTTCTCAGAAGCTTTGTCATCAAGTGCCCTGACACATATTGCCAGGGTTTTGCGATTGGTATATATTTGACCTAATTATGGCCCTTTGTTTTTTTTCCTTATACAGTAAAAACTCTGAAAACCGGATCCTATCCAGACTTGACCAAAAGTCCGGTTTTCAGAGGATTCCGGTTTTCAGAGGTTTTATACATTTATTGATAATTATGATGTGTTTGAACAATGACTTTGTTAAAACATTTTGTACAGTCATGTATTTACTTTTTAACATTTTTGTCTAAGTCATATTTTAATTTCTTTTAACAATAAATGTCTTAAGTAAGTTTATTATGCAAATCCATGAATATAATTCAGAAAATCAGAAATTTAAACAACACATTGTCTGAAATATATCTTGTTTTAATTGGCTTTTAAAATATGTAATTAATGGAATTTAGTATTACTACTTTTGCATATAATAAATATCTAAACAAAGATCAATTTTTTTAGCAAAACAGGAATCATTTTACAAAAATTTCTAATTCTTTTAGACATTTTATATTTAAAGAAGAAAAAAACACACAACAAATTAAGAACATTTAGAAAAATCATACCTATACAGGGAAAGGCACAATTATAATGAAAGAGCTATGATTTAATTGCCAATAAGAAATTAACACACACAAGTGTTTTCACACCTGCATAGATAAAAAGGGTGATCATTAACTGGTAATTGAACATGTCACCTGTTGAGATTATGTTTTAATATACTTTAAAATACACAGAAAGTTGACACTTAAAATTGCTGTCCGGTTTTCAGAGGATTTTTTATGCATGTTTAGCATTAGAAGCCACAGAAAAGCGTCCGGTTTTCGGAATTCAGTGGTTCCGGTATTCAGAGGATTTTTTTCAATGAACATATAAGGAGACAATACAGGACTTTTAAAATGGTCCGGTTTTCAGAGGATTCCGGTTTTCAGAGGGTCCGGTTTTCAGAGTTTTCACTGTTATAGATATATAGTGAACAATTTCTTCTGTGCGCAACTCCTCCTACATTTCTCAACGGATTTTGACCAAACTTTCTTAGAAGCTTTGTTATCAAGTGCCTGGCACATATTGTCGGGGTTTTGTGATTGGATAATATTTGACCGAATTATGGCCCTTTGTATATTTTTTCCTTATACAGAATATATAGAGAACAATTTCTTCTGTGCTCAACTCCTCCTACATTTCTCAACGGATTTTGACCAAACTTTCTTAGAAGCTTTGTTTTCAAGTGCCTGGCACATATTGTCGGGGGTTTTGTGATTGGATAATATTTGACCGAATTATGGCCCTTTGTATATTTTTTCCTTATACAGAATATATAGTGAACAATTTCTACAGTGCGCAACTTCTCCTACATTTCTCAATGGATTTTGACCAAACTTTCACAGAAGCTTTGTCATCAAGTGCCCTGGCGCTCACTAAATTCCCATGTTTCTTCCAAGACATCATTCAAGTATTTTTTTAAAATTGTGAACATACTTTTCTTGATATCGCACAAAACACCACACGCCAATATTGTTGACAAAAGAAAATGACAAGAGACGCAAAAATGTAAAAATTAAGCAAAAATAAAGTACTGTTTACCTTTCTAAAACATTTCGGAAAAAAAGGCGAATAGACAACATAAAATTTCTCAATCATTTTTGTTTGAGGAATATTAAAAAAGCCATAATTCCTCCTAAAAGTTCAATTAAAAACAAATGCCCCTTCATGACAAAGCTTCTGTGAAATATTTTGCTGAAAACCTGGTTGCATCGCATTGCGATGTTCCTTGTTTTGCAATTTTATAGTAACATTTATGTTTTACTTATTGTGAAACTCATCGTCTGTTGGTCAGTGTCATATTTTTTATTGCAACTTTATCATACAGAGTAGTCACATGCAGTCACATTATAATAAGTAAAATATAATGTATGTATTATATATATATTGTCAGGCCTGATGGTGAGAAGAAGGCTTATGTAAGACTGGCACCCGACTATGATGCTCTAGATGTCGCTAACAAGGTGTGTGTCTTAATTAGAGGAGGATTTCTTTTACATGTCAAATTTAACATTTAATGCAACACCAATATTTATAGAACTGTCAGTATTCTATACACATTTGGTGGGGTGGGGACCATAATAATTATCGAAACATTGGTATATCATTGATATAATTTGCCATCCAATACTGATAATTAACAATGGGCTAAAATTTATTATGTAAAAACTTTGTGTTACTATAAATCAACAATAGGCTAAAATTTATTATAATGTAAAAACTTTGTGTTACTATTATTTTCTAATGCAAATGGTGTCTGTTGTCAAATACTGCCAACTGTTTCTTTGCTTTGCTTGTTTATTAAATTGATTTGGAGAATTTTCTTTCATATTGCCGAGGCATAAATTTTCTAACTTAACATTTTAAAACCAATTGTCTTCTGATTAAGTACAAATTTTATCTTCTTTCAATTTCAGATTGGCATCATATAGACATCTTGTTTTGTGCTGTACATAGTCTAATGAAAATAAAGAGAAAAAACTATGATGTTTGTAAAGTTTTCATTATGCCTGAAATAATGCATGGAGAAGCATCTGAGGTCTTCCTCCACTTGCTGGAAAGTTGCTATTTGACCTTAACAGTGTTGGTGCGACACAAAATCTTAACTAAGGGGAAAAAAATAACAGGTGGAGGAGAACTGAAGATGTTTAATTATGAATTATTTCAGGCTCTTCACCATGGCTACAAATCTTCAGGAAATGTAAATACATTTTAACCAGTAATGTATGTCTAGAACCATGTCTAAAGGCCACTTAATAGGGTTCTTACAATTTCATATATTAGAAAATTAGCTTTCCAGGAGGTGTTCATCAATGTATGCTCAAGTTATATTCAGATGAAGCAACGTCTTTGTTCAACTCCGAAAAAAAATGGCTTATAATTATTTGATATCAAGATAGTCTGTTTATATTTTGGTGTAATAAGATATCACAGGTGATTTTAAACTGACATATGATGACCATACCTTACCTACACTGAAAAGATTGTGTAGAATAACGTATTAGCTCTAACTGAAGTCAGTTTCTTTTTATGATTGATGATGACATGAGAAAATTACTAGAATTTCACACACGACTATAAAATAAGACAAAATTCTGAAGATTTAATACAGGTGATTTATACAATTTGAGATCTTTTTAGCTCGACTTTATTTTTTTTTTTGAAAAAAAAAGTAGAGGTATTGTTATAGTCAGGTCGGCGTTGCCATTGCCGTTGCCGTCCGAAAACTTGTACCTGGATCATAACTTTTTTATTACTTGGTGTATTGTCTTCATACTTGGCCACAACAACCCTTGGGACAAGACCTTTCAGTAGACCACACTAACCTTGACCTTCATCCATAAATGACCTTGACCTTCAAGGTTAAGAGTCCAATTTTTGCTTGTTCTAAAAGTCCAATTTTTGCTTGTTCATGCTGTTATTGGCTGTTACTTTGTTATTTTTGAATGGATTGTCTTCAAACTTGAACATAATAATCTTCAAGGATATCCCTTAAAAATAACCAGTCAGACCTTGACCTTCACTCATCAATGACCTTGACTTTGAAGGTCAGATTATTGAAATTTTCATTTTTTTGGCTATAATTGGCTGTAACTTTGTTATTTTTGAATGGATTGTCTTCAAACTTGAACATAATAATCTTCAAAGATAACTGTTAAAAATATACCGAAAGACCTTGACCTTCACTCATTAATGACATTGTCTTTGAAGGTCAAATTATTGAAATTTTCATTGTTTTGGCAGTAACTGACTGTAACTTTGCTATTTATATAAATGTGTGTGTGTATATATATATATATATATATATATATATATATATATTTTTATTTTTTTTTGAATATATATATGCATATATATATATAGATATATATATATATACATGCATATATATATATATGCATGTATATATATATTTATAGATATATACATGCATATATATATATATATATATGCATGTCTATATATATATACATATATATCATATATACATGTATATATATATATATATTTTTTTTTTGAATATATATATGCATATATAAAAATGTATTATATATATCAAATATATATATATATCAAATACATATATATATATATATATACACTGACTGTAACTTTGCTATTTATATAAATGTGTGTGTGTATATGTATATATATATATATATATATATATTATATGTATATATATATATTTGATATCAAATATATATATATACATGTATATATATATATATTTTTTATTTTTTTTTGAATATATATATGCATATATATATAGATATATATATATATATTTTAGAAATTGCGTCATTGTTGCTATTTTTAGAAATTGCGTCATTTTTTTCTATTTTTAGAAATTGCGTCATGTTGCTATTTTAAGAAATTGCGTACTGTTGCTATTTTTAGAAATATGCTTAATGTTTCTATTCATATATATACAAAATATATAAACAAAACTAATGTGACAAGACAGACCAACTAAATTTATAAAAAGGAAACGTCAATATATGTTCAAACCTTTCTATGTTTGCGTTTAGAAAAAGTAAAAAGTCGAGCGTTGCCCCCGCCCGGCGGTGGCTCTTGTTTATTTTGTGATATAATCAATAGACGTTATCAAGAACTCTGCAAATGTGATTTTTTCCCAGCTAATCTGTAGGTACAAACTAACTTTTACCATGCACTACCTGTCACAATTGATTTGTCCACCTGTTTTGCTTATTTTTGAAACTGTAAAAGTTTGTTTGTACCAACAGATTAGCTGGGAAAAACCCAAAAAAAATTCTTATTCCGGAGTTCTATTATATATTTAATATTGGCATGCACTACACCTTACCATGCATTATAAACACAATATTTAAATGATTTACCTAAGCCCTTACCTGATCAATGGGGGATGTTCTGTGATGACGCTTCCATTCTAGGTCGGTGAATGAAATACCAAAATTTGACAACTTTTACGCGTGTATTCAAGTTGAAAAAAAAAGATACCTTTACTACTACTTATCATACATGTTAACAATAAAATGAATTTGTTTAAATGCTGACATATGATGACCATACCTTACCTACACTGAAGATATTGTGTAGAATAATGTATTAGCTCTAACTGAAGTCAGTTTGAATTTAGAGAAAGTGGGGGGGGGGTTGCTTTAAAAAGTTCTGATGTTAAATCTTGCAGATGTGTTACGTTCATACATTACCATCAATTAAATAATTTGTTCAGTAAAACTTTACTGAATTTTGCCACGCCTTTTTTAGCCTGCTTTGGTTTGGGAAATTTTTAGTGTTCACAGTTGCATGTCCTGTAAGTTCATAGGTGATACAGACAATTTTGTGAAAGACTATCCGTGTTAAATGCCATTTCTTTATAAATGTAAATAAAGAAGTTTAAATGCTGACATATGATGACCATACCTTACCTACACTGAAGATATCATGTAGAATAACGTATTAGCTCTAACTGAAGTCAGTTTACCCTTCTAAATTTAACTAATGTCAACATATTTACCTGGGCTTTGGTCTTTTAAAAAAGAAGGCAAGTCCAGTCTGTGCGAAAGTCCGTCGGTCCTGACTGAATAAATATCATGCGGTCCGAGATAAATTTCCTTTCTGTTGGTCCTTATGTCCGAATAAAATTTCAAGAAGTTAAAAATATGCAAGATACAGACAAATTTTATTTGTCACATATTTTCGTGATGCTGCATTTTATATTTAATTAAAAAGAAAGTAAACAAATGGAAGCTATGTTTTGTCAAAATCTGTGTAATGACACTTGAAATGTTGTTTAGGAATTAAAATTACTGCAGATATTGTTTATTTACATTCATTACAAGAGCTGTCACCCAAGTGACGAATGCCCCCGAAAAGGTTTCTTAAGCATGCAGGTATTATGAAAAGAAAAGAGAATGAAAGTATCTAATTGCTAAACATTGTTCTTTGTATTATCTCTAATTGTGATAGCATGAACCTTCAAAATATAAGTGTGACCTTGACCTTTGAAGAAGGACGCGACAAAATGTTATGAGATAGACATTTTGTGCCAAATTATTTCAAAATCCCTCAATGCATGACAAAGTTACAGTCTGGACATGATTGTTGTGTAAATTGGGACAGACGGACATGAGCCTTAGCCACGATACGTAACATTGTCTTGATGTGGTAGAAATTTGTGCCAAGTTATTTTAAAATCCTTCCATGCATGACAGTTACAGTCTGGACATGAATTTGTATCTTCAAACTCTTCTCAGAGAATGAGTACCTTGAAACTATAAGTGTGACCTTGACCTTGAAGGTAGGGACATGGGTCTTTAATTTGTCGTGACATGTCGTCTTAATGTGGTAGACATTTATGCCTAGTTTTTTTAAAATCCTTCCATGCATGACAGTTGCAGCCCAAACACGAATGTGTGTACCTATAAACTAATTGTGATAAAGTGAACTTCAAAATGGTAGTGTGACCTTGACCTTTGAGGTAGGGACGTAATTATTGGATGCGACACATCGATGTTGTAGACATCTATGCCAAGTTATTTTAAAATCCTTCGATGCATGACAAAGTTACAACCGGGACAGGATTGTGTGAACCTATTAATTCTAATTGTGATAATGTGAAACTTCAAAATGATAGTGTCACCTTCACCTTTGAGGAAGGGACTTGGTTCTTGGACGCGACACGTCTTGATGTGGTAGACATTTGTGCCAAGTTATGTCAAAATCCCTCAATGTATGACAAAGTTACTGTCTGAACACGAATGAAGATGGGACACACAGAGGGACAGACAGACGGTGCAATTATATTACAAAAGATGAGATGAACCTCAAATGAATAATACTGAACTTCTGCTAAGAATGATGCTCCAGTTTGTGTTATGTGTCATTGACTGTTCAATTGAGAGCAAAATATTAATTATAACCTTGATCAGATTTTGTAATGGCAAAACTATATGACATTTCAGTGATTTGCTTATTCGGTTAAAGCTGCATTTTTATGAACACAGAAATAGCTATGTTTCATTCATATACATTGTAATTGGTTTTATATTGACTCGCATTCTAATTTTGGTGTCTAGATTTCCAAAATGAGTTAAATAAGCCTTTTTCTAAACATATGCAGGATCTTTGTCGCCAAATAGAAAGTACAATTTCTGTTTGAATGAGATCATCCGTACATCAATTCATCTGTTTATTTCTATATAACAGATGTTTTCATACAAATTTAGGGCAGGCAGACCTGAAGCTATAACAGTAAAATTTACACAATAAAGTGACATTTGCCACGCTCCAGGTAGCAACTAGTGATTCTGTAGACTGTCGCATAGCACATACACAAGCTATTATAGTCTTCATTTGTGTGTCAATTTTTGTATAAAATCTGTGAGGTTTTCCTTTCAAAAACATAATTTATGTACAATAATGATTAACAATGCTGTTGAGCTAAAACGCTTGCGTTTTAGGCCAACAAAATATTTTTACATATTTGAGAATGCAGCTTTAACATTTAGGAATGCAAATTAAAACGAGTCACTGCCAAGCTTAGGTAAAACGTTGGAAGGTGAATATTGTAGTAAGAATACTCCTGGCAAACATAATTTTCTTCAACAAAATATAATTCAAACTTCATGTATGACCTTTTTGAAGTTCTTTTAAAAAAAAAAAACAACCAAGTTATGACAATTGGTAAATTCCAATAATTTGACCTTGACAGACAAGGTCAGTGTAATGTCAAGGTCTTGTCATAATATGTTATTTTGACCAGTAATTTAAGCAAATTTCAATAGCTTGACCTCGATGGTCAAGGACCTTTCTGAATTACTTATCATACAGCATTTGTCATATGGTTGATTTGTCCAAGGATTGATAAAATTTGTAAATAAGTAACAAAAGTTATGACACTCTAAGCTAAATAAAATAATTTGACCTTGATGGTCAAGGTCATATTTTGAATTATTTATTTTTGAAATATTGGTTTTGTTATAAGTGTTCTTTTGCCAGTATATATCAAATCCATAAATAATAAAGATATGATCAAAACGAGCTAACTGAGCTTTAGTGTCAAGGTCAAGTTCAATTCTGCTTTAATGTCTTTTGTGTCCATGTATGAAAACAATAAAAAGATACTAGTAATAAACCGACTGAAGAAAATAGTGAAATTTTTGCAATCGCTGAATTAGAAAATGGTGCGATTGATATCAACAACTGGATGAACGCTAATAAACTCAAGATGAACTCATCAAAAACAGAATTCATAACATTTGGAAGTTCTCAACAACTCGAAAAGTGTCACCTAAAATCCATTTGTATTAACGGAGATAAGATCAACTCCGAGGAGTCCATTAGATATTTGGGCGCATTTCTAGACCAAACACTAAATTTCAAGGAACATGTCAAACGAAAGTGCCGTACTGCAATGTTAAACTATCTTAGAATAAAACGTATCCGAAAATACCTCACCAAAGAAGCAGCTGAAATACTAGTTATAGCACTCGTAATGTCACACTTGGATTATTGCAATGTCATTCTTTATGGTGTATCCGATTTTGAATTGAAAAAAATACAACGTATTCAAAACATGTGCGCTAAGTTAGTTCTGCAACGAAAGAAATTTGACAGTTCAAGGCAAGCACTGTTCGACCTTCACTGGCTGCCCATCAAATCTAGAATCGAATATAAAATTTTGACTTTTGTATACAATTGTTCAATCGGTCATGCTCCAAAATACCTTTCTGAACTCCTAAGCAAACAAGTACCAAATACCCGACTACGTTCAGCTAAAACCTCTGAGAACTGCTACGTTATTCCATTCAATAAAAGAAAAACATTTAGTGACAGAAGTTTCGGAACTATTGGTCCAAAATTGTGGAATCCGCTGCCATTAGAGTTGAAACAATCTAAGAATATTGATGTATTTAAGAGAAATCTTAAAACACATTTTTTCAGAAAGTTTGAATCACTATTTTAAAATCTGAAATGAGATAAACATGAGTAACGTATAACTGATGACTGACAGTGTGATGAATGTGCAATGTAAATGAATGTTTTGTTCTTTTTAATCTATTTGTAATCAAGTTACATCTATGTACATAATCTTATCTCATGCTACATGTATATCAATCAGTTTTATCATTTTATGGTCTCTGCAATTTTTTAAAAATATGTTAATTGGAATTGTATGTAAAAGCTTTTATTTCACTTGATGGTGATCCACATATTCTTATGCATTCACAATTTTATTCTTAATATTTATATGTATTGTACAACGCCGTTGAATATTGTTAAATAGAAACAGGCGTTTAATTAAATAAAAAGTTTCAAGTTTCAAGTTTCAAAATCCAATTAAAGCAAAAAACTGAAATTAGGGTAACTTAACTTTGAAGTGATGACGATCATTTACGAGTCTCATATGAGGTCAAATTGAATTGATGGTCTTTAAAACATTGTTCGTATAGTAGTTGTGCTCAAGTATGAAGACAGTCTATTCTTCTGTAGCTAATAATTGCAAACATTAAATTGCAAACTTATTGGAAGATTGAAATCAACATAAAAATATCAAAAAAAAGGATTCTGTGATTAAAAAAGCCTTGAATGAAGTTTTCCTTTACTTGTACAAATAAATAAATAACACAAGTCTTCATTAGTGTCACTTTATTCAATTTAATTTATACTTATCATTAATAAATACATGTTTTTCTATATAATATGGAAAAATAAGCATTGCACCACCCAGTAACAAAAAAAGAAATTGTAAAATTTTATCTCCGACTGCTTGACATATATCTTACTTGAAACTATGGCTAAATCAGTATTGGTCCCAACTCCTTTCTTTTGCTTCCTTGATGATTGTGAAAAAATAAGATATGCTTACATGATCATGAATAGCAAGTATTCTAGTCTATTGTTTTAGTCTAATTAAAGAACTAGTAAGTGCTGGATCATTTTAAGTCTCCCAGCATCAGACATTCAATATGTATTATTTGGTGACTACCATGTCATCATGTTACATAATGTAAGGTATTTATGTACGAAAATGTTTACATGTAAGCTTCTATCAGTAATATGTTGATATCCTAGGTTTATTGCTCAAAATGCACAACAATACAACCACTTGCTCATTATTCCTTTCATCTGTCCCCTGCCATTTGTGTTTATAGCATTTTTTCATACAGACAAATTATGATGTTCATTAATTTGCAATCTACAATCTTTTCTTGATAAGTTTTTCTAGTTTTCTTATTCTGCTTGACTCTGGCTCCGGTGTGGAAGTCATCATACTTGTGTGACCTTGACCTGACATTTCGACTGAAGATTGGCGGCCTATTGCCATGGAAACGGGGATTCTTGCTCTGTACATTTCCAACAGTGAACTGATTTCACTCCTCTTTAGTCCCTGTATTGAAATAAGAATTTTCATGTAAAGTTAACAACAACAACACTGATATAGGTCCAAGGTTATAATAAAGAATTTTTCTAAGCTCATATCTTTTGAATTTGGCTAAAAACAAGCACAGAATGTATACTGACCGATGAAATTCCTGAGGTTCCAGCCAGAGCTCAGATAAAGGTTTCATAACCTTAAGGTCAGATAATATATAGCCAGTTTAAGCTTTAAAGGTGGAGATGATGCTCTATGTATTTATTTGAAGCACTTATCGACCTTACAGAGTTAGCTGTACACAGTCGTAGTTCTTTTATCAATTGTAATTGAGAAAATTAAGGGGTCATTTTCTAAGACTACCTTTCATTTTTTATAATTGTTCAGGCAGGATCTTCCCTATAATTTTTCATGTATGAAACATTGTTATCTTTACACATACGAAATGCGTCCTAGACACTTACAACATGCTGTATACACACAGGGAAGGACCGTAATTCTACCAAAAGGATTAAATCACAAAATCCAAACAATATGTAAAAGAAACCACTCAGGGGAAACAATAAATAACTTTCTCTTGCACAAAGTTTTCAACCTCAAAAGTTTTGAGGAGTTCAACCACTCTTTATCAAGGAGTTTCATGTTATTCTATGAACCACAAATTAACTTTTTTCTTAACAGTAATTTATTCACAAATAATGACAGGAAACCCTTTGTGCAAGAGAAAGTTCAATATGCACAATTGCACTTTACAATCACAGTTTTGTTAAAATCCTTAGCAAATGTAGGAGTACTTGTTTGTTTAAAAACAAATCTTATTACCAGTTTTCTGTTAAAAATGAACCCAACAGAACATATTAAAGAAATAACCTGAAGCTTACCTTCATTTCAAGTATCTTCTGGAACTCTCCAATATCGGAATCATTTAGCAGGCGTATGTAATTGTCAATAAAGCCCATGGCTGGTTCATGATGATTCATCATTACCTTTATAAAACATTAAAAATATTAATACTTTACATCGAGTCCCTTCATAACAAGAGCTGTCGTTAGGAGAGCAACGCTCGACTATTCTTAGTTCTTGATAGTAAAAAAATTCTTGATAATGTAAAATTTTCTAAGTTAACAAAAGGGCAAAATTTTTCTTTAAAAATAGGCCTTAAAGAGAATCCTATTATGCTCTAAAAGAAGAGTATAAAATTTCAACTTGTTTCAAAGCCAGATGTCAATAGAATATGAAAATATCTGAGGTGGTATGTAAACTTAAATGTAAATTCTAAGTCAAAAAGGGGCATAATTCTGTCAAAATGCTTGATACAGTTACCTCCTCCTGTCTACAGGTTAGGGACATGATTGTGAACAAGTGTGCAAAGTTTCAAAGCCATATGTCAATGGACTTTGAAAATATTTGAGGTATTACAAAAACTTTAACGAAAATTCTAAGTCAAAAAAGGGGCATAATTCTGTCAAAATGCTTGATACAGTTACCTCCTCCTGTCTACAGGTTAGGGACATGATTGTGAACAAGTGTGCAAAGTTTCAAAGCCATATGTCAATGGACTTTGAAAATATTTGAGGTATTACAAAAACTTTAACGAAAATTCTAAGTCAAAAAAGGGGCATAATTCTGTCAAAATGCTCCTGTCTACAGGTTGGGGTCATGATGGTGAACAAGTGTGCAAAGTTTCAAAGCCATATGTCAATGGACTTTGAAAATATTCTAGGTATTACAAAAACTTTAACATAAGTGGTTACGCCGACGCTCGGGTGACTACAATAGCTCTACTTATTCTTATCAAATAGTCGAGCTAAAAACTTGATTATGGTAAGATACACGTCTATGTTGCTTTTTTATAGCAATGATTGACTGTAAGACCTTATACTAAGTTACTTAAGACTAACCTTATCAGCTTGATATATATACCGTAAATATGATTTACAGTTTCAAACACCTGGGGAAAGTCAATTAGTAAACATTAATGGAATTATAAACATTAAAGTTGTCAGTCCTACATTGTATATCAATTAATAAAGTTCTATTAAAGAACACAATGTGTACATAAATTCTGTATAAATCAATTAAACAAAAACAAGGTGACTAGATTATCAGGCAAACATAAAAAGATATTCCTGCTTCATTAACCCTGTGAATGAAGTTGTCATAGTAACATGTTTATGGTTAAAAATCAAAGCGAATAGACAAGTAGACCTTAATTAATTATAAATATACCTTCAAAATCATCTCTGCTTTTGTCATTCCCTTCTGTACAATCTTTATGTAGCTGTAATATAGAAAATTATGATAAATATGAAGCAGGGTTAGTGTTGAACAATATAAAGAAGAAATATATCTTAGGATCTTACTAGAATCATTACATGTACTTACAGTATAACAAGGAAAATTACTATTATTGTACAAAATAGGTGTTTAGGATTGATTGATTTTCTTTTGTTTTTTAATAGTCAAACATGTGATATTATGATCATATTAAACAACTTTATAGAACATTGTTACTTCAATGAAAATAAGGATTTGATATGGATTTTGGACTCTCAAAAAAATAAAAACAAGGCTTGATGGGAGTGAAATATGGATTTGATATTAACCTTTCGAATTCCAAGATTTAATCTAATAATGATTTATAAATTCTATTGGAACATTATATGGCACAAATGCTGAAAATGCATTGATTATATTTAATAAGGTGGGAAATAATAATGTCATTATCTGAATAATACCAATATTAGCTCTATTTGTATTACTAAAATTAAGTCCCTTTCTAGAGTATAAACTTGTGATAAAAATGCTCACCTTGCCGGTGCTTTCCTGGTTACACTAGAACCAAGTGAAGGTAGATCTAACAATAACGTCTTCAGTGAATGCGTGTCCAGTAACAACTAAAACAAACAATTTCAAAGCCTTAAATTTAATAATAAGTCAATTATATTTTTGTATTAGTTTAAATAATATCAATATAAGTACAGGAGAATAGCATGAATTTTTCAAGCTTTTGCTTAGAACCAAAAGCTCTTACATTTGATATTCATCTTACATCTTTTTTTTTAATGTAATTGCAGTTACATGGTTAACCTTTTGGTATATTTGTGAAAAATATTTCAAAATATTCATGATTAAAAACTCTAGAATGCTTTAAAAATTCAATATGAAGTAATTAATTAGACTAACAAGCTTTTTATGATTTTTTATGAGAATATATAAAAGCGTGATTCAAAGCTAAGTGATCATCGGTTCAATTCTTCATGGATTACAACCATACATTCTCAGAGATTACCTTTAAACATGAGAATAAATAAATAAGTAAAGTTGTGAACAAGTAGAAACAGTCAATCAAGAATGACAATCACATGTCAGTAGCCAATAAAGTCAGATGCACCTGTGCATAAATATAAATAATCAGTAACCTACCTGTTCTGCAGCAACTGCTGTCACTGACTTACACTTGAATAAACTGCCTATAAACTTCGGGATAAATGCACTGAAACATCACAAAATGAGATAAAATGTTTTTGTGTGTGTGTTTTTTTCTAACATTTAACTAAAATTCTTATTTTTTTAGTGAGAAATGTAGTGCTTCTACTTAAATGTGCAATACTTCTGAATCTTACCATTAATGGCTTGAAATATATAAGGTCAAAACAATAAGCCTCAAATTTCACACAGCAAAATAGTTTTTTTTATAAAAACATTTAGTCTCAGTAAAACTTTTAAGACATTTTAAATTCATAGAATGGATTTAACTTGCTTTAAAGTGGGACTCTATTTTGAATGACAATAAAAGAAGTCTCAGAATTAAATTGCTAACAGTAAAAGCTACATTGGCACTATACAAGTTTAATAACCCAGATGCTACTTTCCCTACTATTAGCATTAAATGGAATTACTATTACAACCTACTTACTTAGCAAATTTAACACAGAATTGTGTGAAGTATTTTCTTGAAGAAGCCAGGTTGTCTCTGATTAGAGGTAAAGCAGTTTTTAGATGTCCTGTTATTGCAGTAACATATCCACTCTGGTCACCTACAGCCTCGACAGATGACCATGACATCTGTAATAAAAATAAACCTTAACTTTGGTAATAATGCTAATATGACCAGGCATTTCAATCTTTAACTCACCATAGCCCTTATACACTAATACATACATGTGTAAACCTGCCCTTAACAGTAACCATCTACTACTTTAACTACTACCATGCTAGAACCATTTCTGTGCAGTCTGATCAAGCTCTTTACTGTTGGCTGATTAACTTCAAACTACTGTGTAAAGTTTTGTGGGTGTTTAAGTTTGTATACCCTTGCCACCGGAATAACTACCATACAAGCGAGCAATTTGTAAAGTTTGCCAGCAATGTAGCCTATATGTCATTACAAACTCAGAATTGCAATAACATAACATTGGTCATATCTTCACATATAGATGGAATGTGTAAACTGTCGCATTTACATTAACATATTCATCAATGGTAAACAAATGCTAGAGTGTTAGGATATAAAACTTTATAAAAGGATATAAAACTTTATAAAATACTTACCTTGGACATTGCTGTTAGGGCAGGTTCACATGCCGTCTCCAAATCCTGAACTAACAGTGCTATACAATTTGATATGACACTGAAAACATAAATGTTGTAACACCATGTCAAACATCAATACATCATAATTAACCATTAGCTCACAGTTTACAATCTTTTTTCCAATCTACTGTACTGAATAGAAAGCTATATTAAGAAATTAGACTCAAATGAAAGTTAATATAGAATTAAATTTCTATAGCTTTAAGTTCAACTCACTTATGAAACAAATCCTGTTCTGAATTCAAATCTATTTTAGCAGCTAACTCTTTGTCCACTTTTTCTCTCAGTTTTTCTTCAAGTTGCTGAGCAGTTTCCATACAGTATTCTGCAGTACACAAAATGCTACATGTTCTACATTGTTCTTCCTCTGTTAACTTTGTTATCTCCCCTTCTCTCAGTATACTTTGTATCAAACCTGAGGCTGATGATACATTACTGCTTTGATTTGACAATCTGAAAATGTAAGAATATGTAACCTTTTTTAAACAACCCCTGTCTATATGAATATGCTTTTATCTTTCAACTTTAAAATTTTTTCTTTGCTCAGTATTGTTTCTATAAGACATACATGATTTCAGTCTGAAAACATGATGAAGAGCCCTTGTCTAATTTTATGTACTTCTGTTAACTATGAACCTTTCCCTTTACAAAGCATATTTGAGATTGAGATTACATTAATGTTGTGATTCAAAATTACAACATTTTTAGGACATGTTGAGAATTTCAGATTTAAGAACAAATCTTTTGAGACACCCTTTTTTCTCTTTTATTTCATTATTGTTAATATTATTTTGAAAAAAGAACCTGCTTGATACCATTTGGTATCTCTTGCTTTAGACAGCTTCTAAAATGTTAATGTAAACTTTGCATAAAGCCTTAACTTCTTATATTCTTTGGTCAGACATGATCAATTGATTCAAATTTAACTAAATTAATAAGAATTTACAAACAAAAGATATTGCAAAAGTTATTCTTACTTAGGAAGATTATTAAGCAATATTCTAACAGAATATTCTTTAAGATATTTTTGGAATGTTCTTGTAAGGTCAATCATAGGTTGACCAGTACTAAGTTGTGAACACTGCACCATACATTTCTTGTAGCAAACAAAGAGATCAGCACTGCTTGGTAAAACATTACTGCCTTCCTCTGATTCTATACGTGGAGTGCCGTACTGCTTGAAATCATCTAAAAATCTGTTCATTAAATCTGCTAGATTTCTGAAATCAGAATAGTATATTTTAGAAACAAACACTAAAATGCTAACCGATGTTGCCCCACTTAGCTCAACAGGGAGAGCATCACTGGTTCCATCCTTGGGCTAATAAAATTTGCCAATCTATAATATTTAAGAAAACTTAGGTAAAAAGTAGGCTAAAAGAAAACACTTCTATTCTTTATAGATAAAGAAACACCTAATTTTCAGCCTTTATAATGACAGTACAAATTCATACCTGTCCTGTGACTCTATGTAAATATCAAGTTGAGCCTCGAAACATTTTGATATAATTCCCAGGAATGGTGATGATAGTGGTTTAACATTTGCCTGAAATTAAACATAATCTGATTATAAAAATAATGCTATGAAAGGGACTCAACACCATTTTATTGACTTAACAGGACAGGAATTTTTTTTATTTCAAAATTTTAAAACTATTTGATAATTGTATAAGCATACACAATTTTGTATTATCATTTTATATTTTTCTGTTATAATGCCCCAGTTGATCAATGTAAGATTTTCAAATTCTATGCTTTGGGGCTTTTGGACGTCAGTGGAGCTCCTTTATGCTTAAAATACTTAAAACAGGAGAGGGATACAAACAGAAATGTGCACTTGTCTACTACATACAATAGAGAACAAATTGTTGAAGCAAACATTGATTTAATCCAATAGTCCTTGACCAATAAAATCATGAAACAAATTTTTAATACAATCTACTTCTAATCTTATTCTAATTCTAACAATCTTCTTATAGATATACTCTAAGTGCACCAGTTCCTTTAATTGTCTTTTTTTACTTTTAGAATATGATATTCCCTTTTTTTTTGATTGGGCATGAAATTATACAGATACTATTAAAAGGTCATAAGGTAACTTTCCAGATATACGATGAAGGAAGACCTCAGCTTCCCTTTCATGCATTATTTAAAGCACATGTGGGCACCTGAGTAAAACCAATAATCTAGCTGTCCCTATTGCCAGTATCGGGATGCAAATTTAAATAGGTGGGGAGCAAATGATTCTTTGTTGATAACCTTAACCACTACGCAATGAGGGCTGCTTTATTACTGTTTTTAACTGTTATTGTATTTGGATGAAAGTAATTTGAAGTGAAGGACCTTTACCTCTTCCATTTTAAATATGCCTCATCTGATGTATTTCAGTTTAGAATATGATTAAAAGAAATAGAAATATGAGCACAAAAATATAACTGAACAGATGGAAAAGACAGTTTGCCTTCCATTTATCTCATCTTATCTTACCTATGAATGTAGACGGCTGTTAAAATATCGTGTTAAATATGAAATACACACCTTGGACTCATCAGAATCAGTGTTCTCAGCAAGTAAATCCTCGGCAAAGGGATTAGGACTCTCTGTTGTCTCCTCTTCAAATGGGTTTTTAGCTGGAGGAGGCTTGGAAGGAACAGGTTTGGACTGGTATGAAAGGGAATTGTATTATTTTCTTAGTCCTCAAAATAAACACACTTAATAATTAATTTACCAGAGATTTTGCCACCACTCCCACATCACAAAAAGTGAATGATCCAGCATTAGCTCTAAATGTGATTTTGTGATAAAAAATGCTAAAACATAGTAGTTAAAACTATACAGTTTTCTTTCTTTTCCAAACTAGACAAATCATTGTCAAATTTATTTCTAAGTCTTGTGATCTTGTCTACTTGCTCTATACTGACTGGCTGACCAGCTTAAAATTTATATCTTTTTATCCCTAAATCCCACAGTTTCAAATGGAAGCTTGACAAGTCAATTTATCCAACACGGTAAGGATTAACTAAAGCTATTGACTGTAGGACTACATTGATGCCCATATTGACATTGCAAGATATAATAGTAACATAGGCCAGTAGTAATCCCTGCCAGTATTCAAAGGTTTCAGTTGTAAAAGTTTCTTGACAAACTTGCCTGCAGAGAAGTCCTCAATGTACTTCATCCCAAAAAAATCTTGCATTTTCAACAACAGACACATGTCTTAAAATGTGTAATTAAAATCTTGTTTTTCTCACCTGGCCAGTCTGTAATGTTACACCTGTAAATCTCTTGGAAATTAAAGCCTCAAAGTTTGTTGTTCTCTGAATGGCAAATAGTAACAATTTTACATCTATTTCTGACCGTCTTTTTCCCATTATCTTTGTTAGTTCTTTTCTGAAACAATAATATATAAATGTAATTACACTGTATCATACTCAGATTACCCTTTTTAATGATTGCCAATTGAAAATTCTCATATGAAAAACATTTCTTACGAGCTTTTTTTCCTTTCTCAATGAAAATAGCCTTTTCAAATTTTTTCATAATACCTTATTTTGTTTCAGCCCTCATACAGCTGAACTTCTTAAAATGTCTTGTCCAGCTTCCTTTGTTTGGTTTTACAATGAAAAACATAGTATAGGTCATATGGTACCAAAAGAGGAATGATGATTTTGGCTAACCTCGGGTGTTACAAACTTTAAAGCAACACCAAACCACCTCACCTGCTGGAGCTAAGAGATGCATAGACTCCAGTCAAGCTTCTATATTTTCCAACTGTGCATCATCAATTTTAAGAATATCAAAATAAAAGTTTAATGTTGGTTAGCCAAAAGAATATCTGTTCTTTTACTAAAACTAACAACAGAATGTTTCTAATAAGAGTAGCTCATCTTGACAAACCATAAACCAGCAACAGAATCATTTCTAAAATAACATAATGCATAAATTTACAATGAAACATTATTCACTTGTGCAGATGACCCATTACTTAAACCAATAATTCTTTTGATGCATAACAAAACTCAAAATCCCAAGTATTTTATCTATATTTTTCAAACATGATCATATACATTTATTTTTTTACTCATAAATACCTTGTAATATCACAGAATTCAGTACATATTCTCTCACTAACTTCCCAGTCTACGGGGAACAGATGACCAAATTTTTCCTCAAAGTCCACCAATGTGCGCTTAATCCATGCATATCTCCTGTCTATCTTGTCTAACCAGGCTACCTAATAATTATATACCAATCATGTCTTTACCTTGTTTAAACACTTATCACACTCAATATCTTACATTGTCTTCTCTAGATTGAAAGATGGACAAGACCATTCATCATATTTAATGAAAATTTCAACATATATAAAGATTAAAACATTGCAGACCACCAACATTCTGACTGATCTTGGTCACACCACAGATTATGTAGCTGCCAGCTAGCTTAGACTTAAAATTTCATAACAGAAAGATACATATGAACATTTCAGTTTAACTTTTGAACAACTTGTTGAACAAGGGGTTAAAATTTATAATATCCTGTACCTTAAATTTCTTCACAAGGAAAGGAAATCATTAATCATGAATAGGTAAAATATCTTAACTGATTCAATTCACAACTGGATGGAGCTAGTAATATTTTGTCAGCAAAACTGACATGAAACTTTGGGTATCTAAATCACATCTCAACATCTATTACTTGCCATTAATCAGTCTTGACATAAAATACATGTTTGTTAGACAAATTATAAAATTCTTCAACAGATGAAATCATCTACCAAACAAGTGTAGTCACACTTCCAACAAAAAAACTAACAGGACCTGTCAGGTTAACCAATGGTGACAAAAGAGTCATAACTACAGCTCTACTTTTTTTCCTGTGAAATGTGGAAATAAAAATGCATATGTTCTATAAACTGTCTGTACAACACTTTGTTCTGATATTTCCTCGAACAATAAATCTGTACTCACATCCTGATTTTCTCCAAACAATACCAAGTACTCTGTCAGTTGTAACTTTACAAACCATCCAAGTAATTCACGTTTAACTTTCGGGTCAAGAATATTCACAACAAAACAACCTTCCTTTAGCTGTCTCTGATTTCCAGGACCATACTTGAAAATAAAGGAAAAATATTATGTCCTAATGACCTCAAAATCTAGAGGTCATTCACTGCCCATGACCAATCTTCTTACTGGCTAAGAAGACGGCACATCTAATTTTAATCAATGTATTGAGTGAACATTGAAGCAGCCATCCAACAGATGAATGGTCAAATGCTATACTATTATATGACAGAAGCCACCGCCTAATATAAAAATAAAAAGCCACTCCGGTTGGCTCAATAGGAGGACTTATGGACTATGAATCGGGCAACCCGAGTTTGATTCCCGTATGGTGCAGGTCACTTTTGATGCCACTGATCATGAAATCTTTTCTATGGTCATTCGCATTGTACCTCTGCTCTGGCATGTACAGAAGTTTCAGTTCCTTGCGAAAGTGGAGGCAACTAGTACTGGTAAACTGCTTGACAGCCTGTCCAGGAACGATGCAGTGGCTGAACTGTGCTCTGGTAAATTCAATGAGGCTTACTGCCATACTCCAGAGTGAAAACTACTAACAATACCCCACATAATCATACACATTGTATAATCATACATTCAAATGTAAAATATACAAAATGTAACAATACAGGACTTACTTTGGCACCAGACCCTTGAAATGCCTCCTCAAAATCTGAAATAATTTGTGAACCAAGGTCTGCCTGAATCTGTTTTACCCTGCAATAAAATTTGAAAATAGAAATTGTATATTATACATCCCAGCTTTTTAAACTTAATGAATGTGGTAGCCTTACAATTTGTTAATATATATCTTATAATCCAACATTCAGAAGTTTATTACATATTTTAACATGACCCGTATTTTTCCCTATTAAACATAAAAGAACCAAAAGTGTATGTTATTATGCAATAAAATCACTGTTGACATTCTATATTTTGACATGTGATGTAACCATTCGACATTATGACATAACCATTAAAAATGCAACACCCTGAAAATAAATTCGGAAACAAATCAGACTCAATTAAGCTTGATACCAGATACGGCAGCATTTATTTGTTAATGTCGTGTTAGAATCAATATAATATTGCCAAATCAGTCATTTTATTGTTTGATAAAATCACTGTTTGTTGGTCGGATGCGCATCATTATATCACTCAGACTATGGCCTCGTGATATAATTCCTCACATCCGAACACAAAACAGTAATTTTACCTAGCGATATATTATTTCCAAAATAAAATTAATGTCTCAATTACATATCACATATTCAACATGTCACATGTTTTAAAGAATTTTCAACTTAATAACTTTTCATTAAACCTTTAGCCTGCTAAATTTCTCATATGACCTTTTGGAACTGTTCATTATCAATTTTGGTGATATTAAGATTTTTTTTTTTTAGCTCACCTGTCACTTTGTGACAGGGTGAGCTTTTGTGATCGCTTTTCGTCCCGCGTCTGTCCGTCCGGCGTCCGTCCGTCCGTAAACTTTTACTTTAAATGACATCTCCTCATAAACCACTCAGCCAATTTCATCCAAACTTCACAGGAATGTTCCTTTGGTGGTCACCTTTGAAAATTGTTCAAAGAATTTAATTTAATGCAGAACTCTGGTTGCCATGGCAACCAAAAGAAAAAACTTTAATTATCTTCTTCTAAAAAACCCAAAGAGTTAGAGCTTAGATATTTGGCATGAAACATCTTCTAGTGAGTGTCTACCAAGTTTGTTCAAATAAAAGCCCTGGGGTCAAAATTGGCCCCGCCCCAGGGGGTCATTGATTTTTCCTATGTGCATATAGTAAAAACTTAAAAATCTTCTTTTAAAGAACCCTAAGAGCTAGAGCTAAGATATTTAGCATGAAACATGTTCTAATGGATGTCTACCAAGTTTGCTCAAATAAGAGCCCTGGGGTCAAACTTGGCCCCGCCCCAGGGGGTCATTGATTTTCCCTATATGAATATAGTAAAAACTTAAAAATCTTCTTTTAAAGAACCCAAAGAGCTAGAGCTAAGATATTTAGCATGAAACATGTTCTAATAAGTGTCCACCAAGTTTGTTCAAATAAGAGCCCTGGGCTCAAAATTGGCCCCGCCCCGGGGGACATTGATTTTCCTTATATGTGTAAAGCAAAAACTTAAAAATCTTCTACGAAAAAACCCGATTAGCTAGAGTTTAGATATTAAGCATGAAACATCTTCTAGTAAGTGTTTACAAAGATTGTTCAAATAAAAGCCCTGGGGTCAAAACTGGCCCTGCCCCAGGGGTGTCATTGTTTTTAAATATATGTGTAAAGAAAAAATTTAAAAAATCTTCTTTTAAAAAACCCAATGAGCTAGACCTTAGATGTTTAGCATGAAACATCTTCTAATGGGTGTCTACCAAGTTTGTTCAAATAAAAGCCCTGGGGTTTGAACTGGCCCCGCCCCGGGGGGCCTATATACAGGTGAGCAACTTCAGGGCCATCATGGCCCTCTTGTTTAATTTCTCTGCCAACAGTTTAGACCTAGGTCAGATGGCACATATGTGGCAAAGGCTAATCACTTTTCATTACAGCAGATTAAGGGTTAAACTTGAAGAAATGGGAGAGAAAGGGTGTAAGCATTGCTCTTACACATACATATATAAAACTATGTTGTTCTCTTTTTTATTGTATCTTTTACAATGTTAATATACATGTAGTACTATAACTTACCTATCAGCTAATTCCTTAATTTGTGGTATAGACATGTATCTCTGGAAATGTTCTAGTACATTAAGGACACCTTGCAATAGATTAGCTACTTCCCCATACTGCCGTCTTCGTGTTAATGACCTAAATATGAAATTAAAAAAAATAAAGCTTAGATTTTAATTGACAACTAAAGCAATAATTGTACATGAAGTTTTGAAAAACTTTTCCCCTACTGTGTACCTTTTCATGAAAGGTAAACATAAAAGCATTAAAAGGGAAATTTATAACATGTGAAAATTTTAAACTCAACTGCAGAGTGCAGATACAAAAAGGTTTGATACAAAAAGAATTTCACCACAACATATTTGTTAACAAAAGTCCACATGTTGATGTTTGTGGTTTAAATTATTGTTTTTCAAATAAGAGGCCAGAGTAGGAATCTATCAATAGCAAGTCATTCCACCAAATTAGATATGAAAACTGATACTGATATACTTCCCTTCAGAAAAATTCTACAAATCCTGCAGTTTTCCCTGTAAAATTCAATTTACATCAGGTTTTTTCTTCCCCTTTTTGCAATAACCAAAATTTAAGGGAAGGGCCACTTCTCACCTGTAAGAAAAGCCCTGACCCTGCAAACTAATTACATGTACATGTATATTATAGTAGTGATAAGAACTTACGTGAGCGATTCTACTCCCCCAACTAACATATGTAAATGGTTGAGTGTAGTGATAGAAGAAGTTAAATGTCTTTTAGCATGATCAAGTTGCTTTATGTCTCGAGTAATCTCTTTCACCTAAAATAAACAATAAACCAAGTGTTCATAAGATAGACATAATTATATTAATTTACAAGAGCTGTCAGTAGGACAGCCTTCTTGGCAACTCAAGTAAAACAACAGACTGGATAATGTAAAAAAAATTAAAGTTAATAAAGGGCCATAATTTTGTCAAAATCCACGATAGAGGAATAGGCCTTGGATAGTGATCTTAAGCACTTATATAAGTGTATGAAGTTTCAACAGATTCTCTTCAGTAGTTTTGCAGATATCAACTTGCAAGCAAAAACTTTGCTAAAATGTGACGCCAACATCCTGCTGAGTACAATTCTTCAAACAGTGGAGCTAAAAATGTCAACATATATGGCATAAACACAAATACAAAACATACATGTACTGGTTCATAACTTAAACATGAGAACATATATGCATGAACAAACTTTACAAATCAAGGTTTGTACAAAATGAAGTTTGGAAAACTTGAACAATTTTACATATCATGAGTTAAAAAACAACAACTAAAAATAGTTAAATAAATTATTAAAAATAAAACAGTGATCTACCATTTCTTCTGATTTTTCAGCTTTATCTTTGATGTCTTTAATTTTGGTAAATAGATCTTGTATAGCTCTCTGTGCCTCTTCCAGTGACTGTCTACCATCCTCACCAACATTTGTCTGACCACGTACAACTGTTCTTATATCATCATCCAATCGCCTTAAAACATTTTATATATAATACATTGAACAGTATATATTATAATATTAACAGGAAGTTACTGGTTACAGTCTATACATTTTATATATAATAAAATGATCACTTGTTATTAACATGAAGTTATAGAATATACCACAACAAATATTATACACTCTTAATGTTCATTTCTCATAATAGATGTTAAATCAGAGAAAGTAATTATGTTAGTTTCTATCTAAAAACTCATAAATTTGTTTAATTGGCAAGATTATTAAAATATGATGACTGTTACAATATTCAAAGTACTGACAGTAGACATTTTGTACTTTACTACTTTGTATTTATTGATGACACAAATTAATATCTTCTAAAGGAAAATGAGGTTTTGCTTGATGTCATGTAAAGCTTCTCTATTTCACACACTGACCCATGCCTCACAGTGACCATCATGGTACACTAACATAACAACCTATCTTGTTGCTCATGGGAAATGGATATTGATTATTATTCTGCAACCCATACAAGAGGAAACATAAGAAAGGAATATATTGCCTTCCAAAAATAAAAGATAATCTATATTTATTTTCATTTAAATGGTGTACCTTATTTTGAACCTTATTTTGCCAACCACATCATCAATATTGGACAAGGATTGTTCTGTAGGGAATAATGAATTAATGTAATCTACTGGATTAAAGTCTGGTCTGTCTAGAGGATCTTCACTTGGTAATATCTGAAATTATTTACATGAAGTAATTTAATCTGCAAAGATACAAAATACAAAAACCTTTAGTGAACAACATTTAGACTTAATAGTCTCGCCCAACATACTATAACAAGCCTAGGCTAGACTTTAGAATGTCCGCAGCTGTTGTTACACTTACACACAAAATTATTTCTTCAGTATTTATCAGTTTAAGTTTCTCTAAATATCACTCAGATTACTTCTAAAGATACAATTAAGGGTTAGTGTTAGTGTAATTGGTTCGGGTTAGAGGGTTCGAGTTAGGAATATAACATATGAATTTTGCTGCAGTGCCCGGCTCCCAAGCCTATATCAAGTTATGTCTACTATTTTTGACTTAATTGTTCTATATCAACTACATCTACATTATACTGGTTCAAAATCGTTTACGATTACACTAGCTTCACTAAGCAGACACGTTGTCGGGGGAATAGCAGTTTAAAACAAATGCCTTAAGTGCAAATTTATAGATATAAGATAAAAAGCAAGTTAAAAGAAAACTACAAAACTGAGAAAAAAAGTTGGAATGTATATTTAGCATATTTTCACGTATCCAGTTGTTTAGGGGGCAGGGGACATATTCGAATGATGGCCCCGGTCAAATTTTTTAATAACTCAGACATGGTGTTTTGAAGGTACTGATAACTTCTGATATTTCTCTGTCATTGTAATTCTTTCTTGTTTGTGCGTAGGAAATGAGAAGTATTTTTGGGTTTTTACCCAAAACTAAGCATTTTGGTAGCTTTATATGTATTTCTGACTCTCCGAATGGAGGTGAAAAAGTTAAAAATCAAGCTTTGACAGTTGGCGCCAAACAAGTAAGAAATTTCAGATAAATTTTGTGAAAAATCTAAACGTATGACAGACACCTTATTGGTCATTTCTGAAAATGCCATAGCTTGCACTGCTTGTTACTGATATTTTTAAAGGAATCGGGCGGATTCTGGAGTATGCTGCACCTTCATGAAGATTGCCCATATTGGTATATTTAAGGTGTGATTTTGGCTGGGTGGGGGTAAATATAAATTGCTGTCAGTCATTTTTTGAGGGAGCAATGCATGCAAACTATTATTTTCTTCAATGTATGTCATATATCACTGAATAATGCTGTGCAACTGGTTATATGCCTGTGAAACAGATTTTGAAATATTTGGAATTATGTTTCTGGTCACACTGAAATACAAAATTGTTCATTTTTAGGTCCCCTGCCCCCTTAGAAAAATTAGTACGAAAATTAATTGTACGAATAAAATTTATTATGAGGTGTCAAAAAGATTGCGGAGACTGTAACCGCATTTTGCGCATGAGATGTTTTTGTCATCTCTTCATCTTAAAAGAAAATTATACTTACATCATCAATAACTGATTGAACATCTTCTGGAAACGTTAATAAAGCGATATCTTGAAAAATTTCTTCGTCCAAATTCTCATCATCTTCCAAAGCAGCCATATTGCTGTTGGATAATACCCATCAGTAAACCGTTTCATACCGTAGATAATACCAATACCGTAGGTAATTCCCATCAGAAAACCGTTTCATACCGTACACAAGAAGGGAAAAATGTAGGTAGCCAAGATGACAAGAAGATCTCTCACACCTGATGATGTTAGAATAAAAATACCCAACATAAATCATTTGAGTGATTTATTATTTTAGATCAAAATAAAATCAATAAAAAATATCAATATCATTCAGACCAAATTTCATAAAATTAATATGCATGCTTATTTCAAGAATTTGAACTTTGTCTAAGTAGCCCGGTCATTTCATCCAAAATAGCAATTTCTTTGTCTATATTTCAAATATTTTAAGAATTTTTATTACATCTTAATTTAAATTCTACACGATTAGGTGTTCTTGAGGGATTTAAGGACTTTCTTGTGAGTCTTAAATTTGTTTTTGTCACAACTGAGCAATCTCAGCCTGTATCTTTAATTACCAAGGTAAATATTCTCACCCAGTTGAAGGAATAGACAAGATTTGTTAACATTAAAACATTTGATGTAGATTTGTATAAGTTTAATTAAGTGTTCAACATATTCTTCTAGGGACTAGATATCTGACCTTTGTTGACTATGATCCTTGTATTTCAAGCTTGAGATACATGTATAGATCTACAGGTTTTGAACTGTTGTTTTTTATGCTAATTTCAACATTCTTTTGGTCATATCCTAGTGATTAATACACCAAAAACCAACTGTCCTTGATAACTAACCAGTAATTACCAATTTCTCCACAAGTAACCATAATTATGATTTCTAAAACAGCAGAGACAGATAACCATAAAAAATGTCCAAGATCAACTGTAGCTTATCCCATTATTGAACCAGCCACCTCTGGATTAAAAATCTAATGATCCCTTTTAAGTCAAGGTGACAATATTTTTGTTATGTTGGTAAGCACATTAGCCTATAAAAATAACAAGACTGCCATTGTCACAAAGTACCTGTACATTTGTCATGCATGCTCAGTTTTATGATGATGACTGAATAGTCCATACACAATTTTCTTTTTTCTTATGTTTGACCTCTTTATTTGCACTTAATTACCTAAATGTTGCTTATGACAGTACTTCACAATAGTGAACATTTGTACCAAGTTATATTAAAATCCTTCTATTCATGTAGAGGTTTGCTCTGAACAAGTATTTTCCTCTTTACCTCTAAGGTGACCTTGATCTTTGACCTAGAGACAAAGTCCATGCATGCAACACTATGTCTCATGGTGGTGAACATTTGTATAAAGCACTACTTAAATCCTTCCTTGCATGTTAAAGAATAAGCTGCAGAAAAAACTGGACACTGCTTGCCTACACACAAGGGCAACCCTATAATACATTATACAAATTATTATTCTTTTTAAACAAGTGTATAAAAAGCAATACATAACTAACAAGTATTTTTTTTTTGTTTAACAGTTTATTATTTAACATAACCAATAATTAACAATTAAAATATCTAAACAAATACCTTAAAATATAACATGTTAACATATTAGGAGACAACTATCACCACACAGCAAGAAATTAGTTCTTCATTACCATGTCTCTTGTCAAATAAATTTGTATAGACGAGAGCTGGCCTTTATGGTCACAATATGGTTCATAGACATTATAATAACTTCTTTACCATTAAAGTGCCACATTTAATAAATTGCAAATTTTGCTTTGTTTACAACAGTATAAGCAATGTACATGTATGAAATATAATTATTTGAGGTTAAAAGGTTATTTTCCTTCCAACCACCCAAAACGCTCACCCCAACACTCCATAAAATTTTGGCACAGATTTCTTTGACAACCTTAAATTTTTTAACAACTTCAAAATTTGACTTTGACATGATAATATAGAAGCCTGAACCAATTCATAAACAATACACCTGTAAAACATATGGGCCATTTACCGTACACTGTATTCCAGAAGGTTTGTGATATTTTTGTTGTTGTTGTTGTTTTTCCAGTAATATACATATTGGGAAAAAAACCATGTCACATTCTTCATGAATCAAAATTATTTGAAAAATCCTGGTAGACACGTCATTCTATAAAATTTTATCATAATTCTGACCAACAGTTAAACCAAGATGGTTTTAAATGATTTCTCTTTGCCCGAAAATTTTTCAAAACTTTTTGACAATAGAAATAAATTCAACAATCTTGGTAGATGGTCACCAAAGATCTAAATTTCTGTAATGAAAGAGTTTCAAAGTTTTCTCTATAAAGTATATACCATACATATAGGGAAAATAGAACCACAACTCCCAAGTGGCTATGTTTTTTATTACAAAATATTATTATTTTGTTGTTGTTTTTTTTGAACAATTTTTCCAAGGATAATTTCCATAATCAACCTAGCATTTTTTGACAAGCAGAATTGCTTATTTGTGGTTGCTATGGCATCCAGATTAGTACATGGATTGGATTTGTTAAAAAAAATCTTGGAAGAGTATTAGCATGAAGTTATAAAGAATATTAGCCAAGTGGTTTTAGTAGGGAATGTTGTAGAAATGTGTATAGATATACAGTTGACAGTAAGACAGCAAGAAATCATATTAGTTCACATCAGTTTATTGTGCTCTAGTGACATGTGAAAAAGGACATAGCAAGAAAATGATATAGATTATGTGTTAAGATACCAGTATACCTAAAGCACTGCAAAGCTGCATTATTTTTTACTCCCAGTCACTGACAGGTATATGTATTATAATAACCTGGCCATCCAATATAACACTGAACATCTCAACTATTACCCAAAAGAAAAGAAATTAAAAGCAATCATCTTTTAGAAAAGAAATTAAAAGCAATCAACTTTTAGTAAGTATTTGACGTAATGTTGTAAATAATTTATTTATTTCCAATGTGGCTAAAAAATTGTCATGAACAGAAATTTGAATTGTTAGATTTGTTCAACATACATGCCCTGCTTTGAATTATGAACTGTAAGGGGTTTCACCAGTGAAAAACAATAATAGCACAGGCAAAAACAAAACAAAACAGATTTTAAACTTGCTATACCGGTACTTTGTACTGGTGAAAAAGCTATTAATTGTTCTGCTTTTTTTTTGCTGGGTTATAAATCACATCAAACACTGTAAAGGTCATATGGAGAGTTTCCAGCTTTTCTGTTGAGAGAATACCTCAAATTATTTCACGCATAAAAGAGAAGCTGAGTAGAACCACCAACATTTTTGTTAGCTAGCTGGATAGCTTCCTCACATCATTATACTTGGGTAACTTAGAGTTTTATAAATTGGCAATATTCCCAAATATTTAAAAAAATTGGTCATACAATGCTACAAAATCCGGCCTCCTCACTAACTGGAATAAGTAAATAGGATTAACATTTAAAAGTAAAAGCAAAAAAGCAAAAATCATATAAATTCAACCCAACCCCTCAGGTAATAATACTGCAATACATATTGCTACGAGACAATGTGTAGATATAAATACACTTGGATAGAAAAAAATAAACCTTGTTATTTTAAGGTAAAAAGACAAACAAGACTAATGAAACTTGATTTTTAACTTAAAAGGAAAATAAACATTTGGATAGAAAAAAAATATGAAACTTTACCTTTGGAATTGTGAAAGTAGGAAAACAAAGTAAGACACTATTATTTTTTTTTAAATAAGTTAAAAGTTTCATTTCAATGTCAAATAAGCATTGTAAACATTATGTGATGTATTTTTCACTGAAACTGTGACAGACAAATAGCAGCTTTAAATATACCCTTAAAAGATAAATCATATTGTCCATTAAACTTGTTATTCACTAAATTCAAACTTGTGAACTCTTTAGATCAGATAACATAATTTTAAATATAATAGTCAACATGAAAATTAAATGTGAGGTAAATTTAAAGGAACACAAGGTATATATAAAGAATGGTATCTTTTGTTGTCAGTGATGAATGTTCATCAATTCAAATATTGGGCCTATAATAATGACCAGTTATTTATGCGCAATTTCACTGGGGATACTGATTTGCTAAAATAAATCACAGCCTTATACCTGTACCTATATATTATAAGGGGGAAAATGCTTACAAGCTCTCAGTAGATAAAAATTTCTAATAACCCTTATGAGTTCATGGCATAAACAGGTGATATGTTAAAACAAGAGGGCCATGATGGCCCTAGATCGCTCACCTGAATTATCAAACTCATCCAAACAATTACCTAGACAAGCATTCTGACCAAGTCTCATGACAGGTGAGTCAAAAATGTGACCACTACAGTGTTAACAAGGATTATCCATATTTGAGCAGTGCGACCTAGTTTTTTTACCCAGGTGACACATATTCAAACTTGACCTAGAAATCATCAAAACAAACTTTCAGACCAATTTCCAGGATACTTGGATCAAAACAGTAGCAACTAGAGTGTTAACAAGATTTTTCTATTTTTAGCTCCGGTGACCTAGTTTCACATGCGATTTCGAACTCATCCAAGCAATTACCTAGACAAGCATTTCTGACCAAGTTTGATGATAATGGAGTCGAAAAATGTGACCACTAGAATGTTAACAAGGTTTTTCCATATTTGGGCGGTGTGACCTAGTTTTTCATCCAAGATGACCCATGTTCGATCTTGACTTAGAAATCATCAAAACAAACTTTCAGACCAATTAACAGAATATTTGGATCACAACAGTAAGCCACTAGAGTGTTAACAAGATTTTTCTATTTTTAGCTCCTGTGACCTAGTTTTCATCCGAGATGTCCATGTTCGATTTATTCCCAGCAATGACCTAGACAAGTTTCCTGACCAAGTTTGATGACAATTGAGTCAAAATTGTGACCACTAGAGTGTTAACAAGGTTTTTCTATTTTTAGCTCCTGTGACCTAGTTTTTATCATCCGAGATGACCCATGTTCGAACTCATCGAGTATTACCTAGACAAGCATCTTGATCAAGTTTGATGATGATTGATGCAAAAATGTGACCCTAAAAGTGTTAACAAGGTTTTTTCTATTTTTAGCTCCGGTGACCTACTTTTTCATCCGAGATGACCCATGTTCGAACTCATCCAAGCTATCAACTAGATAAGCATCCTGACCAAGTTTGATGATGATTGATGCAAAAATGTGACCGCTAGAGAGTGTTAACAAGGTTTTTCTATTTATAGCTCCCGGTGACCTAGTTTTTCATCCGAGATGACCCATATTCGAACTCATCCGAGCTATTATCTAAACAAGCATCCTGACAAAGTTTGATGATGATTGGGTCAAAAATGTGACCACTAGAGTGGTCACAAGGTTTTTTCTATTTTTAGCTCCTGTGACCTAGTTTTTCATCAGAGATGACCCATGTTCGAACTCATCCAAGCAATTGACTAGACAAGCATTCTGACCAAGTTTGATGATGATTGGTTCAAAAAATGTGACCACTAGAGTGTTCACAAGGTTTTTCTATTTATAGCTCCTGTGACCTACTTTTTTCATCCGAGATGACCCATGTTCGAACTCATCCGAGCTATCACCTAGACAAACATCCTGACCAAGTTTGATGATGATTGGGTCAAAAATGTGACCTCTAGAGTGTTCACAAGGTTTTTCTATTTTTAGCTCTTGTGACCTAGTTTTTTCATCTGAGATGACCCATATTCGAACTCATCCGAGCTTTCAACTAGATAAGCATCCTGACCAAGTTTGATGATGATTGAGGCAAAAATGCGACCGCTAGAGTGTTCACAAGCAATTGTGGACGGCCGGACGGACGACGGACGACGGACGACGGACATTCATCGATCCTAAAAGCTCACCCTGAGCAAGCTCAGGTGAGCTAAAAAAGCTTGACTATACAAATATATAACAATTAAAGTCTAATTAAAAATATTCCATAAGCATGTGGTCTCCTTTACCAGACTTAAAAATTGCATAGAACAAAATAATCACTAAGAAAATTTTATACATCACCAATAAATGATAAAATTGTTAACAAGCATAATTTATCAACTAAATATTCATAACTTGACTTCTGAAACCTGGCCTCAAAGCTATAACACCTTGTTCTAAGTTACATCTCAAATCTCAGGATTTTCATTGGTCAGTGTAAAATTGTATAAATTTTCTGACCAATCAAGTTCCTGAGATCTGAATTTGAGCTGAGAATTTTTTCATAACTTTGGACCCAGTTCTTCTGACTAGAATCAATAATATCAGGGATCTTCTCTGTTATGGCGCACAATGGTTTTCATGATATGTCCCTCATAGTGATAATACTTCCTAAATGTTTTCTCCATGAATACATCCACAGATAAATCAATCGGCTTGATTATAAACGGAATGCATGCTAAACCAATAAATGTTGTGATCCATTTCCTGGTCGGAGCAGGAATGCTTGATTGTTTCTTTAATACTAAATTACTTAGGAAGCAAGTTCTGTTTATTGTGAAACCAGGAATAATCACAGATGCAAGTCCTTGCCATATCAATGTATCAATCACAGCCCACTTCACCTTTGTTTTCTTCTTTTCTTCTGTCTGCCAGGGTACCTGTAATTTAGTTAAAAGATCAGGTAAATAATTCAGTTTTCCATTCTTATAATGTTTACCAAGTCTATTAGTACATTACTGTACATAAAAGTTTAATGCAGCACTCCTCCAGATTCATGTTAATTTTCATGAAAATTTTGGAAATGTATCTAAAATTAAAATATTGTGAGGTGAACAAATTAAGTAAGTTACATATTGCAATCGGCACTTACAGTCCAAGAAAATTACCAAAAAGTGGTCCACTTACATGTATGCAAAAACAGCCCTTACGGCTTTAGTAATGCAGTAGAAATATGGTGATAAAATACTGCAAAATCAGTCTTAAACCTCACATGGCATGTAAAATTTAACTTGCATCTTCAATATTTTTACCTTTCTTAAAATTTCAGTACATTTTTCTCAATATTGATTTTCTTTGAACTATTTCGACTCATCTGGAGGCATGCACCTTTAAAGCCATAAAGTAAAAAAGGTTGAAGTTCTTTTAATAACAACTTTTGTTTAATTTTTAATACATGATTCAATGTTCTTATATTTTTAATTTGAAATCAAACAAAGATTCCCCACAAGACAATCATCTGACTGCAATTTCAAAACTACATGTAGATAAATATTTCAGGAAGATTATGTGAGGTAATATTATCAAGAAATAAATGTTTGATTGACATATTGTTCTTGTAAAGTGATACTATGTTAAGTTGTATTTACATGAAGTAGTTGTGTAGTAACCTGGTGATTTTTTCTTGAATGAACTTGCCCAGCTTTTAAATTTGGAACTGTCCATTATAATTTTTTTAAGAGTATCATAATGCACAAATGTTCAAGTTGGCCTCTATACTGGAGGCAAAGTCTTATCCCTTTTAGTTCCACCAGGTTAAGGGTAGAAATATACAGAGAAAATATAATCCAAGGTGGATCACCTCTTACACTAGAAATTATTGATCTCAAACATACATGTGGGATAACCAGGTTTCCCAATATGACACACAGTCCTATAAAATATGATATTGATCCAAAACATGCTTGTACTGCCTTTCTTTGGAAATAAATTCTATTAAAATACACCCATCGACAGTTTCTATTTAATGATCAACATTATTTTTTGTTCAATCACATTGCAGTATTTTTCAAATTTCTGCTTAGTCTAACTTTGGTTAATGTGTACTAACTAAATAAAATTCACTTAATCTGTCGTCTAACCGCAGTCTAACAAATTTCAATAATGCATTATATTAGGGAGGAGTTAGAGGTATGGTTTGCACTCTGAGTTGTAAAATATCTAGGTTTTCAAAACAATGCTAACGTTACTTTTTTAAAGGTCAGGTGTTTCTGAATGTGAGGATACAATCAAATTTATTACACAGATAATACATGTGGGACATGCAGAAACAATGATTACATAGTAACTTTTTTATATCCTTTTAACTCTAAGAAAAATGTCTGTTATAAATTGCTGACTGTTTTAAACTCTACATTTTCCAAATTCAGTCGATAGGAATGAACTGCATTAACAATCCTTGACATTAAGAATACAATGTTTACATTTTTTGGCTAAAAAAAACTCATTGTAAATGGACCTGTAAACCTAAATTGACGCTCAGAATAATGAAAAAGTGAACTGTTTTTCAAATGAGCAAATCAATAGGGATTTTAAATGTTAGTGAATAACTTGAAGCCAATAACGAATTTGTATCAATTCATAATCTCTAATGTATTTTTCTCACATTTTCCATTTATTTTAATAGGATGTACACATTTTATTAACTCCATTGTTTTTATCTAATTGCATCATTTTCCTGGCTGTTTTATTCCACATATTTTATAGAAACAATTGATAGTCGGTATAAATTCTGTGACATTTCAGTAAAAAATGTGCCTGATTATATGTTGAAAGGGCCAATTAGCTTATCTAAATGTGACATGTTAGAAACTTGACAAGGTGTAGACATCTTGTCGAGTGAAAGGGCGGAGCTATCAGTGATTAAGAGCAATGCCTTGTTTTTGGTTGAAAAAAATAATGTTGATCATTAAATAGGTTAATGTTTAATAATATGCATTAACAAAAAATAATTGGTCGCCTGCCTGTGGCAGGCTTGACCAATTATTTCTGTTAATACATATTATTAAACACTAACCTATACATAAACTGCATAAATAACCGAGGTATATCAAGTGTAAAAACATGAGTTGTTTCCCTTATCTTGAGTAAAATCGATATCTCTAATGATAAAACAATACAAGATTTGCCATTTTTAAACCGCTAGTAATTGTGATTTATTGTCCAATCTTATTTTTTATTACACCAATGAAAAGCTTGTGATATTAGCTTCATCTCAGTATACAATTCAACATCTCTTTAGACACCAAAAATATTTAAATTCATTGTTAAACCTACAACATGTCAGGCTTATACGATTTATACAGAGAGATATACAGCTGGTAATCTTTACCCCCAAAATTACTGATAAGAAAAGCTTGTCATCTGTTAGTTGGGAAACTGTCAATTGGTGTATAGATTTAAATAGTCAAGATGATAGTTACCTCTGATGCTTTATATCCTTTGTGGAGAGCGTCTGCCACAACATAGCTTGATGCTACAACATAACTTAGTCTTACAACATTCACATGAACCTGTGACCTGAATGCCTCACCAACTTCATTTGCATAGCCTGAAATTGATGACAGAAATCTAATTATAATCTAACAACAGGCAATAATGCACTTCAAATAATCCAGTACTTGCACTTCATCAGCCACATTCAATATATATTTAACTTTACACTATAGTCATATGCACTTATTTTACATACCAAAGAAATGTTATGTTAATGCTTCTGCACATAACAGCAGTCCTGTTATTAAGAAAAAGGGGTGAAGTCACACATACTGACAGTAGTTGATACATTATAATTATTTTATCTTCTTACAAAATTTAAGCAAGTGGGTTAATACTAGAAAATTCCTTAACTTGACCTCTGACCAAGATACATAGACCCCCATGCTTTATGTAATGTATCTTGAGTACAGTAAAGTTTTCTTTATTGTGTCTATAATACCCTTATAAAAAGAAATATTCCTAAAAATTAAAAAGTACAGGACTGAACAGAACAGTTGTGTTCTATACTGTACAAAAAGAGATATTTCTAAAAAAAAAATTTTTTTTTTTTTTTTAAATGCGTTTATTTAAGGTCGCCGCCGGAAAGCCCATATGGGTGACCGTACACTCAAGTCGGGCCATCCTTGATTATCACACCTTTCATACAATTTATCAATAAATCAATTTAAGTGTAAAATAGCAGTTCATTGTTTCCCATCTTGTTTAAAGCTGCATGCCTCCAGATGAGCGAAAATATTTCAAGAAAATCAATATTGAGAAAAATGCATTCACTTTTAAGAAAGATAAAAACATTTAAGATCCAAATTATTTTACATGTTATATGCGGTTTAAGGCTGATTTTGCAGTATTTAATCACCATATTTCTACTGCGTTACTAACGCAGTAAGAGCTGTTTTTGCATATCTTGACCACTTTTGTTAATTTCCGTAGATTGTAAGTGTCGATTGCAATTGGTAAATTACTGTAATTGTTTACCTCACATAAGTTGACTTTTATAAACATTTCCAAATTTTCATGAAAATTAACATAAATCTGGAGGCGTGCTGCTTTAAAAGCTTTTAGCACAACTGAGCATCACTATCATCAAAACCAAAATTTGGCAAGAAAAGTAGAAGGCTGGTCATCAGTACATTTTTTTTTCTTAAAATTTCAATTTGGGGAGAAAACAAGTAGCAGTGGTTATTCTAGGATTCGAAAAACAGGGGGGGATTTTTTATCGAAAAGTGAGAATTTATTACATTTGTTGATCTCTTTCCTTCTTTGTCTATGTAAAATTTTCCCCCCTTCCTCTAAACAAATAGGGGTGAATTCTCAAAAATATGGGTGAATCCCCCCATCGCCCCTCCTAGAATAGACACTGAAGTAGCAGACAATATACTGTAAAATCATTATTATTTGTGGTGCACAAATTTTTGAGGGTAGGTCAATCCACAAATTTAAGATCTGAGGAAATTTTATCCCAACAAATACTTCTTACCATGTCTCTATTCTGTAAATTATAGACATGCATCAGCACTTTAGCGGCTGATTATTGTGTTATGAATAACAGATAATCATGTTAGTCACAGATTAAATCCATAGTTTAGGTTTGCAATATTTAAGAAACCTTAAAGAAAAGTCAATAATGTGTCTTCAATTTGCTGTCATTGGTTGCATATACACATCACAGGGGACTACTTGACCTTTGTATGCATAATCAGTGCTGATAAAATTTGTCAGTTTGCACTTATTAATTGTCAATCTAATTGAAATGTCTTTGATATCAGCATGCCCACTCAATTTCAAATGTAGGGGTACATTTACCCCCTGTCATTGAAAATTGGGGGGTACATTTCAAAATCTGGGGGTACACATAAGTTTAAACATATTTTTGTTTGTAAGAACAGTTTAGTCATCATGATATTAATGAACAGCTGTTTCACTTAGTATTACTACCCACTAACACAGACACAAACTCATCACTTAAGGTAGCATATAATATAACAGCCATTAAAATCACTGGTATTTTGTTCAGTCCATACGATTATTACCCATAACCAAAATTTTGTATATCCGAAATTATGTACATTTATTTCAAAATCTCAATTGTTTATATTTTCATTTCATATGACATACGTAAAGCTCACAATTGAATGTAGTTGTTAAAAAATCAAGCGACTAACTTTTTGCTGATCATTGGAGATCGCGAAATACTTTTTGGCAGTTTTTCTTAAGAGGGTACATGTGACGTCAAGACATGACTAAAATAATTACGAATCTGTCTGAGATGACTTTGAAGGCAGACATGCAATTGTGACCGGGTTTAGACTGTTCCTAACCATTGGTAGATGGCAACGACATTTAGTTGATATGTATATTAGGCTATCCCAAACATTCATTCTGACGATTTTACTTTGCGTGCATGTACCCCCTGCTTACAATTTTTATGCGTGCATCTAGAATTTTGTTCGTGAATTACGCACTGTAGTGCATGAATGGGCATGCTGTGATATACTTAAAATTTTCACAATAAAAAATTACTGATCGATGAAATAAATAAATTGCACATTCTTTTGTTGCATTTTAACAAGTGACATCAATGATGCTGCCAACTTTTTACTAGATCCACACATACTTGTGCCATTTACTCATATTAATTTATATGCATGCAAATTAAAATTTACAATATCGATGTGACATTGCGTGTAAATACTGTCAAATATGGTAAGACTGATCACAGGAACTTGAAATTCTATCAAATAACCAATATTAATGATAATATTATCCAAATATACCCCCTATATACTATAAAGAACTTGAAATTCTATCAAATAACCAATATTAATGATAATATCCAAATATACCCCCTATATATATATATAGTATATCGGGGGTATATTTGGATATTATCATTAATATTGGTTATTTGATAGAATTTCAAGTTCCTGTGGACTGATTCAGGGTGTAAACTACTGAAATCTTGGCAGGTGTCTAGTCCTATAAATATGACGTCGCTTTGAGATATTTTTGCTTCTGGGCAAAGCAACGTCATATCGAAATTGCTCAAAAACCCATAGCATGTTCCGCCAGAAAATCGGGCGGAATGAAAAACAATGAAGACAGCGTGTATTTACATAATTTTTGACCTATTTATGAACAAAACTAAAAAATAAATACCTTTTGTCAAAATAATTAAACTGTCACATCCGAAAAATCATGATTAAATCCTCTCATGTATTTCAATTCCTTTTACAGCCGATAAACAAATGGCGGCCGTAAAGTGCGCGAAATCTGATTGGCTAATTCAAATGCAAGCGTTTAACTGAGTCAGAACAATCTAACGGAATATTTTTTAACGAAATAATTGCCCATGCACCGTCAGTGTGTTCGAATATATTTTTCCGTTCAAAAATTTGGAATCAATCTGTAAAGCACCTTGCTTAACCAGTATGGCTGATAGACAAAAATAAATTTTGCATGTTTATTAATTTATATTTAAATTGATAATTACAATCTTTGGAAATTCTTGGTCTATGATTGACCATGAGATTGGAAGACGCAACTATTGATAACTTTTGATAAGCTGAAAAAGAAATAGATGTTTTTGATAGATTTTTTTGATGATTCTATGCGTTTACAATAACTGATTTGACGTCAGGCTACGATCAAAAACTACTAACAACTGTAACGTCTAATTATATGGACAGTCATCCAGAGGCAGTTTAAATTATGTATGTGAAAGTTTGTACATGCGCAGTAACAGCCACTTATAGTACAGTAAATTATTTTTCTTTTTTAAGAAGTAAATCACAGATTCAAGAACCACGAAAATTGACTGTTGATAAATCACGAATTTCATGCCACGAATATAAGTGAATTCGCAGTATGTAGCGTTATTTCAAGTGGTCTGTTTACTTATCCGAAATTTTAATACTAATAGGCTATCCGAATAATAGTATATTCACACATGTTTAATAGCCGAACTATGACTTAATAATTGAGTAAAAATATTTAAGGTCATTAAACAAATCACCGAGATATCTCACTGGCGGTTTCCGGAATATATCAGAGTTTTCATTGTCCTCTTCAGACATTATTTGATCTTGACCATTTGTTGTTGTTGTTTACAAGGTGGTTTCGCTATCTACACGAGGACTGCGATATTTAGTGCACTGCGAAAGTCCGTTATATTTTAATTTTTTTATCATTATTCAACATAATTATAAGTTTTCATTTATAAAAGACAAAAGCAAAGTTCAGGTTAAAGAATGTATTTAGGTATACGTGTACCATGGATCACTTGAATCACATATCAAATTCACAAAGCACATATAATCAAATTATCAATGTGTGACTTTCATAAGTCATCAAATCAAAATGCTCTGTTATTCAACTTGCAAATACACTTATAATCATTCAAATATAATATTCTCCATAAAGACTTACTAAGAGATTGTCATAACATCTCCTTAGTAGTATAATCTTCAAGACTGGCCGTTACCAGCTTGCAAGATTTAGCTAGCCTTTCCTGAGATTCAATGAGTCTCAGGCAAAGACATCAAAAACATAATAGAGCTCTACCATAACAACATAAATGTCACTCAACTTACAGTACATACAACACATGTTGCAGTTTAAACACTGAAATACATCAATGAATGAACCAATATCCAAATACTTTTATTCATTCATATAAAAAGTATCTAAATGTTTAAAGGGTGGGTACTGTAGGATGGGAAATTTCAATTTTAAACAACATGTGATCCTAATGGTCAACTTATACAGAATGACAAATATTGTCAAGGAGAAAAGAAAGAAAATATTTTACGGCCAATGATATAAACGACCAATAAAAAATTGTTATGCCAATATGATGCATAAATAAATTTAGACCAATGAAAAGATGTTTTGTAAAGGTCAAATCATTCAACCTGATAATTAAGTAATTTTTAGATCAAAATAAACAAGATTTTAATATTCAGCAAAGAAATATGTTGTTTGGAAGTTATTTTTTGCCACATTAGTTACTGACAGTGACAGCGGGTGCTAGTGAAGTAATACTTGATGTTTATAAGATTTTTATTCCAGACGAGGAATCCCTTAATCAACACTGGTCAACCCTAAGAAAGATCCCAAGGAATAGCTCAGTTTGGATCCTTGGAGATTTCAACATGCCAAGCATAAATTGATCAAATGAATCCCTAACAGATGGCAGTATAGGCACAATAGCATTTATTTTGCCCTTAAAACCTTCTAAATTTTAACCTACAGCAAATAGTTACTTCTCCCACAAGATGCAGCAACACTCTTGATCTCTTCCTAACAAATATGCCAGGTCAAGTTCACAGCACTAAAACCATACCTCCCCTTTATGATCCTCTGATCATGACATTGTTTTCCATGAGCTAAAGATTAATAGAGACCGCCCAATCCAACCTGTGAGAGAAATCAAATGTTACAAGAAAGCTGACTGGTCAAAATTAAGAAGCAACTTCAACTCATTTGCCCAATCCTTCCTTGTACAAAATCATACCGACTCAAACTCTGCCTGGCTTTTTATTAAGAATGAATTAACCCTTCTCAGTTCAATCCATATCCTCTCGAAGAAAAATAAGGTACGACACGATCTCTACATCATACTGCTTAGTTAACAATCAATGCTACATTGTAATTATGACTAGCAGGCGCGTTGTCAGGGAACTGTTAATAAAAGAAATTATTTCTATGCAAATTTAAAAAGTTAAAAGAATAAAATTTCTACAAGACTATTAATTTAAAAGACATAGCGTGCTAATTTAGAAATTATAGAATGGGTCAAGCCTCTCAGTAAAGATGTTTAAACTGAGGCTAGACTGAACAGTTAGAGGAAGGCTATTCCAAAGACGTATGCTTCTAGGAAAGAAATAATTTTGATGGTATTGTGTCCTCGAGTAGGGTATCAAGTAGTTTAGATTTCTTGTTTGAGTAAGGTGTTGGTGGTCAACAAAAACAACGTTGTTTTGGATTTTATACAAGTAGGTTACAGCACTGATGCCTCGAAGCTGTTCAAGGGTTTGCCAATTAAGATCATTTATCATTTTTGAGACACTACTTGTATAGTCATAATCATTAAAAATATATCTGGCAGCTGATCTTTGGACTTGGTCTATCTTTTAAATTAAGTATTTCTGCCAAGGATGCCAAACTATGGAGCAATTTTCAACCTGAGGTCGAACATAGGTCTTACATTGGTTCTTGTTGCTGGGTCATGTGGGGGTTGCGTTCATTGAACGCCGCCTTTCCTTGTTGATCTTGTTTATCATATCTTATATGCAGTTTCCTTTATCTTTTTATTTGGGGTTTTAACATTTCTTCTACTGAATCTAAGGGAGTTATTTGCTTTAGATGTAATATTATTTGTATGTTTGGTCCATGAAAGGTCTTGACTGATAGTGACTCCTAAGTATTTTGCTTCTTGGGTTGAGTTTAGCTGAATGTTATGGAGAGTATAAGGAAATATTACAGGGTTTCTTTTTCTTGTTATCCTGAGAACTTCACATTTATCAGGGTTGGACTCCATGGACCAGTCTTTTTCCCATATTTCTAAAGCACGAAGGTCATCTTGGAAGGTTTGGGCATCTTGTTTAGATCTGATGGTTAGTTTGAAAACAGTATCATCTGCGAAGAGTCTAACCTTACCTTTGACACTATCCGGGAGGTCGTTTATATAGGAAAGGAAAAGGCAGGGACCTAATACCGAGCCTTGGGGGACACCTCAGAGGACTGGTAGAATTCCTGATTTTTGACCTTCAATTACAACTTGCTGGGAGCGTGACTTAAGGAAGGAATGTACCCAATTTGTAACCTCGTGACTTATACCCAATCTTTCCAATTTACTCACAAGTTTGTGATGGTCTACCTTATCAAATGCCTTACTGAAATCCATGACTATGACAACAGTTTGTTGGCCACTTTCAAGATTGTCATGGATTTCCTAGGAGAAGCTTACTAGCTGGGACTAACAACTCCGTTTTGACCTGAAGCCATGTTGATAGGGGCTAAGGATCTACCCTGGTTAAATCCACACATCATTGGCCAAATTAGGAAACGTGATCGACTGTATTCAATAATTAAACAATCGAACATCCCTCACCGGACCTGCTTAGCAAATTAAAAAAGCTTAGAAGCAAAATCCAAAAAGAAATAAAGAACTCATACTGGTTGTACTTAGACAAGGTCATTTTCTATGATAATTTACAACCAGGCAAGAGTAAGAAGTTCTACTCTTTAATCAAATCAAACAAAACAGAAAACTGTGTAATAGCACCTTTAAAGAGTGATAGTCAAACCTTTACTGATCCCAAAATGAAGGCAGACATATTAAACAAACAATTTAAGTCTGTCTTCTCCCGCCCCCAACCATTAAGCCTAAACCAGTCATGCAAACAATGGCTCACTCCACAAAACTATCCAAAAATACCAAATGTCAACATAACAGAGAAAGGAGTAAAGAAACTCCTCAAAGGTTTAAATCCAAGCAAAGCCTCTGGCCCCGAACAGCTGTCCCAAAGAATATTGAAAGAACTTCATACTGAAATTGCCCCAGTTCTCACACACATCTTCCAAATTTCCTTAAAAACTGGTACTGTCCCTCATGACTGGAAGCTTGCAGTCATTGCCCCTGTTTATAAGAAAGGCCCAAAATGTAAGCCTATTAACTGCAGGCCTATATCATGAACCTGCATTGCCTCAAAACTAATGGAGCATATAATTGTCTCCAATGTCATGTCTTTTTACGATAAGTATGATATTCTCAGCAAATTCCAATATGGTTTCAGGTCAAAACATAGCTGAGAAACCCAGCGTATCAGTTTCATCCATGAACTTCAGCAAAGCATTTGATACAGTCGACCATCACAAGTTTCTCCTTTAACTACACAGACTAGGTGTTAGCTCAGAGGTCATCAATTGGACAAAGTCATTTTTATATGGTCCCACCCAACAGGTCGTTGTCGATGGTCAAAACTCTGACAACCTACCAGTTCTTTCTGGTGTCCCCAAGGCTGGACCTCACTGATAGTGTTATGGGCAAGGTTAGACTATTTGCAGACGATACAATAGTATACCTTACAATCAAATCAACTCAAGATGCACAAACTCTCCAAAAAGATCGCAACAGTCTTGAAAACTGGGAATCTGATTGCTCCATGGTATTTAACCCAGATAAATGTGAAGTCCTTAGTATCAGCCTCAAATAACATCCAGTAGCATTCCCCTACAATTTACATGGTAAACAACTAAAATTCCCCGAGGATGCAAAATATTTAGGTGTAACAATAAGTTAAGATCTATCTTGGACCAATCATATAAACAACATAACAGCAAAAGCAAATAATTCACTCAGGTTTATAAAAAGAAATGTCAAAACTTCAAACAAAAATGTTAAAAAACTGCCTACAAAACCTACGTAAGGCCCCAGTATGGATTGGCATCCTTGGCAAAAAATATCTTGTTTACAAAATAGAACAAGTTCAATGGTCAGCTGCAAGATATGTATACAACGACTACAATTTCACCAGTAGTATATCTAAAATGTTAAGTGAACTAATTTCTTAAGGGATTCTTATTTTCTCTATTTAATTGTCAAGCTCTAGAGCAGAGGCGCAACATCAGCTCGGTTACCCTACTCTACAAAATCCAACACAATCTTGTGAGGGTCGCCCAATCTGACACCCACTAGAACCCTGAGCTACCTAATACAATATTCAAGGACACAATACCACTCCTATTCATTTTCCCTAGAAGTATTCGACTGTGTAATGGCCTACCCGTGTCCTTACAAGCTAGTCCCAGTTTAATCCTCCTTACTGGGCAGCTGCATCCTTTTTACCAGTTCTAATTAAGCTTAGCTTTTTATCTCAGTCTTGTAGTTCTTTTTACACTTGCTTTTATCTTATACCTATAAATTTGCACTTAACACATTCGTTTACGACAACGCGCCTGCTTAATGTAATCGTAAACGATTTTGAAGCCGTCCGGACTGCCCGATGAAGATTGGAAACGTCTCCCGTGACAATAGCTTTGCGAAATTACCGACATGCGTTTAACTAATTTCCGTTTGTTTACTTCCGGGTGTCGGAAATAAAGTTAAAATATAAAGTGATTTCATATATTTTTGTGTACATTAACCAGCAACGGAGACAATTATTTATTGAAAACCCGTTTATGTTATGCTATAAGCTAGGTTTTAGATTTAAAAATGTCCCACGTGAAACCGTATTAAATAAGGCGATAAGAAAATGGTGCCACCCACAAAAAATCTCTAAAGTTCTGGCACTGAGAAAGTTATATGATTTTTAACTCATTTGCGCTTAATAGAGAGAGAAAAATGTATATAAATTCCATAGTTTGAAATAGTTGTAATTGTTCATTCGGCAAAAATGATGGGATATTCAATTTGAAAATGAGAACAGGTGGCAGTAGTTTTGTGAAAATGGAGACTTGATTTTTGTGTTTTAATATATTATGGCAAAAGCTATTTCTCCCAGCCCATCATCCAAAATGGATGTTGCAAATTCGTATAAAGTAGGAGTTTATGTTGAAGGAAGTGGGTCAGGTGGTGAAAGTGATTTAGATGAACAGGACTTATATATACCACAATCTGAATCACAACATTCAGTGAAATCGAAATCAAGCTCACCGAAAAAATCACACTCACCAAATCATGCACAGAAAAAATCACCAAAGCACGACAGTGAAATGAATGATACAACAGATGGACTTTTGCTCAATGGTTTTGCAACCACAGCAGATAGATATGGTTTTGTTGGTGGAAAAGAATTCACAGATCCAGAGCAGTAAGTATAAAAGTATTTTACTTATTTGGCTACTCTTCCTGTTTTCAGGGTAATGACGTAAAAATTCATATGCCCCTTGTATATTTAAATTTGAAATCATGATGTCACATGAAAACGGAAACAAACAGAATTCTTATTGAATTTATATTTGGTTATATTTACTTTGCAGTATGTAACTATGCATAAACAGAGATTCAGGTTCAGCCCCAGGTAATAAAATTAAGTTTGCCCATCAGGCAGAGAAAAACAGTGAATACACAATATGACCTGTGTCACCAATAAAATTACATTGTAAATGGTCAATATTTTGTTGAATATTTAATCTCTGAGGATTATAGTTGCAACCTTTACCAAGAGAAAACTGAAAAGGTACAAAAACATTGATTAAGATTAGATTTTTAGATGCATTTTAAAAACATTGTATAATTTTTATAAGAACCTAGCAAATTAAAAAGTTAGACTGAGTAGATTTAACAGTTTTTGTTCCATACCACAGACTTCTCGAAATACGTCGGTCCGACGGACATGTCCGATAAATTTTGATCAGGTCCGACGATTTTTTATTCCGGATCGGTCCGACTGTCCGGCTTTTATCCAAGCCGCATGTATACAAAATGGCGTCGCTAAAGGTGCCAAACCTGGGAAAAAACGAAAATCTACGTCAGAGGAGCGCGCAGAACAGCAATTAAAGGATGAAAAGAATAAACCTGAGACAAAATTTAATGAAAAATGGAAACAGAACCATGAATCATTGGTGTATGACAGGGATGAGATGAAAATGCGCTGTACGGATTGTGCCGATTTTTACGGCGAAAAAATTAAAAACAAATAAGTGTCTTAGAAATACAAACACAAGTTATTCTTTGATTTTGATCAATTTTATTTGGTCCGACAGATTTCGTTTCGGTCCGACAGATTTTCATGGTTTGTCAGACCGAATGTCTGACAGTTTTTTTCAACTTTCGGGAAGTCTGATACCATACCAGCTTACCTCAAGAAATTATTTTAGAGATAAAAAAAATTGCCAAAGTTATTTGTGAAAGGACAAATGACCTGAAATTTTTTACCATTTAGGACAACTGTCCTTTTGTTTGAATGTTCAACTTAAATCACTACCCGGACACTCCTAACCAAGAACTTAGTTAAGTAGTAAAGAAGGGTATGAACTATTAAATATTATAGGATTGATATGGAATATTAAATGATGTCCTATCCTATAGGATGATTGCTGAGGATAAAAATTTAAAAACAGGTTAATTCGTCATTTACATGTTGATTGTAAAATTACTGTCTCACAGCCTGACAGCAATACTTTTGTCAACTATAAAATTAATAATTCTTATCTCATATCTTTCTGAATAAAGGATTGGCCAGCCTATATCATTCATTTTTACTAAGTTTTCCTAGAGTATTTATTTGAAAGCCACAAATATGTTTAGATAATGAAAGGGATAGCATTGATTCTTGAATATTCATTATGTAGAGAACTCATTTCTTTTTTAAATAGTAATGTCCATTGCTTTAAATCATTGAGCTTCTGCTTTACAGCTTTATTAGAAGTTTTAAAATATAATTTATGAAAGTTTTTTTTACCATTTATTACTGGTTTTGGAGGGCACATTGTGTTCAGTTTTGTCTGCCTTTCTGTTTGTTTGTCACAAAACTTTAACCTTGTAATGACCATGGTATCTTGCATGCACATTGATTACCTCCTCTAGGCACCTGCCTGACCTTCTAAGATGGCAAAGGTTAAAGTCACCATTTGGGCATTGGAAGGTGGGATGACATCCATTTGAACAGAAATTTACAAAATGTAGCACGTTTGTTTATATTATTATCAAAATTCATATTTTAATAAATGTTGGTTTAACCACTTGGGTTTTGTATTGCCAGGAACAATTTACATGTAAGTCTTTGGATAATATATTTTTTAAGAGCAATACATAAAGCAGTTTGTTAAACATCTGTATATTGACAAATGAAACAGTAATAATTACAGGGACTGCGTTCAAGGCGAAGTCAGGCGAAAACTTCGCCATAAATATTTTCACTTCGCCCTATATGATCTGAAAAGCGAAATTCTAGTCGCCCTAAAATCTCAATGAAAAGTCTGACATGTATATTTCTACACTTGATAATACTGCCTGGAGGCAAATTTAATTGTGTAATCTGACGTAATTAGCACACGCGCTGAAGCGTGGCCATAGCGACATTTGGAATTCACACTTGGAAATCCACATCGCTAAAAATAGCGCATTGATTACATCGCTAAAAATAGCGCATTGATTATACGGTAAATTAAAGCTGTGAAAGACCCTGATATGAATGCAGCAGATGATAAAAAGCTAGCTCATTGATAATTTGTTACCTCAAACAATATCCCCAGTACGTTTTGTTTGATTTACAATCCCTTTATGTCCTGTTTGATTTACAATTTCCCCTATATGTCCTGTTTGATTTACAATATCCCATATACGTTTGCCGGTCCTTTCTTGTTATCACCATTACATTAATTTTATGATAGTATATCTAATATTCATCATTAAAACTGATGTATTAAAATTTATAAAATTTGGATAAATATTATGAATTAAAGAACTTTTCTTCTTAATTAATTGCATTTAAAAGTTAGAGTCAGAAACTGTTGAACCTAAAAAAAATTAAAAAATGTTGTGTTGATGTAATGACTAATGTTGTGTTTATGTAAATCAAATGTTTACAATCAACTATTACTTTATTAAATATCATCATAGCGATTTCCAAATACACATTTGTTTATTTTCCGTGCCATATACATGTATATTTTATATGCATGTACATATTAAGGTGTACATGTATATTTTGTGAAATAGAATTAGAAAAAAAATCCAATGATATAACTCAATTTGATGATCACTTCTCCCTAAATTTCAAAACTTCTCCCTATTTTTCCTGAAAGGCTTCTCCCTAAATTTTCAGTCCAAGGTAGTCCCTGTAATTATAGTCCTCAGTTTTGGTATCAATTACAAAGACATGACCCTAAGGCTTGTTGATATAATGCAAATCTATACAAATATATAGAATTGAAAAAACTTGAATCCTACATGTAAATCTGATACAGGCAATTCTTTTTGGATGGCTTTTCCATGTTGCGGGGTCTGCAGAATCATGTGTTCAAGACTTGTTCTTGGTTATCTTTTCTAAAATATAATCCGAGTGGTTCAGGACTGGTTACGTCACTGTTTCCGCTACACCACTCCTTTTGTCGGAGCAGAAAACAATTGTCTGGAACAACGTTCCAGTCCATTCGAATCAGTTGTGACTGTTCTGACTATTCTGGACCATAATTCATGCAGACCCCAGATTTATGTTCATTTTATACTTTGATGTAATACTTTATTTATATGTATAAAAATTATGGTGTATTGCTTTCATTATATCCGAATCATGACAGTAAGCCACATTTCCAAAGCATGATTCAGCCACCGCATTGTTCCTGGGCAGACTTTCAAGCAGTTTACCAGTACTAGTTGCCTTCACTTTCGCAGGGAATTACATGTAGTTACTAATTATTGAAGTAAATGAGGAGAGGTACAGAGTGAATGACTGTATAAAGGGTTTTATGGTCAATCACAACAAAAGTGGCCTGGGTTGTCCGGGAATCAAACCCTGATCTTCACATCTTATGATCTATATCTGAATTCACAAAGCTGCAAGAGTTTGGACTTTGATAGTTAGTAACAGCCCTATCAACCAGCAGTCATAAAGCTGTTGTATATATATTTAGCTAATTTTTCTGGTAATGAACATTTATAAGACTGTCATGCTCAATGTTGAGACATTTATGAACTTTTTCTGTACGAAATCTGCTGTGGTTAAAGCAGCATGCCTCCAGATTCATGCTAATTTTCATGAAAATATTGAAAATGTATAGATCTGAATGTTTAATATTGTGAAGTTACTAAAAAGAAGCAATTTACACATTTTCAATGACACTTTCAACCCCAGTAATAAATATCCCTTACTGTGTTAGTAACGCAGTAGAAATATAGTTGTAAATACTGAAAAGTGAGTCATTAATTACACAGAACATGCAAAATATTACTTGAATCTTGAATCTTTTTACTTTCCTAAACTTAAGTTTGATTTTATTCAATATTGAAATATTTTGACTCATCTGGAGGCATGTAGCTTCAAGTCTTCTTCAAAATAACCTTCCAAGAGCTAGTTATTGGCGTCCGCGCCGAAGCGCGGTGCCTATTGGCATGAAATGAATTGATTTTATTGAATAGGGACCATCTCGAGCCTTTATGTATGCATAATAAAGTCTTCTGATCGGTATTATATCTAGTTAGCTATTATAACATGCCATGGTGACACTTGTTTCTAAAAATAGAAGATTGGGAAATGAATTGTAAGCTTTACTAATTTGGATGTAGAGAGCAGACCGGTAAATTAGAGGTATCAAGACTTAGTGGTTTCCTCATTGGTTTTGTATTTTATGGTTGGCAAATTTCATTTTCCACCTTAATTCTTTTGATTTGACAATAATATATAAAACGATTTATCTAAAAATTTAACCTTTGAAAAACTGAAGGCAGCTTTAAATTGTTACATTCCATTACAGTCAGTAACAGTTACAGAATCCAAATTGTATTCAAAGAAATACAAAATTTTGACTTTTTTTGTACAGTGGCATTTAAATGTTAACAAACTTACAACATTTAATCTAAACAAATAAGATAAAGGGCTAATTGCTAGTATACACCATTTAACCTATCTTTATTTCTTGACAGAAAAGGTATTTATAGGGTAATTGATATAAAAAGTTAACTGTATGACTAAAGTACTACTACACTTTCATAATACCACATAAATCTATAAATTATAACTCACAGGTGTGCCTGTTGACTTACTCTGTGCTGGTAGATTCAGTCACTGCCAGTGTAAAGTTCATTAACATACTTGAAAATATTCAAAATCTTGTAATTCAATTAATTCCAATGACAAAAAAGTTAAAT